AGAGTTCAAATTCACAATTTTATAAAGATAACTGTTCTTTTAAAACTCTATAGCAAGACTAGAGACATACCACATTGTATGTATAGTAAGTATGGAGAAAGATTGAAAGTTCAGAGAAGAAGAAAAAAAAACTACTACTGACTACAAAATTTTCTCAGCTCACAGTGGGACTTCTGAATGAGACTATGTTCCCCTTGATAGAGTTTTTCACGCTGATCCCGAATCTCTACTCAAAATTTGGCCTCGAGACCCGTGAAAAAAGTTAGGGTCTCTCAAAGGTCGAAAATCTCGGATAAAATCGAAAGTTATGAAATTTTCAAGAAATAATCTAATCATCCGCGCGTTCTGATTACCCACGGACGCGTGAAGTCTAATCCTATCAGTAGGAGTTTTCATAAAGCCAATTTATTCGTTTCTTTGGAGACTAGAAAAATCAAAGTTGAAGCCTCAGAAGATATTCAAAATTCGAAAAAAGTTCATTAGAAGACGGACAAATCAATTACTCCAAGAATATCAAAAAAATCCAATTTTTAAAAAATACGCAACGAAAAAAACCTCTCTAGATAAGCAAAGAAAAGGACAGATCAAAGGAGAATCAATGAATGAAGGGGTGGAATCCTTTAAAGAAAAAAAAATGATTCGCTCACTGATCTTCTAAGAAAGCTTTCAAGAATGTCAATGACGGCCGAAAAGTGCGGAAAAAAAGTCAAGGGGATTCTGAAAGCTACGTAGAAAGCTTGAAAAGATAGAATTTGAAAGGTTTTACTTCTCAGAGTATGTGAAAAACTGAGAAAAAGAAGCTTGTGATCTGAAAAACATAGATTCAACTACTCGTTAAAACAAAATAAAAAACTTTCTTCGAGAAAGTGAACTTGGATAAAAAAAACTTTTTGAAATGAAAGTAGCTCTTGACATTTTGCAGTGTAGATACTTCAGAGGGCACAAAGAAATCTTGAAAAAGATAAACTAGGGAAAAAAAGATGTTAAGCAGACATAAATGGAGGTGTTCAAAAATCGAACCAGCTTCCGACGAATTTTTTTAAAAAAACAAATAAAATAAAAATATAAAGAATGAAAAAAATGAGACTTTTTTTGACAAGGTAATTACTGCTACTTTTCAAGTTTCAAAATAGAGGCAGTTATAAAAAAATGCAGGTTGGATCGAAATTAAAACTTTAAAATCCAAGTTTTGCTGATTTTTTTGAATGAAACCATCTCTCGATTTCGGGGTCATATTTATTAAAACCGTCCAAAAAAGCAAAAAAGGGAGAGTGGATGACTAGGAGCCTCACATGAAGAAAGGTATAAAAAAAGTGGTTAAGAGATCCAAATTGCAGACTTTAGATACTTTTTCAAGAAGTTCAAACCCGGATTTTTCAAGGTTTTTTTGTTCAGAATTCAATCAATACTATTTTTTTGTTCATGTTTCGAAATGGAACATTCTCTCAAAAAGCAGAAAAAAAGGAAAAATTGAGGAAACAAAACAAAAAAAGAAAAAAATAAGACTTTTTTTGGAGAAGTCATCTACTACTAATTTTTCAAGTTTCTGAATGGAATCCGCTTACAAAAAAATGCAGCTGTGAAGAAATTTATCAAATTTCCAGATTTCAAAAAAATTTTTTTAGGGTTTCGAAATGGTGTGAGCTCTCGACGATTCCTGATCCTCTCCAAAAATAGTAGTCTTCAAATAATTACTTTGAAATAGAGGCAGCTATCGAATACTTCAAGATTTTTTTCCGAAAAAAATCCTCAAAGAAATATTTTTAAAAAAAGCAAGAAAGCCTGGCATTCTCAAAGGCATACATAAACGCTGTTATGATAACCTGGGAAAACGATTTTTAGATCCCAGAACTATCTTTAAAAAAGCAAAAAAAATAAGAAACGATAAATTTTTAGTCACTTACTACTTTTTCTAGCGAAGAACTTTGAAAAAATCTGACCGCACTAATGGGTTTTTCAAGTCTCCATCAACTCTCAAGTGACCCCTTGAATGAAATAACTATTTGCTTGTCCAGGTTATAAGGCACGGTGTTGGCCTTTCATCTTCAAAATGACTTCTTTGGGCCCTCTTTTCTCTCGCTCTCTTCTAACCCCGTCAGTGAGAGAGAAGAGAGCGCAGACATGTCAGACAGTTTCAAATGACAACAAGTCAACATCACAAAGCCCAAGGACCCTATGAATGAAATAATTGATACCTGTATGAACTTCAAAATGAAGCTAGATTCTCTTCTGCGCAAAAAAAAGAAAAAATAGTGAGAGTGGAAGTCTAGAAGGCATGCATAAATGTAGGTGAGAGGAAAGAGAGTGCAGACATGTCAGACTGATTCAAATGAAAACCATGGGTCTTTGAAGTCAAAATCCCAAAGCCCAATGACCCCATGAATAAAATAATTGATACCTGTTAAAAATTCAAAATGAAGCTAAATTCTCTTCTTTGCAAAATTCTAAGAAAGTGAGAGTGGAAGTCTAGAAGGCATGCATAAATGGAGGTATGATAAAGGTGGAGAGGGAGACTTCCTCAGACGACCAGTATACAGGTTCCAGCCTCCAGTTTTCATTAGGCACTTGAGGAAAGTCGGCGAAGGCGGGGGTTGAGTGATGAGGATCGGAATGCCATAGATGGTTATCTTCCGTAAAAGGGCTTCTCTTTCCTCTTTTTTTCGCAAAAGCCGATCTCTTCACACCTTTCATGGTGTTGCGTAATGGGATTGGGCAAGAAAGAGGGAGATTCCGAACCCGGCAATTGCAAGTCAAGTGTAGCACCCTCTTGAACTGCGGTTCAAGCCCTCTGGAAGATCATAGGGATCAGGGAACAGAATAAATCATTTCGCCACTGCCAAAGTCGGAAGTGCGGAAAACGGGTACAAAATGGCCGCAAAAAGGGTTCCGTTTTGGAACCTTTATTGAGCCTTTTCTTTCTTGGTGGGCTAAAAAGCTTCAAAAAGGGGTGAAAAAAGAATACTGAAAGTCTCGGCCATTGATGATTTCCGATTTATATATTTATATTACAGAGGAAAGAAAAAAACGATGAAAATTGTATAATTTATTTATTGAAACCTTATTTTTAAGAAGGACTTCCTACTGAACTACTAAATTATTTTTTTCCACTTTTTATTCTCTAAAAATAAATAAACACGGGCAAAGTCCAAAAAGGTCTCAAAAAGGCCTTTAAAATGTCTTAAATGCGCCTTTTTTTAAGACCTTTTTCTGAAAAGGACCTTTCAAGGAGGACTAGAAAAATAAGGCGGAAAAAGGCGATTCCGTGAAACTTCTGACACCTTTTTAGGAACTTGAAAAGGAGCTTTAGCCTCTTCTTTTAAGGCCCTTTTAAGGTCGTTTGGACTTTCCCTGTGAAAAAAACCTGAATCGAGAAACAGCTTATCGAACATCTTTTTCGCCACATAAGTTCCCTGTAAGAAAATTTATTAAAAAAGTGTTCAAAATTCGATTTTTGAGCGTGGTTTTTTTGAAGAAATGATATGAGGTTGAAGCTTAAATTATGAACTGATAGTACAAATCTCAAAAAGTCGAATCTTTTTTTCATTTTAAAAAAAGCGCTTACCGGAGACAAAAAAACGTTTTTAAAAAAAGTACAAATCTCAAAAAGTCTAATTTTTTTGATCCCCTGCTTCAATTGATTCAATACTTTTTTTCTTTAAAAAAACTGAAGACAAGAGAAAAAAATTTTTTTCTTCCAAGCACTGAAAAAAAGAACGCGAACTTCAACTTCTTCAATTTTTTTCGAAATTTAAAACGGAACAGAAAAATTGCGGGAATTGGAAGTTGGACAAAATATTTTTATAAAATACTTGACCTGAAGCATATCTTTTTACAGGAAATATATCTTCTTTTAGAAAAATCAAGCGTGAAAAATTTTTTTGAAAATGAAAAAAACAAACGAAAAAAACGAACATTTTTTTCGAGGTTTAAAAAAATTTTTCCTATTAAACTTTTTTTGAGAAACGAAAAAAATGGAAGAATCAAGATTGGGCCACTCCCAAAATAAACTTCACTTAGACTTTCGAAGCTTACAGATTTTCCTAGAGATGGAAATTTTTATTCAAACGAAACCCAATTCATCAAAAAAAATCATCATCACACAAAAGGTACATTGATATCATTGAAAAAAACCACAGAAATGAAAAAGAAAAACAGTTTCCCCGTGGAATGGAATACAAGAAATGGAGAATCACAATCAAAAAGGAAATCCTGTACAGTTTGGAGACAGATATGACCAAAACTATTGTCAATTTGACCGGACTACCGTAGTCACGTGTTGCGGTCTTGACGCGGTTTTTGGCGAGGGAAAAAAAAATTCAAAAGAAGAATTTTTGATAGTTTTTTTGATCACTTTTATGTTTTTTTGAAAAATCAATAAAAAGATGAAAGTTTTTATCATTTTCTTTTTTTGAATTTTTCCCGCCAAATAAATTGACTATACCGAGTTGAATATTAAAAGCGAAACCAAAATGATTGCAAAAAATACAAGAAGATATGCGAAAAATTAGGAAAAAAAAATGGCCACTGGAAAAAAAGGGACCTTTTTTTCCGGTCAAATGGAAGGCACATTTACAACCGGACAAAATTTTTTTTTAGAATTTGCGTTAAAAAATGAGAATTCCTGACTTTTTGGTTCCAAGAAATAGCACAAAAAGTTCCAAAAAAGGCCAAATTTTGACTTGTAAGGATTTTTCCACTGAAGATGTGATAATTTCAAGTTAAATTCTGTTTTTAAATCAAAAAATTGTTCTCAATGATCTCAAAAAAGGAGAAAGCCCAAAAAAAAAGCAAATGCGTTCCTCGGACAATTTTTGGACAAAAGAAAGTAATTTTTACAAATTCCCCGGACCTTTTCGGAAAGCTAAAAAATCCAAAATGACAAAAAAAGCCGCCAAAAAGAGTTTCTTCGCCCCATTGACAATGTTTCTTAAAACTCTTTCAGTAGAAAAGGCTAGCGAAAAGTACACAAAAAGCCATTCAATCGTTGAAAAACATGATATTTAGATTGGCAGGACGGTTGATGGAGATCGTTTGACGAAAGACGTGAAGAGTGACGTCATGAATCGAAGGCCTTTTTCTCCGCCGGGAACGTAAGACATCACGAACCTGCAACGAATAGCCGATTTGCAAGATGATGCTTAATTAGAAGCATCGTTTGGATATTTTTTATAAACTGTCGGCCTGCTGGAATACCTTTTTTTTCTTTTCGTAACTTAACTTCGATTCGACAACTTTTCGGAAAAAAATAACGTTTCTTGATCTTAGATTGTAATTACTTAACTAGGAGAGTCAGAGTGGTCCCTAGAGCGGTTCGGGAAAAAAGGCTCTAGAGGGGTATAATTTAAGGGGCCCCTCAAGGGGTTTAAGATTCGACCCCTAAAGCTCAAATGGTCCCTATAGGGATCTAGTTTTTTGTTCGCATTTAAAAATTCTAAAAAAAAACGTCGCCGATAAATTTTTTTGTTGATATTTTTGATTCAAAAACCGTGAATTCTCAGATTTTTCCGTCTTCATTTTTTTCTGTCTCATAATTAATAACAAAAAACGGCTAGCATGTTCCCCTAAAGTGCTCACTAACTGAAGTCGCTCGAATGAGCACGATTGCAAGGTTTCCAGTCCCTTATTGGATAAGGTGGTCCCTAGAGGGGAACCTTCAAGTATTTCGAAGATCGTACCTAGGGACCTCTATAGTGTTTTTTGGGTATTTCGAGGTTGAAATTTCTTGAAAACTTGCCAGGGTTCTTCTTGAGCCGCCATATTAAGGTTCTGAAAGTCTCAAACAATGCCTATTCAAATTAATTTCGATGGTTTTTTTTTGGAATTTCGTTGAAGAAAGGAGAAGTTAACACTTAAGGGGTTTCATTGAGGAATATTTCTGACAATTTTTCAGTATTTTTATACATAAAAAAACCTTCTTGATTGAAAAGAGAAGTTAACACTTAAGGGATTTTTTTAAATGTGTCATCAAGGAATTTTTCTTGCCAATTCTCAGGAAATTCTCCCCCTTAAAATTAAAAAGACCCTTATTTTTTTAATTCCAGGCACTGGTTTTCTCAAAATTCAAAAAAAATCCTAAATCCTTAGGTAACCTCGATTTCGACCCAAAACTTTCTCCAAATAACACATTCTTTGCCACAGAGCCATTATAGCACATTCCCCAGCTGCCATTTCCTATACTCAATAACTGGCCATTCTCTTTGCTCTGGAGGATATTTGCACTGACATCATCTGAAAAAAGGCCCATTTTGGCCCCCGTCGGTGTGGATTTTGCTCATCTCATGTTGAATGGAATACAAATGGATGCCTTTTTTCTCCTTTTCTCTACAAGCAAATTTGATCATCCAATTAATCTCTACTCAGAAGTGCAACTGGGTTTATTAATTTGGAGAAAAAATGTCAATTAATTAGTCCGCTTGAATATTAAAAGAAATTTTTTTAAAAAAAATGATAATTCTGATGTAAATTAATCAAAGAATTTGAAAATTAACACGCTGTCCTTCTAATTTTCATAATTCTCACAAAATTTTTTTGATTTTTATGAAATTTCAACCAGGGCGATCATATGACGTCAGGATTGCGGAAATGATTTTTTGAGCCATTTGCTCCTACCGTAGCCGGATTACGATAGGCAGACCTGCGTGCCTGAGAATCGCCCAGTTTTTTTCTGTGTAAGTTGTATATCAATCGATAGATGATGCAATTTTAGGAACTCTTCCAGTACATACCATCTTGGGTTACTGTAGAAATTTCCAAGATACGGTACTTTTTGTATTCGCAAAAGGCTTTTTTTCAGAAAAAATTTAAACAGTCTCGCAAAGATTCAACAAAGTGATCCCTTGAGAGTCAACATTCTTAAATTCTTATTATTTTTTTAGAATTCAAATATTGGAAGCTTTTTTTCCAAGTGACCCCTTAAGGAGTAAATTTGAAAAAAATGACCGCCTTCTGAGATCGTCACAGTTATAAGTCACCTTTTACGACTTTTCATAGAATTTATTTTAGAAGTGAATATATTTTTTTCACACTCCTCAAGTGACCACTTAACTATATTTTTTCAAAGAAATCCCTTTCAGGAAGACTAAAACTTCCAAAACTGCTTCGGAAATTCAATTTATTTTACGGCTTTTCTAAGTAGCCATCGCCTTGGTTACCTAATAGGGTCTATAAATTCCATTTTTGGAAAAAATATAGCCTTTTTTCGTGGAAAATTTTCGTGGGAAAATAGCCGTTTTTAAGCTGATTTTGTGCGCTCCATGGATAAACATCATGAAAAATGTTCTAGGCCGGTTTTCGATTGGAATAAATGCTCTAAATCCAGCTCTGGACATACTTGGAGGTTATTATCCACGGAGCGCAGATAACCATTATTTGACGGCTAGTTTGTCCCAAGTTTTTTGAGCCATCCTCAAAATTCTATTTTTTTGGAAAATAAATATAAATTCCAATTTTGGAAAAAAACATAGCCCTTTTCTTCAGTAAAGATTCAAGTAATAAGATCTCGTTTAGCGAAAAAAAAGGGTTCGTGAAAAAATAGCCGTTTAAGCTGATTTTGTGCGCCCCATGGATAAACATCATGAAAATTTTTCTAGGCCGGTTTTCAATTGTATAGCCAGTTCTAAATTCCGCTCCGGGGTCATTTGGTTGTATTTATCCACGGAGCGCACATAGTCATTATTTAACGGCTATTTTTTCTCAAGGTTTTTTGAGCCATCCTATAAGTTCTATTTTTTTGGAAAAAAAATAACCTTTTTTTCTTCAGTAAAAAAACTCAAGTAATAAAATCTCGTTTAGAAAAAGGTGCGAGAAAAAAAATAGCCATTGAAGCTGATTTTTGTGCGCCCCATGGATAAACATCATGAAAATTTTTCTAGGTTGGTTTTCAATTGTATAACCAGTTCTAAATTCCGCTCCGGGGTCATTTGGTGGTTATTATCCACGGATCGCAGATAATCATTATTTAACGGCTATTTTTTCTCAAGGTTTTTTGAGTCATCAAATACAAATATATCAGTTTTCAAAGTCAAATATTCATCAGATATGATGTCAGGTAGGAAAATTCGAATTTTCAAGATTTTTTTTCCATTAAACTGAACCAAAAAACTTATCCCAAACTCCATTTTTCTGGATTCAAAGGTTGAAGTTCGGGTGAATTAACTTCCTATGACTCCAAGTCGGGTTGACGATTATTTACACGACCTATAGCTCATCCCGCAAGCCAGCGAGAAGGAAAGAACTTAATTATAAACTCTCATCGAAAGGGTGAAGAATTGTTGACGACAAGCCCTTATGATCCATCCATCAAGCGAAAAGGTCAGCCGAACTCGGCTTTTTTTTCTCGAAGAAAAAAAACACGAAAACAAGACAAGGAATCTGCCCCTCAAGACTCGTCAAAGAATGACTAATTGCATCTATTATTGATGTAACAGGAAGTGGAAAATCCAACAAAATTATGTCTTTTTTTCACAAATTCGAGTTAGGAGAATAGATCAAGCTTCCGTGTGTTTAATGGGAAAAAAACTTGAGATCTGACTTTTTTTGTAAATTGCACCATGAGTTTCAATAAAAAAAATTTTGAGCGTAAAAGTCGAAATTCAGCTTTCTCAAGGAAATAAATTTACTGGAAAGAGCAAAAAAACTCAAATTTATCTCGTTTTCTTCCTCTCTCACGATTTTTGAATTTACACTGAAAAAAATTGGCCAAAAAAATCAACTTCTTCATAATTTCTTCGCAAATTTTTACACACGTTTTTTTGTAAGATCTATAAAAAAATAATCCAAAAAAATTCAACTTTTTCACCTTTCCAACTCATTTCCCAGACACTTTTCCACGTTTTTTTATTACTCATTTTTGAAAAAAAATGAGACCGAAAATTCATCAACTTCCTTTCCTAAAATTTATGAAAAAAAATAGTCCATAAATTCAACTTTTCTTCCTCCTCCTCAGCCATGAGCTAACATTTTTCTACAGGAAAAAAGGGTTTCCCGGGAAATTGCGGCAATTAATCTTGTGCAGAGGGCAACGTCATGAAATTAATGCAAATGATTCATTGTAACGCGGAACATTTTTTTTTTTTTTCTAAAAGTCAATTTACAAGGATCAAATTGACTTTGCTTAGATGATTTGTAATACTCAGAAGCTGAGAAACGCTCGTTTTTTTTTTCTAGTTGCTCAACGTTCAATTTCGGGGGTATGAACCTGAAAAATCCGTCGATCATCGTCTATGAGGCTTCTGAGGCTCATTTTTCTAATTTTTCTAAGGCTCATTTTTTCAGCATTAAGGCTTAGCATCCAAGGCTCTTTTTTTAGAGAAGCTATTTTTCGAGGCTGAGATTTTTTTGCTCAAAACTCGTGTTGCGGCTCATTCTACGCTTTGTGAAGCTAAGCTACCATTCGCTGAGCCCCAACTTGTTTCAAGCCATTTTTTACAACTAAATTCTGGAAAATCGCTTGAAAAAGTCCACCACGACGGCTTTCTGGTCGCAAGTAGAATGGATTAACGCGCGGCGGTCGCTCTGCGGTTTCAAGTTGAATTTAGAAAATAAGCTGAGTTATTAAAGCAACCGCGCCGCAGCCGTCCCGCTTTGAGCCATTCCCCAAGTTTTCAGCTAATTAAAAATTAGGATTCCTAGGCAACTTTATCGAGATTTCCTATGAAACACTGCTTCAATTTTGTTATATCATTAAGATTCTCGATTCCCACCCTAATCTGCCATATCCGTTCGATTGAAGTGATCAATGCCAAGTAGCGGTCGCAAATAGAATGGATCAACGCGAGGCGGTCGCGCTGCGGTTCGCGGTTGAATTTAGAGATTTTTATAACTCAGATGAATTTTGAAAGCAACCGCGCCGCAGCCGTCCCGCTTTGAGCCATTCCCCTAGTTTTCAGCTTTTTTTGCTTCGTCTTTTAGTCACTTTTCTCGTAATTTCTTCAGAAACACTCTGCTTTTCCGATTCCAACTGTAATCCTTCTCACGAAATGGGAAAGATCAATTCCAAGTTAATTACATCGAAAAAAAGAGGAGCAATCGAGTGAGGAAAGGCTCCGTTTGCAAAAAGAAAACGTCATGCCGTTTTGCTCTTTTCCGGCCGTCACATGAGCCGCCGCAATTGGAAACGTTCACAAAAGAGCTCACGAGCCCCTCAAAACTTTACCAAAGAACGGGTGAAATATAAACCGCGCAAAAAATATTTACATTTGGAATCGGCTTTGGGTCAGACTAGATTCTATAAGAACAATCTTTAGGGGAAAAAAAGGAACTTTTTCAAATTTTTAGAGATTTTGACCAACTTCGAAGCAAAATCTAGCCCAACTTGAAATTAATAAAACTACTTTCTAGTACTTTTTCTAGTACAAACGTCGCCTTATCCCTATCCTGAAGCCAAGAAAAATCCCCCCCCCCAGTCAAAAACAGCCACTTGACGAGACACCTAGTACGCTCTATCGCTAAAAATCCTCATCTACTCAAAAAAAAAAAGAATTTATTCAAAACTTATGGAGTTTTCTTAAAACCCAGGGAAAACGGCTTCCGGAATGAAAAGCTACAAAAAAATAAAAGCTTATATGCTCCATCGCTAAAAATATACCATCACAGAGATTTTGACAATTTAAAAAAATTTTAGTTATGAAAAACTGAAAGAATTGTAAAAATCACAAAAAAGCCCCCTTCAGTCAAGCTTTTGCGCTCCATAGGATCTTCAACTTTGAAAATTTTTATTGTTTTTTATTCGAAGCTCAAAATGAAGCAAAATAGCTTTCTCTAGACATCCAACTCCCATTGTTGTCTTGAATAGCTGATATGCAGCTCAAAAGTCATTCCATTCCAACGCTTCCGGAACCCATTGAGAGCACGCGAAACTCCCCATTTTATGTACAAAATTCATGGGAAGAAAAGTCACAAGATTCGTAGGAAAAAAAAATGAGTTTTTGGTTTAAGTTTTACTTTTAGAAGTTCATTTTAGAGGAAAAAAATAGCCAAGGAGTCTGAAATTACTTTTAAAAAAGTCGGATGTTTTTTGCTCTTTTTTTCTTCATTCTCGTGATTATTTGAAAGGCTTATATGTTTCTACTAAGGAATTCCAGAGTGATCTCTTTAGGGTTAGGGGGAAAACAACACCTAAGATGGGCCGAAAAAGTGGTCTCTACAAGGGGAAAATTAAGGTGGTCCCTATAGGGGTTTAGAGTCTGACCCATTAGCCCTCAAAGATTAAGTGGTCCCTATAGGGGCCTTTCAACTTTGTTTGAAAAACGCTTATTATTTAATTTTTCGCATGGGAACGCTTCTTCGCATAGAGTACATAATAATTGTCGAGTAGCATGTCCCCTATAGGGACCACTTTTGCAAGTTTTAGTGGCCCCTATAGGGATTGGTAAGGTGGTCCCTAACGTTTCTCCTATAGTGACCACTCTAAAGCTCCTGGTAAGTATGGCTCATTCATACATGGCTCTTTTTGAAGCTCATTTTTAGCGGCTATTTTCCTTTCTTTTCTCTGTCATCTACATATTTTTTCTGAGCTCAAAGACCAATGAATTCAAAATTAGGTTACGTCGACGTTCCAATAAAGCTTTGGGTGAGAAATTTGTAATTCAAATTGCAAAAAAAAGTGAAAAATAAACGCCAAAAATTTGATTATGCTCATTGGGATGGAAAAAGTGGCTGAAAAGACGAGATTAGAAAATGAATATATAAAATTGACTTTTTCACTTTAATTGCTTCTTCTACCTGTCTTCGAACGTTTCAAAAAAGAAGGGGAATGAATTAAATTCTCCATGAAACGTATTTGACCTCATTTTCTACTTCTATGATTCTTTTTCAAAGATTTTCTGGAAAACGATCCATGAAGCGCAGAAAAGCGCATTTCAGAGCTATTTTCAAACTTTCATGATCGGTTTTGATACCCGCTGAATAATTCATGTGAAGGGCTCTCATGAGTATTTTGCAGCAATTTATTTTTATTCGGAGCCATTTTTGAGTTTGAAAAACGAGGAAAAGCTATCTTCAATGAAGTTAGATTTGCAGGAGGCTCATTCCAAAATTTGTGAAAAAAATTGAAAGTCGATATTTTATTTTTCGTCTTTCTTCAAACCAATTTTATTATTCTTTTTCGAAAAAAATTTCATATTATTTTTATTTTTTTCCTTTTTCACGCATTCATTTTCTGTGTGTGTGTGTTTTGTTGCACTTTTTTTCGCCCTAAATTGGCTTTTTTTCCCATCCACTTCAATTAATCAGGGCGTCCTTCCTCGTCATTTCGCACTATTTTAGGTGCTTTTTTTTCGCGCGCAGCTTTTCCCCGCCAAATTAAAATACTTTGTGAGTTCAAAGGCCGAAAATGGGTTGAATAAAAAAAGTTGTTAGCTTGAAATTCTGAATTTGGGAAGTTTAAAAAAGAAGGAAAAAAATATCACAATTTTCCCGACTACTTGGATACACAGGCTGATTGAATCGAGCCATTCCCAATAAAAAAACCGAATTAAACTAGCGCGGAACTATTGCAAGCTCAGTCAAAACCCTATTAGGTTTGACGTTTTTTTCAGAAGTTTCCAGATTTGATTTCAAATGAAAAAACTTTCAGAGATGTTTTCTTAAAACTCGTGGTCAATAGAAGAGAAAAAATTTGGTATATTTCAAATGTTTCTCCATGGAGCACACTTACTAGTTTCAAAGGCTCATTTTTCTCACTTATTAGAGCCCAATTCTGAACAATGAAGTCACAGTTTCGAGGGTTTACTTGGTTTGTAAATTTCTTTGATAAATCGGACGAAAAACGGCTTTGACGTTATTTTTTAAAATATCTTTTTACTCGTAAAAAAAACTTCCAAAAATCGTTGATTTAGGTTAGATAACGAATTGAAAAATCAATGGAAATCCGCAAAATAGACTCTTTTTCAAACCGCAACGCGACCGCGACGCGCCGAGCCACTCCAAGTGCAAAAACTCATTTTAATTCTACCAACTTCTCCGGAAACCGAGTCAAACCGCGGAAGTTTCACAAGTCCATTCCAAATTTTGTTAACAGCGACTTCGTCCAAAAACGGATTTCAGCCACAGTAACCAAGCATTTTCTGCTCTTTTCGAAAGAGAAAAAGGAGCCGAAAAATTGCTCCACAGGAGAAAAGTTGCTCATTCATTTTTATGTCTTTTTCCCGCGTCTGCAAGCCCAACGACCCATAAAGCTCGTGGTGGAATGATGATCGGAACTCTTTTTCTTCTTTTTTTTTTGGCTTTCTCTTAAAGTTGGAAAATGCGGAACTTGAGGAGAGATCTGACGTATTTCTTATGAAAATTCGGAGGAGTCGGAGAATTTTTTTCACTGAAAAAGAAAAGAATAGTTCGACTTGCAGCTTCTCAATCAAGTCAAAATATTCATTTTTGGGGTGCTTTTTTATTTCCTAGCCCTTCTAACACTTTCAAACTTGCACTAGACATCTCGGACCTTGATAACGAAAACCGGACGATTCTGAGCAGTTCTAGGGATCACTTAAGAGCTCTGAAGCTACTAAAGCGATCACTAGAAATGGTCCGACACCTCCGATTCCTAGAATGAGAAAACTCTGATATCTCAATAGAGCGCACTTTCCTCATTTTCAAGGATCTTTTTGAGAAGGTTCTCCGAAAAGAGATGTTCGGATTGCTCAACTCTTCTTTAATCCAACAAGTTAAAGGAAAAAAATAACTTTGAGACCCTAAAATTTGATAATCAAGTCATATTTTCCCAGCAAAATTCAAGATAAAAAAATATTTTTAAAAAAAAGATTTTTTCGACATTTCAGATCAATCTTTGTCATTTTCATGAGCTTCTGAGCCTCGAAGCTTGAAAAAAAGGAGCCTGAGAATCTTCAAAGTGAGAAAAAAATCGGTCAGAAAAACTGAAATTTCGGATAAAAAAATCACTCGAAATCCTTTAAACTTCAAAAAAACTCGCTTTCAAAAGATAAAAAAACGACAAAAATACCTTAAAACCGATTTTTGCATCCACTTCTTTTTAAAAAAAGAATTTTTAAAAATTCAAAACCAGGCTCTAAAAGTAAAGATCGACTCACCAAACCAGCGAGAACCCTTGAAATATCGAGGCGACGAGGGTGAAGATGGTGCTTTTGAGCTGAAAAAGAAGGAGAAAAAATCAGAAAGCACGGATAATAATGGATCAAGGGGCAACAGGTGCTTCCTGTTGACAATGTAAATCGTCACCAAAAAGATGGGAAGAAAAACGTGACTTCTGACGGGAAACCCCAGTGTTACAAGGGAGATTATTTGTTAACCACATGTCTCGATTTTCTCATTTGATTTATTAGTTTTAGAACTCTCACAAGATTTTCACAAGATAAATAAAAAATGCTCGTTAATGTTAGGAAACCTTGAAATATCAAAATGAAGACATGGAAATTTCTATTTTTAAAAAGGAACTTTTAGCCATAGAGCGCACTTTCTCTCAATTATCGTCCCGTGGATTTTCATACGATTGATATGATTTTTTTCATATTTTTTCGCATTTATTTTTTTCATTTTCTTATTTTTCCTACGATTCATATAATTTCAAACGATTTTTCATATTTTTTATATTTTTCGTTTTCATGCTCAGAATAGAGACCATGTCCTTGATCAACTATCATGATCCTGGATCTATATTTTTTTTTTAAATATGTCTTCAAAAGCCCCCAATCAAAATACAATTCCCTAATTTTCAAAATAGAGCACAAAATCTAAGTTATCCCTACTCAATCAAAAAAATTAGAAATGTTATTTTTTCTAATCTCAGAAACCTAATCCGATATGAATCCTCGCAAGCTTAATCTCCTTTTTATTGAAAAACGGATGAAAGATTTTTTTCGACCAAACAAAGAAAGCGAAGAAAAAAATCATTTTATTCAACCAAAACTACACCGAATCCAATGACACTTTTTCAAGCCAAAAAATCTCAGGAATGAAAGTTTTCTCATGAAAATTTTCTCATTTACAAATCTCCATAATGTGTTACCAAACTGAATTTTCATACTTATGACACAAAATTAAACTTTAATTTCAGAGCAAGGCTACAGTAACCCTAAAAAAACTGATAGAATCACTACTGAAACTTCCAGTCCCAATTTTAAATTTTTGAAAATCCAATTTATAGACCTGGGCTACTGTAACACACAGAATACGGGTCTCGTTTTAAATTTTGAAAATTCTTTTTGTTTTCCAAAATCTGTTCTAGTCCACCTACCGTAATCCACCAAGAGAAAACTTCAAATTCTCCAGCTCCCCTTAGATTATCAAGGACTGCCTCTTAGATTCTCACTTCTACCGTAACCCACAGAAATCAATTGAAAATGACGTCATGTCGAATCGCAGTTTCAAATCCAACATCAACGTGAGATTCTCTCCGTGATTGATGCTACACACACATGTGAATTTCTCTTGACCCCCGTCCTTCTCACCGGAACAGTTGCGCTCCAAGGAACACGCGACCCTTGTCAAATCTCCAATTATTTTTCTCCTTCTCTTGGCAACTTTCAGTGAGGGTCGAACTTGGGTGAGGGTGGCTGTGAGGGCGGAGCCGTCGTTTTGAACAAAAAAAAAAAGCTAGGCTCCGCCTATATTGCTCCGAGCTTTTCACTTGACTCTGTCCTTCGACGGATGACTTGATTTCGCGGCTCTTTTATTTTCGATGAGATGACCTACTCATCTAATGGAATATCCTTCCCCTCTGTTCTATTATTACCCGTATATGATGTCATTTTTTCTGGCAAACATCTCCTTTAATATGATTGTCTATGAAGAACTTCTTCTAGACGCCTTCAGAGTGACTCAGTCTTCGTTTTGAAGTCTAGGAACAAAGAAGTTTGTTACTTAAACATTTGAAAACTTGGACACTAAATTCAAAAAACCAATCAAAGCAAACATTTCTGTCACAGCTTCCTCAGTTTCTTCTTGAGAAAGTCTTTGAAAAAAGAAAGTTTTTAAAAAACCATGGAATTACCCACGGCTCAATTCTTAAAATTAAATGTGAAAGTGAAAAAAATTTTTCTTTCATTTAAATTTGGTGAACTTTCATTTTGACCCAATTCAATCTCCCGACTTCAATGAGCCAAAAAAATCTACTTTTTTTAAAATTTCTAAACTATGATTATCCGAAATTTCAGACCTTTCTTCAATATAGGAACTTGGATTATTCGAGTAACCCCTTCCAAATTTCAAAAGCGAATTTTTCCTTTGAGCTCCCCATTTTTTTTTCCAGAATCGTGAGCTTTTCCCCGTTTTTTTTGTTTGTTCGATTGCAGAACTTGATGGTATTTTTTTTTTCCTCCGCCAGGTTCTAATCCTTCATGTCCTTTCCCTCATTTCCCACTTCCAATCAAGGCTCGAAAAATATTCAACCTTTCCACGCCCATTTCTTTAATCTCTTATGATCTTTCCTCATTATTAGGTCTCCGAAAAAAGCAATAAGAAAGCCCAAAAGACACAAGGGGTGAGGAAAAACAGAGCCAATGTGGATCGAGAGGAAGAAGAAAAAAATATATATTCTTTCAATCTACACCAGCTGACACCCGGGTGTCGGCCAGCGGCTTCCGTCTTCGCCTTTATTCTCCTCTTTTTCATCCTCCTTCTTCAACCCAAAACACATCTTGTTCTAGTTTTTGTTCTTCAATCTTGTCCATATGTCTCCGGCCGGAGGGCCCGGATTATGTTTGTTACACAGAAGGAACTCGAGTAATGGAGAAAAAAAGTCGAGCTTTTTCGTCGGATTAACCATTGTTGCGGAGTCAGAGGGGCACTTCCTTACATTTTGTTAAGCTCCGTCATTCATCATGACTGATCCGCGAAGGGTTTCGCTGTTCAACCGCTGGTCACAGAAGCAGAACGAAGTCGCCGCCACCGGTTTCGAGGACATCAACGAGGAGGAGATCATGGAGTACAAGGAGGCTTTCCGGCTTTTCGATAAGGTAATCTAATAGTGGCTGGGGCTGATTGAGAGCTTTGAGTTAATTAGGTTCTCGAAAAGATAGTCAGTAAAGTTGAAGCCCCCACCAATGATCTTCTCAAGACTGGACTATCTGGACCTCAAAAAAAAAGAGGAAAAATCTCAAGAACATCAAAATCAGTGAACCCACACCATAGAACCACCTGAAATATCTGTATTTTGAAATAAGATAAGCTGGAGAAAAAATCTGAGCCGAATTCATGAAATTCGATTACCACTTGTCCAACAAAATAACTCAGTTGGGGTTAGGTCAAAACAAGTTTTGAATATTTTTCAAAATCTGGAGTAAACAAAGTTCTCCGCAAGTGAGTTGAGCATTTGGATGAAATCGAATTCCAAGACGAGATGTTTGAACTGGATGTGGATCAGGGAGACTTCTGGAGTTGGGTCAAACTAGACCGACTAGGTAGCTTCTAGAGAGAGAGAGACGATCCAGACACCAACCTTAGCCTAAACATGAAAAAAAAACCCTCAAGGTCAGACTGTTTCAGGACGGCAACGGTTCAATCTCCTCGAAAGAACTTGGCGTCGCGATGCGGTCCCTCGGTCAAAACCCCACCGAGCAGGAGCTGCTCGACATGGTCAACGAGGTCGACATTGACGGCAGCGGGACCATCGACTTCGGCGAGTTCTGTCAGATGATGAAGCGAATGAACAAGGTTTCTTTATTGCGAGTGTAGATGATCATTGAGATGGTTGCAGGAGAATGACAGCGAGATGATCCGCGAGGCGTTCCGAGTCTTCGACCGCGACGGGAATGGCTATATCACCGCCGACGAGTTCCGCTACTTCATGACGCACATGGGCGAGCAGTTCAGCGACCAGGAAGTCGACGAGATCATCGCCGAGATTGATATCGACGGGGACGGACAGGTTGGTAAAGCTTATTCTTGACAAGTTGTTAGATCCTTTACTATCGCTACCTACTGCTCGTGGGAAAACGGACACTTAACACCCAAAAAGGCCTCCCTTGTTAGCTTTATGGTTCGATTTTAGCCGCTTAAGAATTTTCAAAATAATCCACTTCCTCTAATAACTTTAGACCTCCAAAACCGAGTAAAAAGTCTTCACGGAACTTCTCAAATATAGTTATTATCGCCTCTTTTCCCCATACTCTATCATTATATTCCAACTTTAACCGCAATTTACGCCCACCAGATGAACCTAATTACGGGGGGATCGCGCTATCTTCAGTCGCAATTTCACAAACGAAGTGCGACGTGGTAAATATTTTTATTTTCACCCTTCGGCTTTGAAAGGATTCTAGTCTTTTTCTTCTTGTTTTGAATAGATTTTTTAAAGTTCAAAAATGAAGGTGCAAAGTTCGAATAGTTCTACGGATAAAAAAATAAAAAGAAACTTAAAGAATTGGAATTTGAAAAAGGATACATTTTTTTCTAATGAGACTTCCTTCACTAGATCCACCATATTTTTTTCTCAGGGATTCATAATTTCTAAAAAAACGGTGCAGCAAGCTTTTTGATACGGCAACCTAAAAAGAAAATCAAAAAAACCAAACGAAGCAAAAACTACGCCAAAAAAACCAGTCAAAGGAACTGAGCCTAAGACTCTTCGTTCTACAGCTAAGACCCTTACCAACTGAGCTAAGTTGATAAAAAAGCATTTTCTATAATTAAGTGAAAAATAAAGAAAAATCGGGCGCACAACTGAAGCCAAAAAATTCAAAAAAGCTAGAATTCGTCAAAAATCAGCCAAAGGGAATTGAACCAGCAAGCTTAAAAATTCATCAGAGATCGAACCAAAGACCCTTTGAGCCTAATTTAAACACACTAACGGCAAAAATCCGACAGGGCCCGAAATCATGACCTTCCGAGTCTCATTTGAGCCCGCAAACGGCAAAAAAACCAACAGAGACCGAACTCGGGACCCTCAAAGCCTCATTTAAACACACAAACGGCAAAAATCCGATAGAGACCGAACTCGGGACTCTGTTAAGCTCATTCAAACAAAAAACAGCAAAAATCTAACAGAGTTCGATCTCATGACCCTCTAAACCTCATTCAAACGACAAAAAAGGCAAAAATCCAACAGAGACCGAACTCTGGACCCTCCGAGCCTCATTCTAGCACACAAACGGCAAAAATCCAACAGGGACCCAACTCGGAACCCCCAGAATCTCATCGAAACACCCAAACCTTTACCTTATACAAATATTTCAATTTTCAGATCGACTACGAAGAATTCGCTTCGACGTTCTCCCACTAACTTTCTTCCCAACAAACCAAATCCATTCGCTTCGGGTCTCAACGCTGAGCACTATGTAGTAGAAAAAAACCGATCAAAACCAAACAAATGACAAAAAATTTCCTGCAGCGCCAGCCAATCCTTCCCCATACGATGTACTATTCCACTGTTTACACTATTTATCTTCTTGCCGTTCTTTTTTTTTTCCTTCATCTCATCTTTGTTCATTCAACGTTGTGCAGTCCTCCCACATCGAATAAACTGCTTCTTTTTTTTCGCTGGCTACTGGGAAATTCGGAATCGACACACGATGGGTGTATAGTCGGAACATAAAGTTTAAAGAAATCCAAGAAATTATGGAAAATTCAAAGCGATCCAGTTATAAATTTGATCTCAAAAAGAAAACTCATAGAATTTTTGGTAATAGATATCTCTAACAAAAAGTATTCATCATAAATCAATCAGGAAAAGCTCATGCTAATTTTAAATTTTCCCAATTTTGCAAAATCTTCCAAGTTTCTCCCCTTTGCAAGAAGCTGAAAATTAGCCTAATAAAAATTTTTTCCAGCTTTCAAAATTGTTTTTGAACGAAATTATTCATTGAATTTCACAAAAATCAAGCCCAAAACGAAGATAACAACATTTTTTTCAAAAAAATTGATCCATAATCTCAAGCTTCTCAATTATAACCGTTTAGATGAAACCTATTGCATTTTTGTGATTCAGAAAAAAACCCGAAAAAAAGAATCTAATCCTAATTAATCTCCAAACATTCTAGTGCACATGGAAAAAAACGCTAATTTCCATAGAAATTCATAATCTTTTTTTAATCGATTTGTTTTTTTAATGTGAAACGATAGTCATCTTCCTTTCCATTTCAACTTTTTTTCAGAGCAAAAAGTTTAGAACGAAAATTTAGATTTTTGTATCCTGAATTACTGTTTTTGCCTCATCTCATTTACGAAATTCCAATGATTTATTTTTTTGAATATTTTTTTAGAATCCTTATATTTACTGCGAAGCTGGTGAAAAGTGAGAGAGAGCGATTAAACGAATCAAAAAAAATGACCCGCAGTGATGAACCCTATCCGAAACAGGGAGTTTTTTTATTTTTTTAGTTTTTCTTATAATCTTTCAACTTAGGAACTCCAGAGTGGTCCCTATGGGGGGCATCCTTAGGACCCTTGAAGCGCCCCTCCAGAGATCACTTTACCAAACCCTATAGGGACCAGTAAAGCTTTATAGGGGTTTTAGTTAGTGGCCCCTATAGGGGACATGCTAGTCGATAATGTTTGCGAAGAAGAAATTGCGAAAAACTGAAAATAATAATTTTGAACGGCCCCTATAGGGACCACTTAAGCTTTAGGGGCTAAGAGATCAGACCCCTATAGAGACTATCTTAATTTTACTCCTATAGAGACCTTTTTTCGGTCCCTATAAGGCCTGATTTTCTACCGAACCTCTACAGGGATCCCTATAAAATTCCTAAACCTGTACTGAAAACGGGTGAGAAGATTTTTAGCAAAACGACTGAAGAAGTTGATTTTGAACTCACCCATAAGGACGAGTAGAGCGTGGCGAACAAGGCGGACATGTAGCAGACCGTGACGAGTCGCCGTTGTGGCGAGATCATGTGCTGCAGGTAGGCCGCCGGACCCCACAGGAACGCGAAACTGTAACTTTTATTTTATTCAGGGTTCCTGTGAAGTCTTCACTCTTTTCTCGTCGCTCCCTTTTCGAGGCTTCCCCCAAAACATGGTTTCCGGTCATTGACTACAAAATCCGCTACATTTTGAGCTCGTCAAGGCGCAACTGGATGGACTACTCGCAGAAGAACGAGGCGAAGGTCAGTAAGACCATGCTTTCAACTTGATCAACTACACGTTTTTTATTCAAGTTCGCCAGGAAACTTGTTCGATATTGCTTCAAAAGGTACTTCTCCCTGATTAATGGATTACATCTATGACTATAGCACAAAAACCAAAATAAAGAATAATTTTTTCTTTGATTAATTTCGAAGCTTCTGCCCTTCAGACCAACTCCTACATGTTTATTCTGGATTATTGTTCGTTAAAAATTTTCTTTTTCTTCCCATGATTCAAAATTCTGGCTCATATCAGTCATATCAAAAAGCTTGTCACTTTTTATTTTCTACCGCAAAACCGTTCGGAATTTTTCTGCGTTGCAAAGTCGTTTCGACACCAGTTCATTTTAGCAGCATCTCAAAACGAAAACGCAAATTGATTGTGCTTACGGAAGATTTTCTTCTTCTGTGCTTTGAAATGCGACCGTCTCCCTTGGCTTATACTATAAATATAAGCTTGAATATTTCTGTGAAGAGCTGTTTGAGCCACCTTTGATTCTCTAAAGCAGCAAGGTTAGAAAAAAATTCGAATGCTGTGTTTAAAGTAATTTCGGCTATTTCAAATTACATATTTTGTTTTGAAATGATACCACAAAAAAATAGAGTTAGTGCCGTGATAAAAAAAAAACTAGGTCCCAGAAAGATATAGCGACTTCAACGCGCAGAACTTCAAATTTTGGAAATATATAGGCTATTCATCGAAAGTGCCAGACAGAATATTGAAAACTGAGAAATATTAAAAAATTGTCTCTGCCATCCTTAATAAATGATCTTTTCAAAAAACACCAGTGAGAATTATTTTTCTTCCAAGCTATACTGTACTGTCAAGAGTCATAAAGCTGCAAGACCAGGCCTTATTTTTTAAAATATTCCTTCGCAAAATTATAATCATTGATGTTTCCGAAAACCTCTAAAAAACATATCCCCACCTCCCCCAAGCTTTATTGTACTACCAGGAGTCATGCAGCGGCAGGCCCAGACCTTTTTTTCAGAAATTTTCCATCAACTTTCCGAAAATCTCTACACAAAATATTTTTTTCCAAGCTACACTGTACTGTCAGAAGTCATGCAGCTGCAAGACCAGGCATTTTTTCAGAATATTCCTCACCAATTTTCTAATCAGTGGGCTTTTCAACAATTTCCACTAAACATATGTTTTCCAAGCTACACTGTACTGCCAGGAGTCATGCGGCGGGCCTTCTCTTCCAGAAAAAAGGAAGGACAAGACAGCTGGCTTCAATTAAACCATGAGAGAGGTTTTGAGGGCAAATTCCTCGCAAAGTATCGAACAACATCTCGTCTGTCCGCCACGCCCCGTCCAACAATCAATCACAGCTTGATGGCAGTCGCCGAAGGAGAAGCACCCGGGGAAGAAAAGGGAAAAAAAGAGGTTCGAAACGGCTCTCATGAGAAAACCATCTCCGCAGGCTTGTGACGCCGAGTTCAAGGGCAAAACTAGCTCAACAACAATATCAAAAAAATAATCCTCAAGAGGGCTTTTGGTTATTGGGGGCGAAAAATTCTTTTTTTTTCGACGCCTCGGATGACAAAATGGCTGACAAGGGCGGCTATTTTAGTGTAAAGCACGGAATTTTTCAAAAAATTCGCTCAAGCACTTTTTGAAGGTCTAATAAAACATTGCTCAAAGTCGCTAAAGATGCAAAATTTTTTTCTGAAAATATGAATTTTCAAATATTAAATAAAAATTATTGACTTTTTTTGTTAGATGCGAGCTTTGAAAATTTATATTTCAAAAAAACATGTTTGTACAGGATCCTTACAAAACTTTTCATTTCTCAAAAAGTCTTTTTCAAAAAAATTCTCAACGGAGCGCGTTAGAAAAAAACATTTCATGGCTATTTTTTTCTCAGTCCGTTTTAGAACTATTTTTTTAAATGAAAACTACTTTTTTTGATGACACTGAACACCGAAGAAAAAGCTTATTTTCTGATTCTCAATGGAGCGCATTAGATAAGTTATTTACTTTTTCAGCTTTTTCATTGGTTTTTCTGAACTACTGCTGGTTTTTTTCATGGAGGAGATTAGTGGAATCAGAACCTGGTAAATTAAAATATTCAAGTTGCACCAGATTGTCAATGAAGCATTTTTTCAGAATATTTGCGGACATTTTTAAACCATGAAGTGTGAAAAACTTTTCAGGGCAGTTTTTAAATAAAGTTTATTTTTCCAATGACCCTTTACATTGATCAGAAGACTCATTTTATGATTCTCAATGAAGCGCATTAGAGAAATCATTTTTCGACTATTTTTATTTTTATTTCTTCATGGACTAGTGAGGGAGATTAGTGGAAAAAAAATCTTGTGAATAAAAATATTCGAGTTGGGCCAGGTTGTCAATGGAGCACATTTTCAGAATATCCATTTTTAAACCACGCAGGGTGAAAAACTGAGCGCTTTGAGAAAATAGTGAGCTGTCCTACTTCTGTTAGAAATATCTCAAATTTTTGAAGAAATATTTTCTATTAGTCTGAATTCCAGTTTAATATTTTGTGAAACGGCGAGCTCCGTCTGGCTATTTCAAACTCCTCAAGCGAGCTCGGATTATCAATGGAGCAGCTAATAAAAATCCTCGGCTATTTTTTCCCAACTTTTTTCCAGGCTATTTGTCTAGCGGCTATTTTTACACACACACATGAGCAGGCGTGCTTGCGATAAGAGTAGAATCAATTGAAACGCGGAAACGATTTGAAGAGGAGATGGACCTCAGGATGAGAAGGGCCGATCCGAGGGTGTTGAGTGCGGCGAACTTCCGCGTCGACACGATTATCAGGGGGATGAGGAACGCCGCCTGGAAAATCAGAAGTTTTGGAAAAGTTGTCCGTTTACAAGGAAGGTCATTCAAAATTGCGGTTCAGAATTCGCCGGAGCTCTCCTTGATGACCCAGAAGAAGGGTCTGAAAGTCCCGATCTGCAAAACTTCCTTGACTTACTCAAAGTCAAAGAATCCGGTGAAGTCACTCGTGAGGGTGACCTAAAACCGGTTCTTAACCTTATTTATTCTTTTTCACTTTGGGGATGAGTAAATTATTATTATTATAAAAGAAAACCCTCGAAAACCGGTAAAATATGCCATCTTTGACCCCTGATCTCTCGGAAACTAGGAAGTTGTGCAGGTTGAGACTTTCAGAATCTTATTTGGAACATCAAGAAGGGTTCTGGCCAATTTCCAGGGTATTCCCAACCGCAAAGTAAAATGACCTCCCTTGTTGGTGGAATAAGGTGAAAAGTGATTTTCCGCCATTTTTCTGGAACTCGAAATTGAACACTGTTAGTATTTTCCACTGAAATTGTTAATTCTCTATCCGAATCTTTCTATGAAGCCTCATTACATCAGATTAAGCTGGAATCAATGGTATTCTAGCGAGTTTCAGGCCTTTCATATTTTCAGGAAAACGGCGAAAAATAAGTTTCCACTTTATTGCATACGACCTCCGGTTTGCATACGACCTCCGGTTTTTATCTAGTTGGACCTGAATAAGCCAATTTTTTATCACTTGAATAGGCCAAGAACTAATTCAGTAACATGTTGCGGTCGCGACGCGGCTTCTGGCGGGAAACGAAAATTCATACGCCGCCTTCTTTTATTCACTTTTCGGATAACTTTTGGGCCCTGATTCCGCAAAAATCGAGATAGCTAGCTGTCCGAGAAGGAAGAAGATAACTAAGAATTGAAAAGTCAGAAATAATACGGCATAAAATAACTTAATTCCTTAAATTATGACCTCATGAAAAAAATTTTTCTTTCATTCATAGACCGTCTGATAAAAAAAGAAAAAAATATCTTAATCTAATGGGATCCAAGACCTTTTTGAGCCATTCCAAATGCAAAAAAAGCCTTTCAATAGTCGAGACTTACGACTTCATTTTTCACGGTTTTAATAAATTTCTCATTTTGATATTGCTTTACAATTGTTGGATTTTTTTAAAATCACAAAGCCATTCCAAATGCGACCAGGGTCTTTCAAGTACTTAGTAAATAAGATCCCTCTATGAATGAAACCATAAAAAAACTGTTTTTCCTCACAGTTTCCATATTTTTCAAATTTTCCGTATATGTTATACTTCACAGTAAGCACTTCTCATTCCTCAAAAAACATCGAAAATTTGAATAACCCAATGTTCTCTGAACCTTTCATCTTTGGCGCCCCAATTTTCGTGTCAAGACCATTTACATGACTCTTTAATTGTCCTAGACAGCGGTGGCAGTATATCGACAGCTTTTTCAATGGGGTGGGTGGAACTGAGCATGTTTGAAATTGGAGCAAATATTCTTCTAGAGGAAATTTTTCAAGGGATTTTTTTGGCGAATAAAAATTTTTTTCAACTAAAATTTGATTCAAAAGCGAGCTATATTTATAACAATACAGAGAAAATAAGAGATCAACAGCCGCCTGAAGAGATAACAGACAACTTTAGTGCTCCAAGTTCTCTGGCGTCTCTTCAAATCGCCGCTACTCTTTAGCCTCTCCTTTTTTATCACTATGTCTGATTTTTGAATAAAAATGATGATTTTGCACTGAAAAATGAGTCATTGAACGACCAGACGGATTATTTCCTTATTGAGGAAGGAAACTCGGAGAAGAAACAGGAGAAGCGTGGGACCAAGATTCGATTCCCACGCCAACAAAGAGGTCAGTGACGTCATAATGAAGTAGAAACAGGAGCCTGAGCTACCTGCTCCACTTCACATGCAACTTTGAACAAGCACGGGGTCCAATTTTTTTCTGAAGCATTTCAAAAAAAATTGTATTTGATCAGAAGAGGTTAGAAAGTTCAAAAAAAGCCTACAAATCTGGGAAAGGATTTTCATTGGAAGAAAGAAAGAACCAAAAAATCGCCGATTTTATACAAAGCCCTTCCGAAAAAGAAACCAGAAAAAAAAATTTGAATTAAGATCCTTATCAATCTTTGATAAAATCCATCTAACTCATTACAGACTCGACTAGATTCTCAGCAAACTTTTGATGAGAATATCGAAAAATTACCGTGGAAAAGCAGAAAATTGCGCCGATGAGGCACATGAAAAAGGCGAAAATCCTCTGAGTACGCGTCAGACCGAAGAAATTCTCATCGCCGCTGGAAAACCAGCCGCCCGTGTTTTTTCTGAATTCATTTTTGCATAAAATCTCGGAAAACAATCTTCAGACCTAATGACCTGTTCAAAAATCATTCCGTTCATTTCAATCTTAAAAAAGTATCTTACAGTCTCAAGCTAGCTAAAATTAATAAAATACGGTCGTTTCTCAACCATATTTTTTTCACTTTCCCTGGCTTTTTTTTAAAAATCAAATTTTTTTCCCATTCTATTGAAAATAACTAACCAAAAAAATACTACGACGAAATTAATGAATTCATTATGATACATTTTTTTCTTTGATTGCTCAAAAAAAACTTAAGCTTCTTATTAGGAGCTCTTTAAAAAAATTTTTCTACACTCCATCAGACCGGAAATCAGGTGAAAAATAACTGAAAACGGGACAAAAAAATGGTTGAAAAAAATTATCAAAAAAAAGGGATGTCTAGTGACCGGAAAGCCATCGAAAAATTTGGAAATTTCGTTTTAACTTCAAAAAGAATAATGAAAATTCAAAAAACGCCCGTATTTTATTGATTTGTAATGGAGCTCAAAAAAAACGGTCGCATTTTTTAAATGATTTCCTTCTAATAGTAACCGTTGACTTTTGGAAAATTTTAATATACCTGTTCTTTGAAGCGGGAAGTTGAGAATCACTTCCATCGAGTTCGCTGCCAAGCAATTGAGCTTCCGCCGTGTCACTTCTGGACATCATTGGAAGCTGGCTGAAATTATCATTTTCTTTCATTTCAAAAATCTAATTACCCAAGATATTGGTTGATTTTGAATTTAAATATTTCTAAAAAGGACCGCAAAAACTGAAAAAATTCGCCGAAAAATAGCCCAAAAAACCTTTTCGAACAGTTCGGGAGAAATAAATGTAAAACAAATTTTCTCTTTCATTTTTTTCGCGAATAGTAACCTTTTTCGACTTTTCAGTACCTCCTTTAGTGAAAAATTTATTTTCCTCAATTTTTTTAAACCTTTTACCTTTCCTAAAAGAGATCTAACAAAAATTTCAAACTGTTATTCAGCTAAAATAAACCTTATTTTTTTCGGCACGTTTCCAAACTATTACTTAATAAAACAATCAATAAAACTGTGGAAAATTTTTATTTAAAGGTTACAAAAAAATTTTAGCAAACGTAAAAGCCCCTAAATGATACCTCAGTTTTTAAAAAAATCATTAAAAGAATCCAGGTGTTTATTTCAACAATGTTTCAAGCTCAAAAAGTACAAAAAACTGAACTTTTGAATTTCGATAATAAATTCAATGAGAATGCATAAAAACCTGATCGAGGAAGAGAATTTCTGCTTCCAAGAATCCAAAGAAGTGAATGAAGAGGAGCTGGCCGCCGCGTTTTTCTTCTTCTGATCGCTCACAAACTGCTCTAATGACGTCATAACTCTAAAAAAAAATAATCAAGCTACAAATAATGACACAAAAAGGATGACCAGTGGGTTTAAGCCGCTGAAAAAAGACACAAAAATAAAAATAAAACAAAAACATTTATCTAACTGAGCAATATCTACACAGGAAAAAGAATTTTAAAAGTTCGATCTAATGATGAGAATCCCAGGACGTCGTGCCGTGCTTCGCAAATTGATAACCTTCTTCGATAGCGATCAAAGCGGCTGCGAAGGCTACGCCCGCCTTCCAACCGGGCAAAATCAACTGAAATTTTCATATTCTCCACATAAAATTCCCAAAATTCAACCTTCTTGAAATGCGCCCATTGGCCGACGACGTGTGGGTATTTTCGGTCGTAGAGGTAGACGTAATTTCTGAAAAATAAAATTATTTCACTAAGATTATAGAAAACTGACCTGATCCAAGGATCCTTGAGGCCGATCTCTGCCAGTCGTTTCTCATGTTGAGCCAATTGGGGGAAATCCTGGTAGTTGTTGTAAATCGAGTAGTTCGGGATTTTGAACGGCTCGTGATGTCCACCACCCATGGCTCAAAAAAACTTTATATTTATTCTAAAATCAAAAAAAGGAAATTCAAGAAGAAAAAAATAGGGTTACGTTGCCTTGTTTCTTTTTCTGATCATAAAAAAAAGTTTCGCAAATTTTAACAAACTTGCAAATTTATGGAAAAAAATAAATAACAGTGTGAGTTATATAATAAAAAAATAGATATCAAACCAATTGATGCGATTATTTCCACATGATTCCATCATTTTACGATTTTTCAATCATCAAAAAAATACTATCAAACAGATAAACCTCAACAGATTCAAAATAAATCAAAAAGAAAAGAAATTTTGAAAAATCCAGCAAAAAAATTTCGGACGGCAGTGGGAAATTTCGCGCACGCCTTGCCGTAGGCCTTAATTTTGCAAGCTGCCTCGCGGTCTTCAGGATCGATTGACTTCCACCTGGCTTGCCATTAAACCTGTTTTCACATGTTTAAAAGGCATTTTTTCATTTTTGTGCGACTTTTTTTTCATCCGAAATTGACGTATCATAAGGCCCTGTATCAGTCACATTGTTCTCAACATTTATTTTCCAGTTCTATAGCGCCTTGACCGTTGAAAGAAACAAGTATTCAACGATGTCTAAACGAAAAGAAAAGGCTGTTAGTTTATTTTATTTGATTTCTCAGATTAATTTTTATTTTGATTAGGTAGAAGACGACTCTCAACTGACCAAAGAACAAACCGAAATCGCGAAATTCTTGCGATTCAACTGCCCATCAGCTTCTACACTTTTTGAAGGCAACGAAGTCCATTACTTCAGCGGTAAAGAACTCAATAAATTTCTTATATTTTTTGATTTTTTTAGGAAACAAAGCAGTGGACACGTTGCTGGAGTCGAAGTATGGAAATAAGGGAACGAAAAACGTGCTCTTCAAGACTAGGTTCAAATCGACCAAAAATAAAAAAAAAATAATGAATAATTTTCAAGAGAAGACGCGACTCATTACATTTCCGACCTTTTCTCCAAGCAATTGTTCTTCCGCGCCAAGAAGTTAGTGCCGAAAAAGAAGGAAGATAAGGAAGTCGAAACAGGTAAATATTTCATGTTCTAAATTTTAATTAATTATTGTTTTGAAGCGGGAGACACCCCAAAGTCACCGAAGAAAGATGGGGAGAAGAGGAAAAAGGGAAAAGAAAGGAAAGAAGAGGAAACGGTGACCGAAACCGAGGCTGATGAGCGCAAAAAGGACGACGATGAGGAGAAGAAGGATTCCAAGGTTTGATTTTTTAAATATTAAACATTTTATCTTCCTTTTTTTCAGGACGAGGAGAAAAAGAAAAAGAAGAAGGTCAAGCTTTTAGTGCACAATATTCAGGTGTGTTTAGTATTTTTTTTTTTGGAATCTCTTGCATTTTATTGTTCCAATGTTCTAGTGGTAATTTTTATTCGGAATTTTTCAGACATTTTTAAGCTTCAAATTTCGATCACTGTTATTTCATATCATGAGAATTAAATTTTCAGGTCTTCGTTGACGAAAAAGATGTCTACGTTTGGGTCTTTGACCCGACGCCGCTGTACAAAAAGGTCATCGGAGTTTTAATGCGTGAGTTTTTTTTTAATCTCGTTCTATGATTTACTTTCGAACAATTGCTGAGAAAAATGTTTCTGTTTTAATTGGATTTTTCTAGAAATGCTTACGAATCTTTGTGTAGGATTCTAACTGAAATCGCATAGAAATTGGTTCAGAATGATAGTTCTGAAAGGAAGAATATTAACTTGAATTTTGACCTATTTCATGAGGTTTTGTCTTTTTTGTAGTTATTCAATAACCGAAGGGTTTTTCGAGAATGAAACCCAATTTTTCGGATTTTCTCTGAAACAAATTTTTCGTAATTCTTTAAAAAAATCTAGTTTTTTTATTTGCTCGAATTAAACTTCAAAACTGTTCAGTTCATCTTCACAATTACTTCAGAATTTATAACTTTAAATAGAAAATATTCTAATCGGCGTATCAACCAGATATTTTTTTAGGGTCCCAAAAAAATTGGAAGATCGATAAAAAGTTGATAAGTTAATGATTAAAAAAATGCTCTTAACGTTATAAAGACAGAAATCGAATCATTGTTTTTAGCTGTTTTTCAATTGTTCTTATTCAACTCGACTTTTTCAGCCTTCTCAATGATACAGTTGTCTGAATAAAAAAATGTGTGAAAAAAATGATGAAAGGCTTTCTGAAATTGAAAACATTGAGAATTTTTTTCAATTTTTTTCATGCGGTCCGACTTCTCATTTATCCAGTTTTTTTAATTAAAAAAACATCAGAAAAGTTAGTTAATAGGTTCTCGAAACTTCTTGAAAAGACATTTTGAATTATTTGAAAGTTTTTTTAAAAATCTCTCTTGCAAAGAGCAAAAAAATTATAAAAATATGTTTTTTTAGTGGTCGGAACGATTGTCGGATGTCTTTTTCCCATTGTGGCCGATGTGGCTGCGACAGGGCGTTTATTACCTGTCCCTGGGCGGAATCGGTGTCTTCGCTTCTATCGTCGTCGTTGCCATTTGTGAGTGTTTGTGTTTTTTTCAGAATTAGGCGCTAAAAATGATTTGGTAGTTTTAGATTGAATTTCCATTAGGAAAAAGTCCAGAATTGACGAAGAAATAGGTGAATTGAAAAATGAAAAGGGATAGAGAAGTGTGTGGTTGATTCTAAGAAGTCAAAATTTTATTATTTTTACTTTTTGAGACTTAGTTTCAATCGCTACTGCTAGCCAAATTCAGTCGACGAAAAAATGTTTTTTTTTTGTTTGATTTTTTGAATTTTTTTCTGTGCAACAAGAAGTGTTTATTACTCAATTTCGTTACTTTACTTAGCATCTCCAGAGTGCTCCCTATAGAGGCCCTTTGGAGGGTCCCTCTAGGGGACCACTTGGCCAACTCCTATAGAGGCCCCTAAAGCTAGCGAAAGGATTCAGGTTAGCGGCTCTATAAGGACTTTTTTCCCTCATCCCTATAGGGACCACCCTTGCAATTCTTAGTAGGCTGGAATAGTTTTTTTTTTCTAACTTCTTCTCTAGATAACTCGGGCAAATTCAAAAAACACCTTAATTTAAAAACGTTTTTTGATTTTGCAGTAAGAACGATATTGTTCGGAATCATCTGGCTGCTCACGATGGGACAGCACAAACTTTGGATCTTGCCGAACCTTACCGAGGTCTGAAAAAGATTTTAAAAATGGCTATTTTGTTGAAAATTCAAGGACTGCGGTGTGATCGAGTCCTTCAAGCCGTTCTACACCTACGAGTATTGCCCTCGAAATTCTGAAGGATCGAAACCGTCGAAGGGAAAGAAGAAGTCGAAGAAGGAGAAGGACAGCGGTGAGTATGATATTTATTCAGTAAATTTAATGAAAATGCTCCTTTGTGATTTTAGCAAAGCTTGAAGCGGAAATTCATCATGTTTTGCTCTCAAAAACCAGAAAATCGTTCAGACAACGAAGAGAACAAGGACGACGAGCCGGCCCCGCCAACAACGGAGGAAAAGGAGCGCGACAGTTCGGTGGAAGACGACTTTGACAAGATTGACGATGTCGACAAATCTGAAGGCACTTCCGAAGACGACGACGGCGAGGAAGCGAAAAATAGCGAGGTTCGTGTAAAACAGTGGCTAAAAATGAGAATTCAGGAAAAAGGAGACTTTTCTGTTCATTTTTCTTGATTTTGAGGTTTTAACTTTCGGTTTCCGACATCGGTAACGCGAAACGGACGTTTCTGAGCCATTCTAGGGATCACTTAAGAGGGCTGAAGCTACTAAAGTGGTTACTAGAATTGCCCACCACGTCAGATTTGCGTTACCAAGATCCGAGGGTACCTTTTTTCAGTTCAATAGAGCGAGTTTCGAGTTTCTCTTTCGTTAAATTTTTTAGCACATTTTGTGAAATTTCGACATTTTCTCTTGAACTTTTCGATTGAACTAATATAATTGCTTAAATGGCCATTGTGAAGAAAATAGGAAGATTTTTAGTCGTATGCCATGTTCAAAGTATTTTCCGCAGTACTAAAATGAAGAGGCCTTTTTAAAAGTCTAATTTTTATTACTAAACCGCTGAAAACTACTGTAATGGCCACTAAGAGGCAAGATAGTCATTAATATAGTGACCCCTTTAGGGTCATTTATAAATAGTCCTTAAAGAACCTCTCTAGTGGTCAGTAAAGCTTTTCCGAGTAATGCCGTGTTCGAAGCAATTTCCGCTAAATTGTCTCTCATTCTCCAAAATTTAGTTATCTTTTTCATTCTCTGACGGCTATTTTTTATTTGAACACTGCATTAAAATAAATAATTCAGCAGCCATTTCGTAGTTCAAGGGTTTTTTTCTGATTTAAAAAAATGAAAGAACTCTTTGTAATTTTTAAAAAAAGGACTCTTTGGGTCAAATTTTCCTATGAAACAAATTACAGAACCAATCCTCGGCGCATTCAACTCCCGAAGAGAAACAAGCGGCCCGGAAACGGCGACCGGCCAAAGTTTAAATAAAACATAATTTTCTATTTCCTACCTAACACAAAATGATATAATTTAATATATTTCTTTTTTTCAACGCATTTTACTGGATGTCATCTTTTTTTCTTGCTTCTTTCAGAATTATGTAGGCGTCGCCATTTGGGTACTGGTATCGTCCAAAAAAAGTTTCATTTTGTTCCTTTTCTGGTCTTTTCTTTCTAGCATCATCTCTTTCCTGTGATTTTTGGTTACTTCGCACAATAAATTTTTCATCATTTAGGGGAAAACTTCATTGAACGAAATACAACTGAAAAATTAATCGAAACAATAGGAATCAAATATATACTTTTTAGATTTGTGTTAGAAAAAAAACTCTGTCTGGAGAAACGGGCCCTTTAGGTTGGCAATGGAAAAAAGAAGAAATGAAACAAGAAATTTTTTTTTGAGGTAAGAAGTGGTCACTTTAGGGTCTCGATCTGCAGGTAGAAAAAATTTTTTTGGGCTCCAAAATTCTCAAAAATAGAAAGAATACCTCATGTATCACAAAAAAAAGTTAAATTTCTCTCTTTTGATTCGAATATCTTTTGAATTATTCCACATTGACCCGCACTGTATGTGTCCGATGAAATGGGAAATACAAGGAGAACAACAAAATTATAAGGGGACAAAAAAAAAAGATCAAGTTGCTCGTATGATTGCGTTGAAATTGGATTTGAACTCAATTTTATTCACTCACACTCTCTTATTTTGTCCTGTAACAGTGTCGGATTGGGATTTCAATGATAATAGAGCGGAGTTGAGTACGAACCCATCTTTGGCTTTCTTTGCGACGGAGGCTGACCCGCGGCGGCGGCTGCGTCCATCGCCATGTTCGCATAGAGTGGCGCCACCGAGGGCGGGCATCTGCGAAATGTTCGGTTCATCGAAAATATTATGGGTTTTCATGGTATCAGCTAGTTCTAAATGAAAGTGGACCTGTGCAAATATTAAAAATCTTTATTTTACCTAGTTCTAGCCATTTTTTGTGTTTTTGAAGTGTCAAATGACAAAACTGACCCAAAATAAATAAAAACCTAAACCCAAATGGCGCAGACCAAATCTGCGCCTAACTTGAAATTCTCAAAATTTGAAAAAGAATACATCACGTATCCCCAAACTGCCATTTCATCAACAAAAAAAAAAGTTAAATTTGATATTTCGAGAACCCTAAAGGTTCTTCAAGGTATCAGATGGTTCTGAATGAAGGAATAAGACCCTCTGAACCCAATAAAAACTCCACTGTACTCGATTTTGAACATTTTGAGCCGAGACACGAGATTTTCTAGTTTCAAATGACAAAACCGACACAAAACAAGGAAAAATCGATATTTCGAGAACCCTAAAGGTTAATCAGGGTATTAGATGGTTCTATGTAAGAGAAGACCCTCTGAACCCGATAAAAAACTTAACTTAACCGAGATTTTTAAGCCAAGATTTGAAGTTTTGAAGTTTAAAGTGACAACCAACTACAGCCCATTGAGCTCCGGCTTTTCAAAATCTTCATTTTCCTCCTAACTACGGAACCATTCCCTTTGATGACCTGTCCTTTCATTCAGCTTAGAAGCCCTGTTATTTTAAAGGCGTATACACAGAGACAGACCGCGCGGATCGAAGGGAAAGGAGGAAAAAAATAGAGACAAACTGGCGCAGATTTGGCTAACAAATAAAACTTTTTGAGGACCTGGTCTTTGCATTTTTCTGTTCTTCAGATCTAGTCCAAACAGCATTCCAGAGTGAAAAATCTCGAAAACAAAAAAATCATCAGCTAAGCGTCATAAGGTACTTAGAATGTATAAAAAACTCTTAAAACTGTTTTCTTCAAGTATTAGTTTCAAAATAAATTTTTCTGAGTAATCATGTTATAAGCACTACAGAAAAAAACTTCTTTTTTTGAGAACAGTTAGAAACGGAAAATGTACCCATAGGGAACCGGGTTGTAGCCGGCGGGAACCTGGTAGGCCTGAGGCGGTTGTCCTTGGCTCTGAATTTGCATGGCTTGCTGCATTTGCTGCTCCCTGTTGATGTACAGCTGCTGCAGGTGCGGCATCGCGTTCTTAATAAACTCTCATTGAGTTTAATTTTTCAAAACTTCAAACAGAAATGAAAATAAAAGGTACAGCGTGAAAAAGACAGCTTGGAAAAAAAAATGAAGTTTCATACAGTCCCCTTTCTTTATTAAAGGAGCATAGTCATGAGGGTCTCGAGGCGAAAAGCCGTTTTAATTGTTATTAAACCGCAAATTTCGAGATCCAAGCTATTTTCTCTACTAGGAATTTTAGAGGTTAGGAGAAAAAAAAATCCCTATAGCAGCAGAAAAAGTGGTCTCTATAGGGGTAAAATCAAGGTGGTCCCTGTAGGAGTTGAGGATCTGACCCCTTAGCCCCTAAAGCTCAAGTGGATCCTATAGGGGTCTTTCAATTTTTTTCAACAAACGCTTATTCATTCATTTTTCCCATGGAAAAGCTTTTTCGCCCAGTGTCCATAAAAATTATCGACTAGCATTTCCCCTATGGCAAGCTAGAGATCACTGTAGGGGTAGGTAAAGTGGTTGCTAGAGGGGTCCCTTCAAGGATCCCTAAGGTTGCCCCCAAAGGGACCTTTCTACACCAAAATTGCCACTTTTTCTTCGTATATTTGTTCCTAAATAGTTAATACAAAGCCTCTCTCAGAAAATCCCAATTTTTCCTTATCAAAAATAAGTTTCTCAAGCAAACCATAGGAACGTTAGCTCCATGGATAACCGGCGACTGTATGCGGCTGGGCGGTGGCGGAGGCACCGTCGTATCGAGATACTGATAGCCGTTAATGAACTGCGGCTGGAAATGAAATATTCATTGAAACATTAACGAAACAAAAATCATTTTGATTAATCTGAATAGAAACCAACATTATTCGAGGCATTTGGCATGAAGATTGTCTGATTGGAACAAGTTGGGAACTGCGGTGTCGCCTGGCCGTACATGTTCCTGACGTGTGGCGGCACGGAGCCCGAATTCATGAACATTGGCCCGTTTGAGGTCGGCTGCAAATGGAGGATAATGTTTAGAAAATGACGGGTATTGAGCGAGTGAATAGGTGTTGAAATGTGAAAATCAAACTACTCAGGAACTCGAAAGTGGTCCCTTTAGGGACAACCTTAGAGACACTTGAAGGGCCCCTCTAGGGAACACTTAAGCTTGCAATAGAAAACATGCTAATCGATACATTCCAAGTACTCTAAGAGAAGAGGCATCTCCATACGAAAATTCAAAAAAATTAACCGTTTTTTTAAAAAAATTAAATTGGAAGACCCCTTTAGGGGCTGAGGAGTCAGACCTTAAATCCCTACAAGGACCACTTTTTTTCCGCCCCTATAAGGTCTGTTATTCACCTAACCCCTATAGGGACTACTCTGGAATTCATAAGTAGAGATTAAAAAAATTATTAGTTTTATGTTTGACTCAGAAAACGATGACTAAAAATTGCTTAAAATTTCTTATCGGAGTTTTTGAAAGCGCTAAATATTTGCTTTATTTTGTACATTGAACCGTTTTTTTGGTTGGCTGCAAACAAAGGAGAAAAAAATCACGGGTAATTAAGTGATAAAATGAACTTCAAGAAAAATCAAAACAGTAATGAAGAAATGATAAATTATATTTTTTTAAACTCGAAAAGTGACGACTTAAAAAGTTTCTTCTCAAAAAAATCCGTTGTGTAGTTTTCAAAAGGGCAAAACTCTTGCAATATCTTCATTGGACCGTTTCAGGTCGGCTGCAAAACATAGGATAATAATCAATAAATAACGGGGATTGAGCAATAAAACAAAGCAGGACATCATAACGATCAAATCAGCTTTAAAAAAACTTGATTAAACCCTTTTTGAGTTTTTAAAAAAATGATAATTAAATAGGTTCTACTTGAAAATCCAGAATTTGATTTTTTTGCTTTCATTAGCTAAAAACGCCTTAAAAATTCTTTTTGAACCTTAAACTCCTTACTAAGGTCTTTAGAATAGACTAAACCTTATTTAAATGAAAAATATTTTTAAAATCGATCGACAATATTAAAAAAATTGATATTTTGAAAAACTAACATTTGAACTCATTCTTCCGTATTCCATATATGAGGGAGGCATCACCGGTTGCCTCGGCAAAACGACTGTTTCCGGGGATTTCGACCTCAAAAGAAATCGTTATAAGATGCAAATCAACAATTATGGTTACCTCGGAGCTGGCGGAACAACTTTAACGGCCGGCTCAGGTTCTGGCTTGTAATCAGTGCCCAGAATCCGGTTCCTTGCCTCGTCATAGGCTGCTTGGCGCTCCTGCAAAACACTCTTCTTCAATATCGATCGATTATAAATGAACCTCAAGAGTTTTCTCCGATTTTTTCTTGGCTTCATCATCATCTTTCTGATTCTGAACGTTGTCATTGCTCTTCGGCCTCCGCAGGATCTTCCTCGACCCGATTTCTTCGTTTGGCCTGAAAGTTGCGAAACAAATTACGAGAACCAGTCAAAATTCACAGTACCTGCTTAACAACTTGGGCGGCTCTGCGACCAAACCCTCCTCCTTTGACTTCTCAATGAATGCTTCCTTGTCGGCCTGTTTCTTTTGCAGGATTTTCACCTTAACAAAAACCTTATATTCAAAATAAAAAACTTCAAACACCTGTTTAAAGCGCTCTTCTAGAGACTTCTCCACACTATTGGCGTCATCATCCTCCCAGTTCTCGGCAACAGCTACTTTAAAACAAGAAAATGAGAAAATGAGAGATTTTTTGAGTTACCGTTGGCTTCCACATTATCGCTCATTACGGCCTTTAGCAGCGAAAAAAAGAGTGGCTCGGGTTACCCTGAAAAAAATTGAATTCTATTGCATCGAACAACTTTTTAAAACATTGTAATTAAACGAAACCACGAAAAAATTCAACAAAAAAACGTAAACGCGCATTTGAGGAATTTTTTGTCAAAAGTTCATGGCCATTGTCGTGAATGTGGTCACGGTCAAGCCAACTACAGTAATCGTCAAAAATGAGCACGCGATTCTTAAAACATTCATTCATGGAAAAATATAACTATTGTCTCCAAAAAAAGCTGATAATACCAAAAAGTGCTCATTTAAATATGAGAACGTTATGGTTTAATGATAAATTGAGGTTTTGTTTATTTCTGAACGAGGGTAACTTTTTCTTTCCTTGGTTTTTCCTTTCAAGAAAAAAGCTCGAACAATGACCTTTTCAAGGATCCCACAGTTACACTTTTTGTTTTGCGACATTGTGAAACGCGGAAATTACTCAAAAACACGACGACAAAAAGGCTCTCGGGTTACCAGATGGCCACACACAAACACGGTGATTCGCAAACAATTGCTCGGCGACATGGGAAGCGGCCACTCGAGAATTTGCGACAATTTCAATTGGATCGGTTCGAAGTTTGAACGGGTCAAAAAACTGGTGCGACACAACGTTGGGAAGTCAGAAAGTGCGGGAAAAGTCCGAATTTTTGGCTTTTCGTTCAATTTTATTCAAAAAGGTTATTTGTTTTTTAGTTTTTCGTATGAAAATGCTTCTTCGCCAAGAGTCCATAAAAATTATCGACTAGCACGTCCCCTACAGGGACCACTTTTTCAATCTTTAGTGACCCCCATAGGGGTTGGCAAAGTGGTTCCTAGAGTAGACACTCCAAGGGCTCAGAAGGTTGCCCACTATAGGGAGCACTCAGAGTTCCTAAGTAAGTCATTAAACTAAAAGTTCTGAATCTTTCTATAGAAGTTAATTTCGGAACAGAAGCTTCAGAGACTTAATTGTCCACTTTTTTCATTCCTAAACGGACTGGTCAGAGTGTATCAAGTCGTGCCGAATGTTGCATGACTTTTCCTTTTAAAATCTTCACTTAAATCATTTTCAATCTTTTCGAAATCCTTTTAAGCTCAAAATCGGATAAAAACGCTCCATTTTTTTCATCTTCATCAAAAAAGCGGGTTAGTGATCCCTTTAGTGATCTCAAAGTTCCAGTCCAAGCTTGTTGTCGATAATTGAGTCGTGAATTAAGAGGCGATTGCTCGCGGCCATGTTTGGCGCGAATGCAACGTGCAAATCTGCGGAGGCCCGCTTTCTCATAAGATTAGCGGCCACCGTGTCCACAGAGAGTCTTCTTCTTCTTCTCTTTCACAGTAAACAAGCAACTTTCCATCGGCCGCCGCCCCTTCCGTTTTTGTGCTCGACCGACGTCGTCCTGTACGCCGCCGGAAGCCATGCTTCTACTGATTATTTGTCTTTTGTTTGACAGTGCTAGCGGCGATTTGCAAGCACTTCTGTCGAAGAGCATCCAGAGGACTGAGGCTGCCCCGCCGCCTCTTCGGCTCATTTCCTACGACCTACAGCTCCAAGTTCCGCTGTCAGAGTTGAGGATTCACTTTCTCATCAGTAAAGTTTGAGGGTTTTTCAAAAAGATCTACTAATTTCAATAAGTCTACCTTAAAAGTTAAAAGAAATTCGTTGAGTTTTGAAAGTCTTTTTGATTTTTTTCTCATGCTCATGAGTTGTTCTATGCGACTTCGAGACAACATAACCTTAACGGAATTTTTTTTAGTATCAAAGCTTACTGTAATCATCCTGTCTGTAAGAGCTGTGCATACACATAATTTTTTTCAAAAAAAGTGAGAAAAAAACTTTTTAAACCAGCTTATTTTTGTCGTAAAATCAATTAGAAAATAGAAATGTGCCAGAATCAACTTTTCTCTATGCATTTGATGTTAAAAAATTCCAATTCCATCATTTTTGTACAAAAAAGCTTTTTTCGATTCAAATGAGTATGCAAATTAGCGCCATTCTTTTGCACCAAAGACGTCATATATTACGTAAATTGTGGGCGGGACCTCGTGAAAAAAAGCTGTGAAATGTAACTTTTTTTATTATTAATTATAACTTAATATTAATAAATAAATGTTTATTTCAGGTTGCCGAGCCAGATGTGCCGCTTTTTCACCGGCCGCGTCGTTCTCCAATTCGAGCTCACTACACAAATCGGTCCAGAATCTCCATTTGTCAGCGAAGCCTCCGAAACTCGAGCCAAGCTCACGGTCTCATCATGATTTCCTTCTTTATCAATTTAAAATTTCCAGTTTGAAATAACGGAGCTCGACCATTTCGAGAACGTTTCCCTGGTGTTTAGCGGCACCGAGTTGGAAATTTACAATGTTTTGTTGACGGACGACACCATGGAGGTGATTTTCTTTTAAGGGAAGATAGGAAATCATTTATTTTTGACAGATATCGGTAAATCAGCCAGTTTTGTTCCGTGGTCGGTACACATTGAGCGTCCATCGCTACAAGGGGCTTGTTGGAAATGCGATCTATTATAGGTACGTTTCAAAACTCTTTGAAATGATTACGCTTATAATTGATAGGTGTTCATTCCAAAAGGTTGCTAATTATTTGATAATCACTCAAGTAGTCAAAAAAAAAATGAATGAGTCAATTTTCTTTATAAAGGAGAGAATTTCTTTAACCAAAACTATGCAGAGACGCCGGTGAACACGCCGTTTTTGGATCCGCTCTGTTTCCAAGAAGATCTTCCGCCGTTTTTCCAACTTACCGGCCCACAACGAGCAAGGTAACGATAAATATGAATAAAATAATAGTTAAACTAATTATTATGAGAGTAAATTTCTTTCCCTGTAAGTCTGAACTTTTCCTTCGCGTCAAAAGCAAGAGACGAAAAAAAAAGAGCATTATCTTTGAGAATAGCGCAGAGCGAAAGTCGCAAATGGTCCGGCGCAAAAAAAATCTCTAAATCACATATATAATAGTCAATTAACTCAGTGATTTCTCTTAAGCGTTCACTTATATCCGATTCCTTAAGATTTGAAACAGTCTGGCTTGTCTGCGCCCTCTTTTCTCTCATCGACGAGGCAAAATAACACGTAAAAACAAGAGGGAGCTGATAATCAGATCCATTTCTGTTTTACGCCCTGCTTGCGAGAAAAGCGAGAGAACAAAAAGAAGCTTGTGAAATAGCGCAGCGCGAAAGTCGCCGAGGGTCGGGCGCGAAGAAAATTTCACATCGCTTCCAATCGCTACTGTTTTATCGGATGTATATATTGCTGTATAAAATTTTAACGAGAGTTTTTCCTTTCCCTCACCTTTTCGTCCACGCATGTCTCATTCCTTAAGATTTTTAACATTCCGACTTATCTGGGCCCTCTTATCTCTCATTGACGAGGAAGAGCGCGTAAAAAAAAGAGGGCGCAGAGAATTTTTGTTCTTTCCAGGCCTTATTTTCCATAAGTATGGTCCATCCGCTGGGGACAACCGCCATCTCCTCAGCTCCCCAAGAAGGTCATTCAAGGAAAATCGACACGAATTGGCAGGCAAATTATGAATGGATTTTCCTTGACTGACGTCTTCTTCCAGACGACGTCATTTGCGACGACGTCTCCGGTGGCGGCGTCGATGATGGTTTTCAGTATACTTCCGTTGGAATACACGACGGTGAGAAGGAAAATTTTCTTTTAAATTGTGATTTTTTTTTCTGATTCTTGTTCATTTTTTCTGCAGTAGGAACCACTGCCACTACTCAAAGTATTGAATTTTTCATCTGGGTTCAAAATTTTCCAGATTGAAAGCACCTACACGGGGACGAAATTGAGCATTTGGTACAATAAATACCGTATCCAAGTGGCTCAAGCCAAACATCTTCTCAACACGGCGACACAAGTTTTGGCCCTTCTCAAGTGGGTTTTAATCAAAAATTGAATATTTTTGAGTTTTCACAAATTTTCAACCTATTCGCTCTTTTTGTTCTAATTTTCAACGTCACTGTTCTATTTTCATTGAACTTTTTCAATTATTCGATGAATTTTTTCCACTCTACAGAAGAATAGTCAGGGTTTTTTTCCTTGGCGCGCGTTTGACAGAAAAAAAACAGCCACTCATTTTTCTGGCTTTTTCAATGTCATTCTGTACTTCGAGAATTGATCTTAAAATGTCAAGACCTTCGAAAAATTCAAAACGGACACAATTATCGAAAGTTTTCGCCTTGGCGCGCGTTTGAAAGATAAAAACTGCCTTCCATTTTTTTTTGTTTGATGAGCTTTTCTTTGTCATTTTGCAGTCCTAGAATCATTCTAAAAATTCCAAAACCCTCCAAAAAATTTCTTGAGATTTCAAAAAGTTTTTTTACACAATTATCGAAAAAAAGTGTTCGCCTTGGCGTGCGTTTGACAGAGAAAATAGTCTTTCAGTTTTTTTCTGTGGTATTTATTATGAACTTTCTAAACGTTAATGATTCGATAGACTTCATGAAAATTCGAAAATTACAATTTTTTTGAATAGTTCGCCTTGGAGCGCGTTGGACAGAGAAAAACGGCCTCCAGTTTTAATGTTTTCATTTTGCGCTCCTTTATGTCATTTTTTATTTCTAGCAACTTTTTGAACCTTGTAAGACCCAAAAGACTTCATTAAAGTTCAAAAAAATTCCAATTTTTTTCCCTTTAGACAATTATTCTCATCGCTTGTACCTGTGGCAAAACTCGACATGATTTTAATGCACGACATCAATCCCAATCCCTCTTTTGGCGCTGTCATCATCCCTGAAGGTCTGTTTACAGTTTCGAGCTTTTAATGAGAAAATATACTTGCTTATTGTTATCATAGGCAAAGTCAGAGAGGGTGAAAAAAAGGCTCCGTATAAATTTTTCTTTTAGGGTGACAAAGGATCCTTATTGCTGCCTTTTTGCGCCATTTATTCAGCTCTTATGCACCATTTTTGCTGCCTCTCGCCATTTCTTGAGTCTTTGAGTTCCCAGGAAAAAAAGAAAGGCTCGATAAAGGGGCTTTTTTTGCTGCCTTTCTGCGGCTTTTTTTGAGCCTCTCTTTTTTGGCGGCCTTGCCAGAGTCCCCTGAATTCGCAATTTTCATTTTTTGAAGAGCTTTTTTCCCGATTTTTACATGGTTCGAAAGATTTTCTAGAACAGAGTTGAGTTTTCTTTTGAAGAAAGTGAATTTCCAAAGAAAAAATTGAACCGATTCAAGCTCAATTCTACTCGTCGGACTACGCAAATCAAATCTATCAGCTCGCTTCTTTGCTCTCTCGACAGTGGATCGGTGGTCTTGCCGTTATTTCAGACGAACGGGAACTTTGTTTTCAGGTTCGTTCTTTTAAAAATAAATAATCGGAGAAAAGTAAGGGCCCTAAAATAATTCATTTTCACGATTCTCTTAGCTTGGCCCGACCTTAGCGAGGCCTTAAAAATACGGCGAGCCTTAAAAGCCTAACTTTCCTTCAAGTCAAATATTAGGCTTTTCGACGAAGAAAATCGCTTTTTTGGTTCTTTTCCCCACAAAATTCAACAGAAATTTTGGTTTTACGAGTATTTTTGTTGAAAATCCATCGCATTAAACTCAAGCTTGAGCAGGCTTTTTCGCAAATAAATCAAACATAAAGCCCGTGTCGCCCAGTCTGTATACAGATCAAAAAAATGCCGTTTTAAAGCAAAATTGCAAGTTATTTTTCTCAAGCAAAAGGGAGTTTAAACTATTTTGTTCCTCCAAGAAGTATTGAAACAGAAAATTGTTGTTCTTAGGATCAACTTTTAGATTTTTTGAGCAAAAAATAGACCTACGAGATCCTTCAAAAGTATTTATCAACAGGAATAGTCTCCAAAAAGCAACGAAATTGGATAGAAAAGATGAAATTTTTCAAAGGTGGACTCAAATAATCGCTTATTCAGGAAGACATTGTAGCCTTCGTAGCGGCGAAAATCGTCCGCAGAATGACCAATGACGATTTTTATCGATTGGCTCATTATGCAAAGGTAAATTATTGATAAACTCATTCCGGATGATTCTGATTTCTCTGCGCTCTCTTTTCTCTCAGCCATTTTCTTTAAAGGTGAGAGAGAAGAGAGCGTGTAAAAAAGCGGTCCCTATAGGGGTAAAAGGGGCCCCCTATGTGATTCTAGAGTCTGACAACTTTGCCCCTAAAGCTCAAGTGGACTCTATAGGGGTCTTGCAATTTCACTTTGAAAAAAGCTTATTTATTCACTTTTCCATGGAAGTGCTTCTCCCCTTCAAGTTCATAACAGTTTTAGACTAGCATGTCCGCTATAGGGGCCACTAACTAAAACCCCTATAGGGGCCGCTCAGGAGCTCCTTAGTACTTCCCTAGAGGAGCCACTCAAGCTTTATCGCCCCTATAGGAGGAGACAAAGTGTCCCCGAGAGGGGAGTCTTAAAGGGCCTTGCGATCCTAAACAGGTCAGACTCTTCCAAACCGTGCTGTATGATTCATCTTCATTATCCTAAGTTTTTAGGTAGTTTTGACGGAAACTTTATTCCTACCTGGAGAACTTCTCTCTTTAAATGAGAATCCGAAAGATTTGGAGGTACCTCAAAAAAAAAGTGATAGAAGAAAAAATTTATTCAGATCTATGAAAAATGCGGCTTAAAAGGCGTTACGATGTTGGAATCGGTCGAAAATTTGATTGGAGAACAGACGATGGTCCTGAAAATCAATGAGTTGGTGGGTTAAGAATAGAAGTTTCTGATTTCTCTGCGCCCTCTCGTTTTTAAACACTATTCTCACGGTTCTACAACCGTGCCTGTAAGAGAGAAGAGGGCGCAGACAGGTCAGAGTGTTTCGAATTGTAGAGAATGGAGTATATAATTGAATATTTTAGGTATACAACTCGGCCAATGGCGTTTTCGACTCACTCACCTTTTACGGATTGATTAATAATACGGTTGATGGAACTGTTCTTGTTTCTCAGGTAAATGGGAAGTTCGCACTATCGAACAAAGTCACCTTGAAAAGAGGCGTGGCCAGCCAATGAAAAATCGAGTTAGTTAAAGCGAATTTTCCGTAGTTTTAGTGAATGGAGTTTAACAATCGAGGAAAAATTTCTTGAAGAAAGGTAAAGAGCGATATAGCGCAAGAACGAGAAGCGAGCGATATCGCGTCACTTTCGCTGCGACGTGTTCAATAAAAATTTTGAATTTAAAAAACTTTTTTTTATTTAATATTAACTTCTATGCTGTCAAATTCGAGAAAATTTTTTTTTAAAGAAAGTAGAGTTGATGTAGCGCAAAAGCGAGAGGAAAGCGATATTGCTCGCGGCATCGCGCCTTTTTCACTTGCGACATCGCGCCTTTTTCACTTGCGACATCGCGCCTTTTTCACTTGCGACATCGCGCCTCTTTCGCTCGCGACATCGCATCACTCTCTCTCTCTCTGCGACGTGTTCACTAAGCTTCAAGTTCAGCTGCTGAACTACTGGCGCCAACACGGAGGAATACCCAACCTTTCCATGGATCGGTTCAGTGATTCAATCAAATTATTGCAAGAAAGCGGCAATCGCACTGTGAAAAGTGGTGAGAATCTTCAAAAATTGGGGTTCGAAAAAAATCCTTCTGAAGAACTGAACACGTGGGAGAAGATGCCGCTGTGGCCGCTGGCCTTGCAATTCACCGAGTTCAAGCTCCCCGTCGAGGTGATGCTCAGCCAGGGGATCCACGTCGCGCCGGTCAGGCAGGGCAACGTTTTTGTCAATTTGGGTGAGTTTCTCGGATGAACAATTGATTTTTTTTTTGCTCTCCATCAGCTTCTTTTCGACCTCTATAGTCATTATCTTGTCCCTATAGGGGCAAACTTAGGGGCCCTTGGAGGGATCCCTCTAGCGAACACTTTACTAAATTCTATAGGAGTCACTAAAAATAGCAAAAGTGGTCCCTATAGGGAACAGGCTAGTCAATCATTTTCATGAACTCTGTGCGAAAAACTAAATGAATAAGCGTTTTTTGAATGAATTTGAAAGACCCCTATAGGGTCAGCTTTAGGGGCTAAGTGGTCAGACCCTGGAATTCCATAACGGCCACTTGTTTTCACCCCTATAGGGACCATTTTTTCGGCTCCTGTCGTGGCTGTTTACCTCTCTAACCCCTATAGGGACCACTTTGCTTTTACATCTATAGGGACCACTTTTTAGGCTTCTATAGAGGCTTTTTTATCACCCTAACCCCTAAAGTGACCACTTTGCTTTTACCCCTATAGGGACCACTTTTTCACCCCCTATAGGGCCGTTTTTTCCACTTACTCCTAAACGGATCCCTCTAAAACTCCTAAGTTGTGTATTCCACCAAACTTTCTCCAGGCTTCACCCACTTCTACCGGGTCAACTACGACCTGGACACTTGGCGGGCAATCAAGCAGATTCTGACGGAAAACGCGACTTCCTACACGAAACGCGAACGAATCCAGCTCATCTCCGACTTTTGTTACTTTTACGCATCGAGTTTGACGCCATACAATGTTTGGAGTTGAACTAGAAAATTTAGACGCGCTGGCCGAGCCGGCAGCTTCGGTCCTCCGGAACGAGTTCGTCCAGCTCATTCGGCTGAGGCCGACGTCATTTCCGATCTGCGACGTCGCCATTTATAACTGCGTCGCTCCGCATCGATTCACGAAGCCCAAACATGTGGACCGCAACACTATGACTCAGCTTAGGTATTACTGTGTGTAGTGTGATCGGAAATGCTCTGCGGATGGCCCGCTCTCTCATTGGTTCATGGCGCCATTAGGGGCGGAGCTTGAGCGACGACTTGACATTCAAAATCTGAACAGACTTTGAAATTCGTAATTGTGAACTTCCTCAAAATGACATCTTTTGAGGAATTTTATCGCGATATACAAGTTTTAACTAGGACTTCCAAGTCTTGAAAAATAAAAAACGGATATAGTCAATGTTTCCCGACTTGAAAGCGGAGGGAGGCGGGGCAAGGGGCGGGACGCGTAGCGTGTGCGTTCGCGGTTCTTGGCGCCAGTTCAGTTCAATTGCCGCCGACTACTTAAAAAGCTCGGCAACCGCTCTTTCTCTGTAATTTCTACTAATTTTTGAGGCAAAAAATAACATAATCGTCAGCCCTCTTGAAGGTTTAGTGATCCGGGTGAGAATACTTGAAAACAAGTGAGAATATCTGCTAAACCCAATAGAGAACTGAAAAAAAATTAGTAGAAAATGTGAAAATTAGGCCTGAAAATTCTCAGAATACTGCTTTATACCTTCTTTTATATTTTAATACAATCGCCTTGAATTATTCGGCTATGATAAACTCTAAAAAACTTTTTTCCAGCCAAAAGGAGGAAAGAAAAAGTTTGATAATTTTCAAGCCTAAACTGTTCATTTTCAAAAAGCTTTTTCTCAGAAGCCTATGGGGTTTAGCAGATAATCTCTCTTGTTTTTAAGTACTCTCACCCGGATCACTAAACCTTCAAGAGGGCTGACGTCGCTAAAGTGATCACTATCAAGAATGCTGACACCGCTTAAGTGATCAGTAATCTCTCGAGAATGCTGGAGCCACTAAAGTGGTCACTAATCCATCTGAAGTGCTGACTCCGCTAAAGTGGTCACTAAGCTCTCAAGAGTGCTGAAGCCGCTAAAGTGATCACTAACCTCTCAAGAGTGCTGACTCCACTAAAGGGATCACTAATCCCTAAAGCCGCTAAAGTGATCACTAGAAATGCTCAGAAAAGGGTGTGCGTTACCGGTCCTAGCTGTTTTCTCAACATTTTTTCGTTAAATGAATTTCAAAAACGAAATTTCAAGCCTAATTTTGCAGAAGACGACTTTTCGACTCGTTCAACAACGCCTCGGACATGGAATGCCGTAGCGGCCCGGCCCACGACGCCATGAACGACATCTGCACCCAACTCTACGGCCTTTCTTGCTTGTAAACCTTCTCGCAAACAAAATCTCATCAAAAATCATGCTTTAAATTGTCACATATCGCCTCTGTTTTTCTTGAAATGAAAAATCTCATTATTTTTGGGAATCTATTCAATATTTTATTCATTATACACGGAAAATATAGCGAACTGGAAAAATGAGATCATGGGAACTTGTTCGAATCGAGTTGAAATATATATATTTTACACGAATATAATACCAAATTTACAAGTCAAGAAGCTTGTTGTTTCTTCGAATCGCTAAGATTCGTCGTACTGACCAACAGATCTCCATGGATTTGCCTCGCCGTCGTCGAAACCTCTTGCCATGTCACTCGGCTTACAATCTGAAAAAAAAACCAGATTTTTCTTTTTTCCCGAGTTCAGGTATTCCCAAACGGGGTGGAGAGACGTCAAAAAAATTTTGGCGCGAAAATTCAAACCTTGTACGCAGCAAAAACAAAAGTTACTAACGTTGGATACTCAGTGTAGCTTGTGACGTAATTTTATCCGGAGTGTGCACTTACTTTTTTTGTGAATCAAAAAATCTTTGACGCCTCGTTCACCTTCCCGCACCCTATAAGGAATGCCGTGGTGATAAAAACGATTTACAAAAATATTGGGGTTCATCTGCGTCCTTCACAAACCAAGTAATTTCTCTTTTTAAATCGTGTCAGGACCATTTTTTCGATGACTTAAGCTAAACTCAGCTCTAGGAGCACTAAAACTTTTTGTGGTCGCTTAGCGGTTTTCGGCGGGAAAAGGGAATTCAAACGAAAAATGCTTTTTATCAAGATTTTATGAATATATTTTTTTCATGGTTTTTCAAATTTGTCGTTAAACATTCCATTAACTTTTTTCAAAGTGTAAAATGATTTTCTATATTTTTCACGCTCGTTTTTGAACTTATTTCCCGCCAATAAACTCGTATCGGTTACAAAAAATTTTTTTCTGAGATTTTCCAAGCCCTTAAGAATAATTTCAAGAAAAACATTCAACAGAAATTGGCTGAATTTTTCAAAATCCGGAAAGTTTGCTAGGAAGAAAAAAAGAAAAATTCCTTTTCACTACTGAAATCTTGAAAGTCCTTTCTCATTAAATTTCACAACCCGCTGTGCATGCGCCTTTAAATTTTTCTGAAAGCTGGATTAAAGGCGCATCGCTCGCAAGGTAGCTTTTAAGGGGAAAGAAAAATCATGAATACATCATGTACTATTGAACTATACCCCGAAAAATCCCACCTCATCCTCCTCAAACGTTGCCAAGCCTTGGTCGATATCATCCGACAGTTCTTGCACTTCCTGGCAAAGCACCTGGAATCAACGTCGAAAACTTTCAATAACCCGGTTCCAACCTTCATCTTCGCATAGTGAATATTTTGTTGTACGCCATTCAACTCCGTGAGACGATCAATGATACTCGAACAGCTTTCTTCCAGGATCTTGATTTCATTAAGACTAAAATCAGCCTTATCCTGCAAAAAAAAATGCATCAACATTTATCATTCTCCGCAGAAAACCTGAAGAAATTTGTTGGCTTCAGCGATCGGGCGTTTTTTGAACAAGTCCATCGCGAGACGAGCCGTAGCCCGGTAGAAGTTGGACCGTATTCTTTGAATCGAACCTTCGAGCAATTGCAAAAAATCCGTCGCAAGTTTCTTGGCAGGAACTCGGTGCTTGAAATTTTCTTTTATTCTCTCGATTTTGATCCGATTTCTTTCGTTAATCCTTTCGATTATGATCTCAGTTTCATCTTTCTTTTTCTTCTCTGCGGGTTCCTTAATTTCCGAAACGTCATCCTCCACTGGCTCGGACATTGATCTGCAAAAGATATGTTAAAAAACGGATTTTTAAATGAGAAACGAAAAACACGAGCGGCAATATTCATGCTGTGTTCAAAAATAATTTCCGCAAAATACAAAATTATCTCTGACTCTCCAAATTCAGTTATATTTTCCATTCTCTGACGGCTATTTTGAGTTTCGCGGAATCACTTTGAAAACGGCATCAATAAAACGGAGCGATAACAAAATGGTCTTCATTTCTAAAAACCTCGTGAAATTACCTAGAACAAGGTAATTACTACTTATTTGGTGATTTCTGCAAATGTCAAAAGTATAAAAGTCGATACCTTTTAAGAGCTCACTAAAATTTTAAGTTCATCCACGGGGCGCGCTTCAAGCTTGCTCATTTTTCAAAAATTTTGCTGGATTGTGTTTCCCAAATTTTTTTTCAATGTAGTCTTTCTGTTTGACTATTGTTAAGCGTTTTAGTTTTTTCATTTAGAATATGTATGCGAATGGATGGTGAAACTTTTACGGAAAGAAAATTTTTAAAATCTTGGTGGAAGAAAAATTGCCAAAAAAAAATGTTTTTTCATCTAGTTCTTTCATTTTCAAATCTATGAGGGATATCCATTTTGACCTGAGTTTGTTATTGAATGATCTTTGATGGATAATATTATAATTCAATGCAAAAAAAAACTTTAGAAAGTTCTTTCGAAGATCTAAAAAATGTTTTTGTTTCCTATAGTTTTTATTACATTTATCGACTCTCGGAGGAGTTTTCTGAATATATAGCTTTACTGTGTTTTTTACCATTCGGGTCATAATAGAAGAAGCAACATTCAATTTGATAATTTTTAAATTTTACAATATTTTCAGTGGCGTCCCTCAATCTACTTAGTTAAGCCAATCACCACCATGAACCAATCAACGGTAAAATTTTCGAAAAAAGGTTCATTTATTGAAATAAGAAAATTTCCAGCTGTCGGATGACAGCGATGGCAATAGTAACAACGATCGTTACGACTTTTTGAGAAAAGCAAGGAGACGGGACATGCAAGAGGAGTACAGTGAGGAAATGGGCACTTTCAATGTGGGTAGAAAATTCAAAAAAAGAAAAAATTTCCTACTTTTTATTTTTAAATTCTAGAGAAAAAGGCCATTTTCTAACCAACAAACCCTGTCGGACGATGAAGAAGACGATGGAGGGTCTAATCAAAAAGCTGCCAAAACTGAAGATCCAGTGGATAAAAACTCGGCGGGCTACAAGCTCATGAGGAAAATGGGTTATAAGGAGGGCTCCGGTCTCGGAAAACAGGGCCAAGGTGCGGATTTGACGGATTTTCCGGACAGAATTATGTTTTTTTAGGTATTTCTGAACCAATCGCTTTGTCTTCCCAGCGCGGTAGAATTGGTCTCGGTCATGAGGCCAATAAAGTAATGAAAAAAATTATTAAAAATGATATGGGAGTTTAATTTAGGTCCTAACACGACAAATGGACGAGGTTTGGGACGAATCCAAGGAGGAAAAGGTTTGTTTTGAACAAGATTGTACATTTTATTCAATTTCCAAAAGAAAAATGAGGTTTTTTGCTTCTAAATTTTTTTTAGGAGAGAATATTGTAGATTTTATTTTTTTTTTCGGGAAAAAAATGGCTTATTTTTTTGAATTTTTTTCTTTTTTTCATGATGCCGTTCCAGCAATAGTTTGAAAACTGTAAAAAAAACATTTTTTTGGTTTTTTTATATAAATTATTCTTAACAACTTAAATATTCCAATTTTTGAACTTTTAGACAGTTGAAGAACGGGTAGAGTGGTTCGAGGCGTGTCCCCTTGAAGTTCGCGAAGAAATCGTCGAGAATTTAAAAGATGACCGATGGATTGTAGTGAAGCAGGTAGAGATGAAAAATGATTCATTTTTCAAGTCGTTGTTCAGAAAAAGTTGATAATCGACGATGAGGTCGATTTTTGTGACGAGTTGACCCTCAAAAACATGTTGGAAGCCAAACAGGTGATTTTTCAAGAAAGTTTTAGGGATTTGAATCGATTTGGTTGATTTGAGTTCAAAAACGAAATAAAAAATGATTTGAACCGTACAAAAATAGAAAGAAAAATTATTTTCGATGAAATTTCTGAAAAAACCATCTCGTTCTTACGTTTCCGGTCATAGAGCTTTTTAAGCTTAAAAAAAGGATTTCAAGGGTTCAAATGGATATGTTAATAAATTTGATTATTTATTTTTGAAAAAAAGCTTTGAAATGAACTGTATGGAAATTAGAATTTTTTTTAATTTTTTGAAAAAAATTTTTTTATTTGAAACTGAAAATAGGCGATTTTTTTGACCAAAGTTTATTCACCTTGTTTTTAATACACAATAAGAACGAGATTTTTTTGTTTTAATAATCATAGGTTTATTCACTGCATACTGTTAGAAAATAATAAATAAAATAGTTCAGAATACGAAAGCAGCAAAATAACCAAAACGGGAATTTGTATTTGAAAAATATTCAGAAAAGTCGATTTTCTATATTAACAGTGGAAAGTTTCAGCTTGAGTACCCTGTAGATTTGAATTTTAGTATATAATTATGTTTAGTTTGTTTCAATTTTTTTGTCTTTTTTTGTCTTTTTTTTTTGAATTTGGAGCTGATAATGAAGAATTTTTTTCAGGCATTCATTAAATAATTCAGTTATCTGAAGTAGGTTTTGAAAAAAATGGAATATTTCGTTTTTTTCAAATATTCGCATGTATTTTCAAATATTTCTCATGTAACTTTTTGATCAGCAAGGGTTTGATCGAATATATTTGACCCTGAAAACGCAAAATATTTTGAGGTATTCGACAACATGACCGACAAAGACCTCCGGGAGGCTCGAACCCGCGCGAATCCCTACGAAACCATCGGCGGCGCCTTTTTCCAGAACCGAGCCGCGATGAAAACGGCCAATTTGGATCGCATCTACGACTGGATCTTCTCGATGGAAAATCCTCAGACTCTTTTGGTGAGTAGGAAGGAAGTTTTGCCATATGTGAGGGGGATTTTCTTTAAAAGGATTTTTTCGAGTCGTAGGGCCCATAACTGCTCTCACAGGCCTCTAACTTGTTGGATCTAAAGAGGCCACAAATTTGACCACTGTAGTGACCACTAGAAAGTCGAAACCCTAAAGTGGCCACTAAGAATTCTCCCCTTTGATGTATTCGTTTTTTCTTCGAAGCCTAGGGCGCATAAATGTTCTCACAGAGCTCGTTTCCAGATTTTGAGTACCGATTTGAAAATCAGCTGAAAAAACTGCTTTTATCTGACAGAAAAAGCTTTCCAATATTTCTATTCCTGGATTTTCTGAAAAGAAAACTCTAGTGACCACTTAATTGGCTCCCTAAGGACTACTTAGAGAGAACACTAAAGTGCCCACTAAAAATACCCCTATAGAAGCCACTACTTTGAGTCCTAGTGGCCACTACAGTGGTTTCAAAGGGTCTAGTAGTACTAAAGACTCCTAAAGAGACTTAAGAGGCCACTAACTCGACTGCTATAGTGACCACTAGAAAGTCGAAACCCTAAAGTGACCACTTAACATTTTCCCGGTTGTTCTCACAGACCTCGCCTGCAGATTCATAAACAGCTGAAAAAACTGAATTTCCTAAACTTGATCCCTCTGAAAAAGCTTTACCATAATTCTATTCGCGAAGTTCAAACCACAAACATTTATCGTTTACAGAAGAAGAATCCTCTGGAAGACGCCAAGCCGAGCAATTCCGACGATCGGAGCTCCCCACTGTTTTATTTCGCCGACGTTTGTGCCGGTCCGGGCGGCTTTTCGGAATATATGCTCTGGCGCAAGGGTTTTTATAACGCCAAGGGGTTCGGCTTCACCTTGGATGGTTCGTTTTGAATGAAAAAAGATATTTCTGGAAAGAATAAGTTTTTTGGAAGGTTAAGCACGGCGTTTTTTGACAACGCCCCGCCTATTTTTTTTCTGCCCGTAAAATTTAGTGTGTAGTGTGCATACACGGCGGCGCTCTCGCACATGCCATGTTAAAAAAATCTCTGAATTTTTTTAAATTTTTCGTTATATTTTTCCACTCTTTGACGGCTTTTTTGAAACTCGCGAAATCACTTAAACAGGAATATTGCGTTTTCTGAGAAATAAATTTGTCTCATGACCCATTGAACATGCGCCTTTAAAATTCCCTCTTTTTACGGTTGCTGGTTTCGACTCCGCCCCCTTCATTTGGGTTTTGCATTTTCTTCCACTGACAAGAATGCCGTGTAAGAAATAAAATCTGATAAAATCACTGAAATTAAAATTTTCCAAAAAAACGCCCAAACTTCAATTTAATCTATGTAAATCAAGTTTCTAGGAAGAAATTCGCCCTATCAGTGGTTTTTTTGTGTCCTAAATCGTAAAAAGCGATTTTTTTCGATTTCAAGCAGAAACTTTTTTGGAAGTAACGTGAAAGTTGATGATTTTTTTAGAAGCGATTCTAAAGGAAATGAAGAAAATTTTCCTTTTCTGTCGCGTTAATTTTTTTAAAAAAAGTCACGTTTTTTTATCAATTCTTGTCATTTTCTACTAGAAAAAAATTCAACAGAAATCCTTTTTGAACTTTTTTTTTTTTTAGGAAAAGACGACTTCAAATTGCACAAGTTCTGCGCCTCGTCCGCCTATTATTTCGAGCCCTACTACGGGGTGAAAAATAATGGTGACGTCACGGATCCCGAAAATATTGATTCTCTGGAGGATTACGTTTCCAAAGGTGCCAAATAATCCAATAAAAGTTTAATCGAAATGTTTTTTCCAGGAACCAATGGCCTTGGCGTTCATTTGATGATGGCCGACGGGGGTTTCAGTGTCGAGAAACAGGAAAATCTCCAGGTGAAAAATGGGAAATCAACTTTTTTTTCCATAATTGACTACGGAACGTTATTAAATTTTGTGGGAGTTAAAAAAAAGAAACAGAAACTTTCCCAAAAGTTTTCTTTGAGTTTGGAAGATTTGCATCGTGAACTTCGAAACATCTTTGAAAGGAAAAAAAAATTAAATATTCCAGGAAATCCTCTCAAAACGACTGTATCTGTGTCAATTGCTCGTTTCCCTGTGTATCGTTAGAGAAGGCGGCAACTTTTTTTCTGCAAACTTTTCGACATTTTTCACTCCTTTTTAGGTACTTTAAAAAAATATCTATTTGATATTGAATCTATGAATTTTAAGCGCCGGGTTGGTTTACCTGATGAGAATTTGTTACGACGATGTTTCGCTGCACAAGCCGCACACTAGCCGACCGGCCAATTCGGAAAGGTTTTTGAGGGAAGAAAAGAAAAATTTAGGGGTAAACTTGTTTTTGAGGATATTTCTATCGGTGAAACATCGTGCTAGAAATGTTTTTTTTTTCGTTTCCGGGAATATAAGAAAATTTCGAGAGGAAACAGTTCATAAAACCCCTTTAGTGACCGAAAAACTGGTCCCTTTAGGGGTTGAGGGTCTGACCCCTTTGCCCCTAAAGCTGACCCTATAGGGGTTTTTCAATTTTAATCAAAAAACGCTTATTCATTCAGTTTTTCGCATGGAAATGCTTCTTCCCATAGAGTCTATAACAATTATCGACTAGCATGTCCCCTATAGGGGCCACTAATTAAAACCCCTCTAGGGACCGCTTTTGCAAGTTTTAGAGGTTGGTAAAGGGACCAATTTTGCAGTCCCTATAGGGTTGGCAAGTTTTGGTTCCTAAGGTTGCCCTATAGTGACCGCTCAAGAGCTCCTCAAGAGAAGTCTTTCTTGAAAATTTTTTTGTACTTTTTTGAAAGAATAACTCTCTATTTTCCAGTTTCTGCTCTGAATTTACGTTACCCTGTTGATGAAAAATAGAAATTTTCTCTAGGTATATCATCTGCAAAGGCCTGAGAAAGGAGTTCAGTGACGTCGTGCGAGATTACTTGAAAAGGTTTCGAAATCCAGGAAACAAAAAATAGATTTTATTCAATTTTTTAGGGTCAACCGAAAAATCGGAGAGCTGAAGAATCGCGAAGATCCCAATGACGTTCAGGAGATCGTTCCCCATAGTATTATGCAGTCTGACGAGGATTTCTTCACTTATCTTGTGAAACATAATCAAAAGTGCGTAGTCCTTATTGAAAACAAGGGGGAAATTCGCTCTACCGCAATTTCAAAATTGAAAAAAATTTTCTAATTTTTTGAGAGAAAAGCATAGAAAAATCAAACAGGGTTTGAAAAAATGGGTTTTTTCTGAAAAAGGAGCTATTTCGTAGGAAGAAAATTCGCCCCATCGCAAACTGGCCGGAAAAAAAAAATCATTTTAAGGCTCGCCCAGCGCCAAACCGTCTACCTGCAAAAATACCTGAGTTTCTCCAGAAACCAGGGACTTTTCGATAAAGATCAGGTTTTGAAAATAGAAATTTTCATGTTCAATTATTGGTTTCAGGGTAATTTGCGAGACGATTGCTTGAATTATTGGATGGTTCCGAATCGGAAAAGGGCGCGAGATCGCGAACGTGTCAGAGAGTCGCTCAATGCCGCATTCGTTCTGGGGATTTACACCAAAAAGGTAGGAATGAAAAGTATTTGGAACCGATTTTTGCGATTTAACATGCTCGAAATTGACCAGATTCGAACTTCTAGGGGGATCAAATGGCAAATGTGAGAATTTTTTACTCGGTCAAAGTCGAATGGGGGAAAATGGCCGCTAAAAGGCTCAAAAAAGGCCGTAAAAAGGGAGCAAAGCGAGTCCCTTTATTGTGTCTTCCATTTTTCTGTTATTTTAAAGGCTCAAAAAATGGCGAGAGGCAGCAAAAATGGAGCATAAAAGCCGATGAAAGGGCGCAAAGAGGCTGCGAAAAGGAAAATTTATACGGAACCTTTCCCCACCTTTTCCTATTTTGCTTATGTAGAACTAATTTTTGTGGGTTGGTGCTGTAAATGGTCCAAATTTTTTTCTGAGCTGGATCGTTTCAAATCAAAAAAAGGTAAACTCGAAACATATTTAAAAATTCAAAATTTTTGAAAAAAAATAAGGAATTTGAATTTTTTTGAAAAAAAGGCTAAAAATTATTTTTTTCTTCCAGTAGATAAAAAAAGATTTCCAAATTCACACGCTGTTCGATAATCTAGAAGATAGGAAAACTATTCTCAATAAAATAGATAAACTTATAAGCGAAAGCGGGAAGGGTCGAAAAAAGTTCCACCGAAATGTTCCTTTTTAGGTGACAAAAGCTCCTTTTTTGCTGCCTTTGTGCACCATTTTATCGACCTTTTTGCACCAATTTTGCTGTTTCCCCCTTTTTCCACCATTTCCTGAGCCCCTAAGAGTCTAGAAAAATGGAAGGCTCGATAGAGGAACCCTTTTTGCTGCCTTTTTGCCGCATTTTTTGAGCCTTCCCTTTCAGCGGCCATTATCCACCCTTCTGACTTTGCCCTCACTTGGAACACGGAATTATTGAAGAGTTATTGCTCCATTTTTGAGGAAGAAAAAGGTGAAAAAAAATGAGATCCGAGAAACTTTTGACACTTTTTTAGAAACTCAAAAAGAAGCTTTACACTTTGTTTGAGGCCTTTTTAGGCCGTTTAGACTTTTCCTGTGTTTCCCCCGAACAACACGGGAATGAAAATCTCAAAAACATGAACAATTCGGACAGATGATGGGCGCCAACGACTTCAACGTCCGGACTCCCGAGTTTTCGCCGCGGATGTTGGAACAATCCAACGATAAACACTACAAACACGCTGAATTCCGATTCGTGAGGCTTTCGGAGCGGAGCAATCCCTACCTTCTCGTCGCCACCAGCGTGGGTTTCAGAATTTCGAAAGAGGGTCTCATGAAAATAATGAAAATTAAGGTTTAGAGTCGAGATTTTGATCAGTTTTTTTTCATTTGAGAAGAAGCGTTTCCATGTGAAAAATTAAATAAATAAGCGTTTTTTTAAACGGAGTTGAAAGACCCCTATAGGGACCACTTGAGCTTTAGGGGATGTGGGACCTTGAACCCCTATAGAGACCACCGTGATTTTTACCCCTATAGGGGCCACTCTGGAATTTTTAAAGTTGTAAAAATTTCCGATAAAATATTTTACAAAAAAAAAAATCACTACAACTCCAGGACGCGATTTTCGTCCACAAAGGCTATTGGGAACGGATGGAGAACGACCTGGCCCGAATCCCCGAAAGCACCATTTTGTTGGTCGAACCGACGACAGAACGTGTTCGGGTTGGAGTTTGAGAGAAATGAAAAGTGATGGCAAAGGTTCCAGAATGGTAATCGGATCTCGAAGGGGACCCAGGAGATTTTCCGGATCATCGACGCCGCCGTCCTCAACGGCGACGACGTCTCCATGCTCTCCTATGAACAGCGCATGACGGCCGCAAGGAAGTTCGCCCTGGCCCTTCAGAGGGTTCGTTTCGAGGCAATAATGATAATCGAATGGTAAAACGAAGTCAAATATGAGTGGAAGCGAGAGATCAGCTAAGCTTGAAGAGACGTTAGAGAAAAAGAGAAGAAAAAAATCGCTACACTATTCTGTCTAGAGAACCGTATAGGAAAGTAGATGAGAGATCATTAAAAGCCTGTAGAGACGCCAGAGAAGCTAGAGAACTTTTCTTTTCTGTCGGTTGTCTCATCAGTACACTATTATCCCTCGCTTTTCCTTTGGGTACGGATTTCTGAGAATAAAGCGTACTACAAAAAGATAAGGGAAGCTTAAGAGACCCCAGAGAAGCTAGAGAAAATTTTTCGTCTGGTGTCTCTTTAGTAAGCTGTTGATCTCTCGCCATTTTTTTTTCTGAGTTTTCACATGTCTCAGTGTACAGTCTGTTTAATTAGCAATAGGACACATTTGCTTCAAAAAAAGATTATTTAAACGTTGTTTGCATTTTTTCATTTTTTCATTTTTCGAAATAAATTTAAGGTGAACGCGCAAGTTCGGAAAGGCTGGGGAAATCGGTCGAAGATTATTCGGCCGCACATTTTGACGGTTGCTGACGTCTTCTCCTTCAATGAACTGGAAAATGTTGGTTTTTGATTTTCAATATGAGGAATCATGTGTTTTCTGTCGTTGTTTGTCGATGTGAGTAACTTAGGAACTCCAGAGCGGTTCCTATAGGGGTAGTGTTAGGGACCCCTTCACCAACCCCTATAGGGGCCACTGAAGCTCGCAAAAGTGGTCTTACGGAGTTTTAGTTAGGGATTCCTATAGGGGACATGCTAGTCGATAATTTTTGTAAGCTATAATTGAAAAATTAAGCGTTTTTAAATGATGTTGGAAGACCCCTGTAAAGACCACTTAAGCTTCAGGGGCTCAGAGGACAGACCCGAAACCTCTATAGGGACCACCTAGATGTTATCTCTATAAGGACCGCTTTTTCGGCTCTATAGGGACTGTTTTACACTCTAACCCCTTTAGGGGCCACCCTAAAATCCCTAAGAAAAGCCTCCCAAGTCGTCCTAGAGTGATGGTACAGGATTTTGAGAGTTTATTTTAGCTTTTTTCACTTCAACTTATCTAGCACGAGATGGGATTTGATCAGAAAAGTTCACATTTTCTGAAACTGCAGATGAAAAACGAGATGGAGCTGGTCAACTTCCAAAACGAGTCGCATCCGCTGTTCACCGAGTCGGGCTATTCGATGGTTTGCTCGGGCCTACGATTCTGCCGAGTGATCCGACGTGAGAAACGCGAAAATCCCGTTTTTGATTTCATGGCCATCTTCTCCAGAAGATTGGTGCATGGCCTACTCGAGGAGCCAGTCGTTGATCTACGCCTACAATCTCCAGAACAAGGCGATCGGCTCGATTTTCGAGAGAGACTTTGAGAGGTGAAACAAGGGGGAACTTTGATGAAATCACAAGAAGAAAACTGCAGAAATGAGGTCTGGGCGTCGTTCTGGGACACGGCGATGATGAAGGAGAACGAGAAAAAGGAGACGTTGCGTCGGATGGCCGACGACCCCCGCAACGCCTACGTATCCCAGTGCGTCTGGAAGTGGCAGATCTGCGGTCCGTTTAAGGAATTACGGTTTCAAGCTGAGACAACGAGAGATATTAGACGAAATTGCTTTGAAAATCATCTCCAGTGGTTCCTCAATCTCTCCACCCCTTGAGTGACCACATGAAAATTTTCCCTGTTCACTAGAACTTTGGCTCGGCAGGAAAGCTAAGAAAAGACACTAAAGCGGTCACTTAGATTTTTAAGAAAACCATTCTTTAGGAGTTAGCGGAGTTACCTGAGGCTCTTCTTGCTGACCTCTTAAGTGGCTACTCAAAATTGGCTCGTTAAATTGCGTCTAGAGCTTAAAGGGTCACTTGAATTATTTCTCAAAATGCTTAGATTTCGCCGCTAAAGCTGTCACTTCAAATTGACCACTCAAGTAGGCACTTACCTTGAAAATTCTTGAAAAGGATAGCGGAGCCGTAGAACTTGAAATCTCGAGAATTTTTTTCAGTGGTTCGGCTTATTCAAGTGGTCACTTTAGGATTTTTGAGAACCTCTTTAGTGATCCTCTTTTCTCTAAGTGACCGGTTTTTCCGTACTAACAAAGATTTTATCTTAAAGGAGCACTCTATAAGAATTACTTTAGTGGTAACTTAACTAATGATTAAATTTTCGAGAGGTTCTCTCAATTGACTACTTAAGAGTTTCCCTAGATATCCGGCGTTTTTTGGCTTGTCCTATTCAATTGGTCACTTTAGACATTTTTAAAAATCTCTTAAGTGACCTTCTTAAAACTCTCAAGTAACCACTCAAGAGTTTCCAAATAATAAATCATTTCCAGTTGAAAACACGTATGGACCGAGAGCGATCATGACGGAAGATGAGCACAAAGGCGGCCCCACTGTTTCTTCGATTATGGCGGCTGTCAATCACATTGACAAGCTTTGTGGCATCGCCTAGTGGCCACTTTAGAGGCTAGATTTTTTATAATAACACTCCCTTTTACCTCATTTTAAAAATAGATAACTTCCAATGTTTGCCATAGACCTAATTTCTCTAAAAAAAAAATTTACGTGACCCCGGGTTGGCGCGTCGCCTTTAATAATTTTTTTGGATCACTGTTATATCTCATGTAATTATGTTGATTTTTGTTGAATTTACCATTCAAATAAATATCGGTTTATTAAAAAAAAAACGATACCCGTGCTGAAATTGGTCGTTGCGTTCGGAAATAGGTGATTTCAAAACAATTAGTCGCCGAAAATGTTGGGATGAGTGAGCTGATGGTCGCGGTAGCAGCCTTTGATCGACTCGAAAACCTAGAATTTTTGAGAATAAAAAAAAATGAAGCTGATTTAAAAATAGTTAGGTCACTGCTAGCTCTACTTGAGCGGGAAAGTGTGCTCCAGCGAACTAACTTGAAATTTGTGTCTATTTCTATCTTTGAAACCGCTTTTTCAAAAATTGAAAATTGCTCGGACATTGGTAACGCGAAATTGACGTTTCTGGGCGATTCTAGGAATCACTTAAGTGTGCTGAGGCTACTAAAGTGGTCACTATAAATGCCTTGACACGTCCCGTTCGCGTTACCAAGGTCCGAGAGATTTTTTCAATGTCTGCCCTCTCTTTTCTCTCATTGCGATGGAGTACACTTTTCTTGGCATAATAAGCGAGTAGTGAATGGATTTCGTATTGTTCGCACTTAAAACTGTCTGACCCGTCTAATCTCTCTTTTCTCTCGCCGGCGAGGTCATAGAAACATGTGATAGCGAGAGTATCGGCGAAACGGAGAGAGAACAGAGAAGTCAGACAGTTTTAAGCTGTAACAAACGGTCTATGAAGGCTCGGGAGTGATCAAATTCAAGCGTCTGAATCCCTTAATGAACTCTAATTAATCAGAAGAAGCTGAAATTAATGAATTATCTGCGAGTTTCATGGCCATCCTGAGAGAAAGGCGGAAAATCCCATTCGATTTCACAATTTATGGGTTTAGGAAGTTGGGAACCGTTTCAAAGTGTCAAAAGGTACCTGGAGGCAGACAAAGTAGTCGAGGACGTTTGACGGGGTGGCGACGTGGGTTCGGCAGAAGGGCAGGCACTTGCCGCCTTGGAAGGCGACGACGCCGGTCCGTTCGCAGCAGGCCGTGTGGTCGGCTCGCGAACTCGCGCACTCGTAGGCGTGGCCCAACTGCGGGCCCGGGCACTGGTTGGTCAGGAACGCCGTCATCAGCTGAATTTGGACACACACATAAATCTAGCCAGTGAAAAAGGGGGTTTCAGATCAAAATCCTTATTTGTAGGAGTATGATAGAGGAGCTCCAGAGTGATCCCTATAGGGGCTACTTTAGGGACCTTTGGAGAGACCCCTCTAGGACCACTAAAGCTTGCAATAGTGGTCCCTATAGGGGCTAGTTTAGGGACCCTTGAAGAGTCCTCTCTAAGACCACTAAGGCTTGCAAAAGTGGTCCCTATAGGGGCTAGTTTAGGGACCCTCGCAGAGTCCTCTCCAGGACCACTAAGGCTTGCAATAGTGGTCCCTATAGGGGCTAGTTTAGGGACCCTTGAAGAGTCCTCTCTAAGACCACTAAGGCTTGCAAAAGTGGTCCCTATAGGGGCTAGTTTAGGGACCCTCGCAGAGTCCTCTCCAGGACCACTAAGGCTTGCGAAAGTGGTCCCTATAGGGAACATGCTAATCGACAAATTTCTGTATGTACTGTATGCATTTCCATGTGAAGAATTAAAAAAATAAGCGTTTTTGAATGAAATTGGAAGACTCCTATAGGGACCACTTAAGCTTTGGGGACTGAGGGGTCAGACTCGAAACCTCTATAGGTATCATCTGGATATAACCCCTGAAGAGATCATTTTTTCGTCCCCTATAGGGACCGTTTTTTTCCCTAACCCCTATAGGGACCTCTCTATAACTCCTAAGCAACTCGCCTTACAAGTCAGGAAGGATTGACTATAAAACTTCAAGCTTGCGAATGAAAGAGATCTTCAAAGCTTCCCTACCGTCTTATCATTGAAGGTGTCAAAGTTGCAGAGACTCTGACAGACGGGGCTAACCCGCTGCTTACGACAGCAGAGGTCGAGTTTGGCATTCGGGTTGAGGCCGGAGATGGCGCCATTCCCAGGGAACTTGGAAGCTTGGATCGGGACGATTGGGGGCGGATTCGACGGCCAGGGGTACGGCGTCGATGGCAACGTTGAGTTAGACTGAAATTGAGGTCTTTTAGTAGATGTGCAAGGCGCACCCTGATTTTTCTCTGCCGCATGCTATTTCGTCGTTTTCTCGCAGTGACGTGAAAAGATAACTATATTTTGGAGAGTCAGAGATAATTTTGAAATTCGCGAAAGTTGTTTCGAATATGGTATAACGCTATAGTCTGTTCAGGTTTTGAATGTCAAATCGTCGCTCAAGTTCCGCCCCTAATGTTGCGATAAACCAATCAGAGAGCGAGCTATCCACAGAGTGTTTGTGAATGACGTCATTGCACTTGAAATTAAAAACCTGAACAGACTATATTCAAGGATCATTGATCTACTGGGAAAATTATTAGTGGCCTCTATAGGATTTCGACGTTTTAGGGGCCACTATAGTAGTCCAATTAGTGGTCACTTAAGGGGTTACTGTAGGTGTCTAAGTGCTACTACTAGACCACTAAACATTTTAGTAGCCACTTTAGGGTTCAATGGATCAAAGTAACTGGTCTAATCTATTTGTTTTTCAAAAAAACACGGAAAATGTAGCCCTATTAAAGGACCATCATCGAAAAAACCGATAAAACATCGACACGAAGGATACTGTAGTCTTGAGGGCGGAGTCAACTTTTTGATTATTTCTGATAATTACTGATCAGACTATATACTCAGGACTCTGGCCGAGCATATCGCGTCTCTACCTTGTCTGCGCTCTCCACTAACCAGACACTTCTCTTTCATTATCGTGTCGAGACCCAATTTCTGATGCCAGCCGTGACCAGAGCTTTTTCTGTACCTTGGGTTTGATAATTTCGTGGCCTCGGTAGACCATGGGCCTCTGTAGTGAGCTGACGACCTGCGGATGGACTTTGGCAAAGTTTTTCAGGTTCTCCGACGGCTTTGCTATTCGGGGAGCGTAAACGTTGCTGGAAATTTATGATAAAAATTTCTTCGACGTTTTTTTTACCTCGCCGGCTTGGCGACAAAAGTTTTGGCGTTGAAAAAGCTGGGTGGGACCGGCTGTTCGTCAGGCTTTTGCATCGTCGCGAAACTGTCCACGGAATATTCGATTTGTGGGGTGGGCTAAAAAGCTGATTTTTTTTGAGGAGAAGAATGGTTTAAAATAGGCCAGAAAATTTAAAGGAGCATAGATAAAGGTCTCGAGGCGAAGAGCCGTTTTTTTCAAAATTCAACTTCCATTTCAAACCTTCTTGACGAGTTCCGCATTAGTTAAGTACTCGCTCAGCTCTCGTTCTTTCTCCTGTGAATAGGCGTTGTCTGGAACATCGTTAACCTTTTTTTCGAAGCATTTTAAACAGACTTGAAACAGTCTGACCTGTCTGCGCCCTCTTCTCTCTTACCGACCAAGAGCTCGGACCTTGGTAACGCGAATCGGAGCATTTCTAGTGACCACTTTAGGAGCGTCCGTATCCTTAAGTGACCCCTAGAACTGCTCCCCGGCTTTTGTTACCCAGGTCCGAAAAAGTTAGAGACTTGAAAAAAGCACGTGAACACGAGAGGGCACAAAGAAATCAGACTTTTCGAATTTTTTTTAGGTTAATCAACTTTCTTACATTAAAAATTAACCCCTAGAATTTCTTCCATTAAATTTTCTCTAACTTTAAAAACTTCAGAGTGGTCTCTGAAGGGGCAAATTTGAGGGCTCTCGGAGATTCCCCTCTAGGGACCACTTAAAGCTTGCAAAAGTGGTCCCTATATGGCACATGCTAATCGATAATTTTTATGTAAAGTAGAAGCGTTTCCAATAAAAAAAATAAGCGTTTTTAAATGAAGTTGAAAGACCCCTGTAGGGCCCACTTGAGCTATAGGGGCTAAGGGGCCAGACCCTAAACCCCTATAGGGATCACTTTTTCGACCCGCATAAGGTTTTTTTTCAGCCTTAAACCCTAGAGGGACCACTCTGGAACTCGATATTTTCCTCTCCTTTCTTCCTAAAAACCTTCTCAAGATAATGCGTTTTGTTTGAAATTCATTTTCATTACTTGATTTTGAAACTGAAATATGAAATAAACCGGCATAACTGGCGGAAGAAAGTAGGGGAATCGGGGTCGCCTGCATGCTTCTGGCGAATGAGCCGACTCGGACTGGGGTCTGGAAAATTATTTAATATTTTATTTTATTTTATTTGATTAACCCTATGAGCTGGCGGCTGTTCTATCGGCGGTGGCGGTCTTGGATCGTAGGGCTGAAAATTGTTCTTAAATATAAAGAATTTTTTTGATAAATATGCAATTTGAATCTTGATAATGATTCACTTGTATGCAGCGGAAGAACCAATTTTTGAATCTTTACCTGGTTATTCTGAAACAGGGATGGGAGTTGTGGCAGGGGTCCCAATGGAATCGGTATAAATGGGTTATACGAATCGTTTCGAACTGAAAATGCTAAATATTACCAAAAAATGACATTTATTAAGCTTAAAGCTTCAAAAAAATTAAAATTTCAAAACTTAAAATGAAATATTGAGTTTTTTTCTGAAAAAAAGATTCCGTCTTCTTTTTTTAAAAATTTTTGAAATTTCTGGTCGCATGTTATGAATCAGAAACTTGAAGAACAAGATTTTGCTTTATTTTTCTAAAGCGATATAGCGCGAGACGTTCGCGATGTCGCAGCTTGAAGGGAGCGATATCGCGCGCGCGGCATAGCTTTACTCTCGTTGTGATAAACTTAGGAAACGCCAGAGAGGTCTCTGAGGAATCACGATTTAACTATATCGCAGCGGATCGTAAACGATATGGCCAAAAATTTTTGCTGCGACCTCGTCAAAGTCTCGCTGCCATATCGCTCTTTCTTATAAGTTTGAAACTTGAAAAACAAGATTTTTCTTATGATGAAATAGATCAAATTGGAGAAAAACGATATAGCGCGAGACGTTTGCGATATCGCGGGAACATAGCGATATCGCGCTTGGCATAGCGTTACTTGTGACATAATTAGGAACGCAAGAGTGGTCCCTAGAGGGGTTAGGGATAAAACAGCCCCTATAGGGGAGAGCCTTTAGACGGCTAAAATCCGGGGTTTCCTATAGGGTCTGACCCCCTAAGTGGACCCTATAGTGGTCGTTCGATTTTTGTTATGACATTAAGATAAAAAATATACGTCGGGATCAAATAATGACGCTAATAATGCTCCTCCAGAGTGGTAACTAACTAAAACCCCTTCCGTGGCCATTTTGCAAGATTTCCTCCTTAGAAGTACATAACATCCGCCATAAGTGACAATCAGTCTTTGAGCCATTCTCCATGCGACCAAAACAAATCAAACGATTGACCGATTGGAGTCGTCGGCTGATGAACATAGGGAGTGGGGAAGAAGGGATTCGGCGGCGGAGCCAAGGGCGACGGCGCTACGGCCGATCCGTCGAAGAGCGATCCGAAGGGCGTCGGCTGGGCCGACGGCGTCTGCAGCGGTGGCACTTGCCAAGCTTGGGCCGGGAATCGGACCGTCGGTCCAATCGGATCGGCTTGCGGGCTTAAATGAGCCGAAACATAGGAGCAAGATTTTTAGGCAGGTTACGTCAAGGAGAGAGGCGGTAGGACTGGCGCAGGCTGAGGAATAGGTGATAATAAAGGTGCTGACTGTTGATTTGTGGACAAAAGGGGCGGAGACGGCGGTTTTTCGAAGGACCCCGCGGGCAGGATATGACGACGGCGGAGCTGGAAAATCTCCTTTTTAGTGTCTTTTTTAAAATCGAAATTCTGTGGTTCATTTTAACTATGTTTTCCTCTTTTCTTCGAAGCTCTATATGTTTTCAAATCAAAAATCGAATTCCATGTAGTAGCCCATCAACCATAATTTCTATGATCAGAAAAAAGCGATTTTTTGGAGTTTTAATAAAATTTCAAGCTACACGATAAGATTAAAAACTCTCAGGATCACGAAAACCTCTCAACATCGAACTAAAAAAACCCATTTGAATGCTTCGAACTCCAACTTCAACAAGCTTATTACTTAAGACTAAAAATTTTTAAAATCCCAATATTTTCTTAAATTTGAACTGAAAAATCATTATAAAAGCGTCAAGCTCCATTTTAACTAACGCTATTATGCTTATAAGGAGGTGGAGTAGTCGGCTTGGTCGGCGGCAGAGTGACGAGTCGCAGCTGATGACGGTCCTCGTCGTGGCTGCCGTTCGAGATGCGACTGACGTCAGGCTCCACCGGCGTCGGAGACGATGACGTCATCGGCTCGCCTCGCGGCAGAATCGTCGTGCGACGAGGCGGCGGCGTCACGAAATATGAATCAATGTCCTGGATGGAGCCCTTGCCGTCGGTGAGCATCTCCAGGTACACTGAAATACACAAGATACTATATTTCTGCATAATTGTTGGGATGGGAAGCTGGGACTTCTGGACGAGACCTTTAGATGTCTTTTTTCAAGCTGATTCTGAATTTACGCTTGAAATTATTTAAACAGGTCAGGGAAGATACCCAAGACGCTCAGAGTTAAAAGAAAATGTCTACCAATTCATTAAACATAGGCAAAGTCGAAAAGGGTGGAAAAAGGCTCCATAGAAATGTTCCTTTCAGGATGACAAAGGCTCCTTTTTTGAGCCTCTCCTTTTTTCATTATCCGCCATTTCAAATTCGGAAGATATGTGAAAATGAGATTGCGAGAATCATTAAAAATTAAAGGTTCATGAATGGTTCCAATAAAAAAAAAACGAAAAATTGAAAAATGCTGATTTTTGTCCATGGAGCAACTTTGCTGCAAAACGCGCTTTTGCCGAACTTTTCAATTTTTTTTTTACAATACTAGGAACTTCTGTATTGAGCTGGAGATGAGAAGATTTCGAAGGGTTTCTGGTCGAAACTTTGAAACTTTCTGGAGGCCTTTTCTAGAAGTTTGAAGGACCTTAGCCTAGACCTAACGGATAAACAACATCAACCTACTCCTGGCAGCAGTATTATAACAAGTATGACAACAGTATTATTATTTTTCCAAGTATACCGTAAGATAGATTTCAATGAAATTCTCCCCAAGGGGTCATTTATCTGGACCCCATAGCCAATACTTAAGAGATTGTTTAATTCAGACCCTTCCCTAATGAAAAAATAAGCGAAAAAGCCCTTTTCCTGCGTAAAAATCTTACTCTTCATTTCCTTGCGCATCGGATGCATGCCATTGATGTAGAAGCTGAAAATAAAAAGTCGACAGAAAAAATCAAAAATCGACCAACTTTTCTTTGGTGAAGACGCGCTGATTGTCGACGGGCGCATGGATGACGTCATCGACCGGCAAATCCCGTGATTTGACTGTGATTGGGTCGGGATTACGTCATGCAACGGGACAAAAAAGAACCAACGTTTTTGGCGCGGCGGACTGCGACGCTGGATTTTCAAAGGTTGTCCCCCGTCGACCAGTACCAGGTCTTCGGCCTGGAAATCTAGGTATTTCTCTCACTTTTTTTTTCACTAGATTTGTTAAAATTTACCAAGTTTATTCAGTTTTTGAGAGAAGATTCTCTGTTGAATCATGAAAAACAGGAAAAATTCTTTCTTACTTTCAATATTTTCTTTTCTTAAGAACTGTTTAGTGGCCCCTATAGGGAAGTGTTTTTTTAATCTAGAAGCATTTCCATTTGAAAAACTCGAAAAATTAACTCTTGTGAATGAAAAATATCAACAGAGGATTGATCGATCGAATTTTTATTGAATTTGTCAAATTTCAGATCTGTGAGAAAAAAATAAGAAACCTCTATAGGGACTTACTAGGGAACGTCCCCCTTCCGATGAACTTTTAATGAATTTTGCTGAAGTGTACTTTGGAGCCTTCTGATTGCAGGACAACCGAAAAATTCTAGAAATAGATCTTTTTTTCGAGTTAAGACGTTCCAAAAGCTTAAAATAGCGCCTTTTTGTACATTTTTGGCATTTTTTGCGGACTTTGAAGCTTTATAAGTCGAATAAAAGATCTATTGCAAGAAGTTATTTTCTTGTTCTGGAATCAAGAGGTCCTAAAGTTCATTTCACCGAAGTTTCATCAAAAAAATTCAAAGGGGGGTAATAAACGATCTCTTAAAAGTTAGTGGTCAGACCCTGAACCCCTATAGGGACTACCTAAATTTCACCCCTCTAGGGCTGCTTTTTTCCCCCTAACCCGTATAGAAACCACTCTGCCGTTTCTAATTTATGTCTAACAAGTCTCGTTCATATTATTAAAGATTGGATTAAGGATATAAGTTATCAAAACTTCAACCCTCCGACCTAATCAGGATCAATGGCACGGATTCACAAAGAAACATATGCATCCAGTTCGGAACGTTATTAGCCACCCCAGGAAGAGGCGCACACACTTCGAGGACAAAAAATCCGGTATTCATTAAAAGCAGTGAGAGAAGAAAAGAAAACGATGGCGCGCCTGAGTTATGCAACATTCGGCCGAATTTATTTGACCGCTTCTTTGGCTGGCAAATGGCCAAGAACTGAGCTAACACAAAAGTACGATTTCCAGGAATTTCTATGATTTTTTGGATTTGAAATGCGCTGAAACTTGGCTGCGACAAATTTCCTATTTAAAACTGTTTTTTGGTCCAAAATTTCCTATTTAAACCCTGTTTTTTGGTCCAAAACTTCAGGTAAAAAACGACTAATTCTTTGACTTTTCACAGTTTTCTGCTCAGTTTTTCAAGAAAGTACATACCAAACCATAAATTTGATACTAAGGTTGAACTATCCATAAAACAAAAATAAATCGAACCGTTTCTGCCAAGCCGACAAGCAGGACGGCAACAGCGGCGTGGAAAAAGCATCCGCGCCGAGTTCCGTCACTTGCCTTTCCTCCTAAAAAGTATTATAAAATATATTTATTATTGACTTGAATTCAGAAATTATTCAACTCTAACAAAACTTACAAAAAAATTCTAACAAGAACAAAAAAATTACATGAAACAAAATGCCGGTTTTTATCAGAAGGATTGAAAAAAAGGGAAACAACGGAAAATAGAAGAAATCACTTAGTTTATAATTATTCTTTGATTTTTGTTCTTATTAAATATTGAAAAAAATAAAACTAACCATTTGAAAGCAGAAGAAAACCGCAAGAACAATGGAAAAATTTATTAAAAATAAATTTGCGCGTCGGCAGGACGCATTGTACGCAAGCACACACTCATTGCGTACAAAACACATCGTCTCGCTTTTTTTGAAATTTAAAATTAAAATCTCTTCCAAATTTTTCGATTTTTCAAGTTTTTAGAAAATCAACAATGGTTCAAATGAAAAAGTATACTATTGAAATAGGGAAAAATAGGAATTTTCAAGGGTAAATTTGTGATCGAAAAAAACAGAGTATCGCAAAAAATTATTATTATTTTTTTGAAACGAAACTGATTTGAGAAAAAAATGATTGACAAATGTAAAATGCTAAAAAAATTTCATATACTCGATTCTTCGTAACTTTTTTTGGTTTTTTTCGACCCGGTGAAGGTGAAAAAAAGAAATAATAATAATGAATGGAAGGGAAAAAAAATTAATTTTTTTCGAATTTTTTTAAACTCAAAATTGTCTTCCGAAGTTTTTTTGAAGGGTCTTGGTGTGTCACTTTTTTTCGAAAAAAAGTATGAAAAAAATTCTCGAACTTCCGCGCCAGGTACCTTTTAAAAAAACTCAAGAAAGCTATTATAGTGATCTTCTGAAAAAAAAAGCTCGAAATAAATTTTCATAACTTTTCAAGACATGGGGAAAGACTACATAAATCAGTAAGAATTTGCAAAAATCAAGATTCCGGACTGAATAAGGTCTGGAAGTGTGAACAAGGCCTGGAAGGAAGAAAAAAAAATCGAGAATCGAGTGGAAGATTGGCGCCGGAGGATGGCAGCCACGACATGGGGGGCAGAAGCCGCCGCCTTATCTTCAGCCTGTTGTCCTCTCTTCTTCTTCTTTTTCTTCTTCCCAATCATTCTGGATCGTCCGTCTTTTCTCGATTTTGGCGCTTTTGGGGGAGGAGAAGGTGAAAAGGCATCAAAAATTGGACTTTTCCTAACCTCCCTTCCTTCAAATCGATTCGAAAATTGTAATTAATCTCAGTTTTCAACTCAAATATCCGCCGAAGAACCAAATTACTTTCCAAGAGGGCTGTCTTGAGAAGTTCCTTTCTACAGTGATAACTATAGTGAACTTTGGAAAAAAACTGAACAAAAATCATCCCCCTTGGAGAAAAATGAACACTACAGTTTCCAGACAGCTCCAAAAACGGACCCAGACTTTTGCAGTACAGCCTGCTTTCGATCAATAAAGGGCGGAGGCAGCCAATCAGACAAACCCCAAAATTGTTACGCCAGAGCGTTTCTTTGGGGATTCGGGATGAGGGTTCCAGCTACAAATGATTGATGTCTAATAAAAAAACTAAGTGGCCACTGGAGGGGTTCATGTGAAGCGTCAAGTGATCACTAAAGCGAAGAGACTTTTTTTAAAATAAGACATTGACGGAATATAAAGTAAATAAGTTTTCTTTCGGAACCACTCTCCGAAGTTTGTGAAGAGTCTTTTTTTATATGACACAATGAAAAAAAAACAAGTGTTATGAAGGAAACTCTTGGGGGAACCCCTCCAAAATCCGAGACTAAGTGACCACTTGAGGGGTATATCCTAAAGTGTTTATGTGGAGCCATATGTGGTCACCAAAGCAAACAGCCTTCCTTTTTCGAAAAAAAAAGAGAAATTAAAAAGTAAAAAGTAAAAGTACTTTCGAAGGGCATTCTTTGAGTACTTCCCTCTACAGCCCTAGATAAAGTGACCACTGGAGAGGTTTATAATAAGTCATAAGTAGTCACTAAAGTTAAGAGTCTTTTTTTATGAGACAAAAAACTAGTTTTTCTGAAGGAAACCACTTCTTTCCGAAATTCGAGACTAAGTGGCCACTTAAGGGGTTTATCCTAAAGTGTTTATGTGGAACCATAAGTGGTCACTAAAGCGGAGAGCCTTTTTTTAATGAGACACTGAAGGAATAAAAAAGAAAAGAAGTGAAAGGCATTTTTAGGGTATTCCTCTCCGAGACTAAGTGCCCACTTGAGGGTTTTATTCTGAACTATTCATGAAGAGCCATAAGTGGTCACTAAAGCAAAGAGTCTTTTATGAGAAATATAAAAAATGAAAAAAGCAAACTGTTCTGAAAGTTAGCAATCGATTACTTTTTCCAAGAAAACTTTGGAAAACCAAAAAAATGATGCAATTCCTAGACACCTCAAGAACGGACCTAGGCCCTTATAGTATAGAAGAATAGGCAAACCAGATCCTTCCTCTTCAGTCGAGAAGCCAAGAAAAAAACCGGCGCATTCTCGCCGCGAACTCTTTAATTATTCCCGAAACTCCATTAGTTTGCCACAACTTGACGCAAAGTCCTCATATAAATAACATTTTTATAACCTTAAAAGGACAAATATTTTTTTTTGTCGATTAATTTAAAGAAATTGTGACGAGTTTCGGGTAAAATTGCGCTTTTCCCGTTTGAGAGTTCAGCGGGCAAAGGCAAATCTGAAATTATATTTTTTGATGGATGAGAAAAAATAAGTTCAGACCTCGTTGACTTGAACCGGGCCGAAATAATAATCTTTAAAGTTTTCCAGGATTTTCGACGCATCGAAATGGTACTTGCGCAGGTCGCTACTCTGAAAAATGGGCTTAAAATTTTGAAACGAAAATTTAAAAAATTGACTTTTATTGGACAGATGTGAGCTTTTTTTCCGATTTCAAGTTCTAGAGGATTTCAAAACTTTCGGAAATCTCACAACCCGTTCCGAATTTTTTTCCAACTTTTTTTTCCTTATACTCTTTTTTTCTTCAATTAAAAATTTTCCATTTCTTGAACTCCAATACAAAAAAAGCGAAAAAAAAATTGGACGTTTTAGAACCGGAAAAAAACTTGAAGAATTCGTAGAAAACCTTAAAAAGAGGAAAAACAGCAGAAATGTATCAACAAAAGCGTTTAATTGAAACGAAAAAAATTAGCATTGTCGAATCCTAATCCTTTTTTAAAAGTTCAACTCCCTCCCTAATCGGTTCCAAAATGACTTATTCTCAAAAATTTAATCAGTTATGGAGAAAAAAACAAAAGCGACAATCTTTTCGACTATTTAGACTTGAAACTTTTTCGAAAACGGTAATCTCTTTTTTTTCGATTTCAAAAAACTTTTAGACATGTAAGTTTGAGGTTACAAAGAAGCATGATGAAAAACAATGAAAGTTTTTTTTTTATTTGAACTCGGGCAAAGTCAGAATGATGGATAATGGCTGCTAAAAAGCTCAAAAAAGGCTGTGGAAAGGCAGCAAAAATGGTGCATAAAAGCCGACTGAATAGCTCAAAAAGGAACATTTCTATTGAACCTTCCCGACTCTGCCTATAAATAATGAAAAAAGAAACTTGGGGGAAACCTGAACAATATATCGAGAATTCATCAAAGTGACGTGAATTTTGACGTTTTCGTCCAGGGATTCGTGTCGGGCCAGGCCGGCTTCCACCAGCCGTTGCTTCACCAAATTCGTCACCTCTTGGACACTTCAAATAGTTCATTTAATCTTTTCAGAAGATATATAGTCGATTCGAAACATCCTCAATAGGCAATTAAAAGCGAATAGAGTACGCCGATTTCAAATTTTTCGTTTCTGCTTTTAATTTCACAAAGATAAAATAGAAAAATTTCAATAAATTGGCAAAATTTTCACCGCTCCGCAAGCCGCGACGCAAGTTGAGTTATGAATAAAGTGGTCCCTATAGGGGTTAAATCAAGGTGGTCTCTAAAGGAATTTAGGATCTGACCTTTTAGCCCCTAAAACGCAAGTGGTCCCTATAGAGGTCGTTTTATTCAAAAGAAAGGTTATTTTTTCGAGCTTTTCGCGTGAAATACTTTTTCGCATAGTTTTCATGAAAATTACCGACTAGAATGTCCCCTAGAGCGCCCACTAACTAAAACTCCTATAGGGACCCCTTTTGCAAGCTTTAGTGGCCCCTATAGGGGTTGGTAAAGCCTAGAGGAGACCCTTCGAGGGACCTTAAGGCTGTCCCTATAGGGACCACTCTGAAGTTCCTAAGTAAGTGTTATTTGAAGACAAGCAAGGGTTCTGAGCCAACTAATATTTTGAAAAGGATTAGAAAAACTTTAAAAAAAGGCTGTATTCCCAAAAATGTTTAAACTTTGACATTTCAAAGTAGCTTTAAAGCTATTTTGAATAAGCCATCAAAAAAACCAACTTTTCGCCCTCCAACTTGGCGAAAAGCACCTGGGCGTTGTGTGGATCGTCGTTCATGATGTCGATTCCCTTCAGCTCAGCCATCAATGGGAATTTGAACAGTTTTCTGGAAAGAAAACTTCGATTTTATCAAAGAAAGATTGAAATTCATTATGCACCAGCTGCGTATTCTCACTACACAGAGTGTGATGGAGCGGTAAGTTTTATAATCTAAAAAAAAAGTCGTCTCTTCATTTTCCTTTACACCACAAGAGGGGCTAGGATAGAAGTCCCTATAGTGAACAAGATAGTGCTCCCAAGAGGGCTATAATTTAGGTGGCCCCTATAGTAGTTCAGGACCCACCCTTAAAGCTCAAGTGGTCACTAAAGGGGTCTTCTAAATGTTTTCGTTGTGACTTGAGAGACGTAGAAATGCTTCTTCTTATAGACTGCGAAAAATTTGATTGGCCTCAATATGGTTTTGACGTTCTAGTGGCCACTGTAATAGTCAAAATAGTGGCCACTACAGGGGTTGAAAATTAGTGGGCACTATAGAGTTCCAAGTGGTACTTACTAGATCTACTAAAACTACTAAAGTTGCCACTAATGAACAAATAGTGGCCACTTTAGTGTCCTCTTCAAGTAGTCCTTGGGGAGCCTCTATAGTGGGCACTAAAAGTTTCCTCATGAATTTATGACACTACTCGACTAAAGTGCACCCTAGAGTGGCCACTAACTGAAACCTCTATAAGGGCCAATTTTGAAAGCTTCAGCGCCCCTATAGGGAGCGTTAGGTGGTCCCGTGAGGAGTCTAGGAGAGCCCTTGGGGTTGCCATTCTAGGGATCACTCTAGGGTTCATAAGTAAAAAACGTTTTGGTCAGTTTTTGGGAAGTTCTCGAGGTTATTTTCCTTTTTCCACAGTTATATTTGATAAATATGGGCAGAATCCTCAAAATCTGGTGTCCCTGACTTCAACTCTTGGCGGACGTCGTTGAGGACCAAGGTGACCTTGGCCATGTCCTCGTCGGTGAACACCCACAAGACGCTGATCGTCACGTGGAGTTTGTCCTTCGACGTGAACAGTTTCGGCTTTTTGCACGTCTCCTTCAATCACGACTTCATTGACAACAACCGGGAAGGAATTTTCGTCTTCCCACGTGGTACGCTTCGTTTCCGTTGATTATGTGCCGAAACGCCTCGAATGACGTCATCACGTCGGGCAAGTTGCATGGGATCGCCACGAAATGCGTCACGCGCGCCTGTATTTTCTTATTTTGATTTCTGGAAATTCGTCAGAAGACAACAGTCTGGTTTGGGAAATCAAAAATCCTGACTTTTAATTCGAAAATTGTGAAATTCGTGGGAAAATTTTTCTATAGAGGCTCGCCAAGGACTAGTGGGAGAGAACACTAAAGTGGTCACTAAAATTTTGAGTGATCTAGTAGAAGCACTTAGACTTCTATAGTGAACACTAATTTTTAACCCCTAAAGTGTCCCCTATTTTGACTACTGTAGTGGCCCCTAAAGCCTCAAAACCCTATAGTGGCCACTAAAAAATTTCTCAGTTCTGTTCCGAAGAGAGGACAACATGCTGGGAGAAGCTCTAGTGACCACTTAAGAGGCCCCTCAAGGACCACTTGGAGAGAACACTAAAGTGCCCCCTCTATAGAATCCCTTATTTGGCGTTTGAGTGGCCACTTAAATTATTAGTAGCCTTAAACTCCTAAAGAGGTTACTAAATTTTAGCCTTATTCGAAGTGACAAAAAGCTAATATGAAGTTAGTAATAATGAAAATAAATTTCTTTTTGGAAAATTATTTTTTCGACTGCTGTCCCTTTAATAAGCCTCTCAAGGTAGATGCATAAGCTCAAGTTCGGAAATCCAGCTTAAGAATAAATTCTCTTAACTACTGCGCCTTTAGTAAGCCTCTCAAGCGTCAATAGTCCTATTAAAGGAGCAGAGATCAAATTTCCGATCACTGTTTTTACCGTTTTCCTCGCTTCGATATTGAACAACTCGATACGATCCATGCATCTTTGGACGTAGTCCAAGCCGCCGAACGAGGTGATTTCTAGAAATAATCTTCATATATGTCATTCCTCAAAACTCCGACCAGTCTGGCTTCTCTGTGATCTCTTTTCTCTCATCAGGAAGGACATCTTCTAATTTGCGGTCAAGAAACGAAGACTCAAAGTCAAAGGAAACCCTCAAAACCTGTTAAAATAGGCCATTTCGGAGCCTCGTTTTTCGAAAACTAGAAGTTTGTGCATTTTGAGACTTTCAGGACCTTTATCGGGTGATTCTCGTGGTCGATAGCAAGAGAAAAGAGAGCGCAGACAGGTCAGAAATTTCTACGAAAGGGCCCACCGACAGGTTCATTTGAGCCCCTTCTTGGTGTCTTCAGGCGACAATTCGTCGAGTCCTCAAGTTCACGACGGGCTTGTCCGTGCATTCCGATGAACATCCCCATAAATGCGTTCGGAACAAAAATTCTGGAGGGAAAAATTTACAATTAGTTTTCAAAATGGTTGGAAATCGCATGGGATGGCTCAAAATGTCGTGATTATAATGGAGGTTCAAAAATTGGTACCACTCCCTCGGCTCTTGGTAAAATCACCGGATCATTCTGAACGATGTATCCCTTAAGAGCTCTGAAGCTACCAAAGCGTTCACTAGAAATGCCGGGAAAAATCTGTTTTGCGTTGTGTTACCAACTTGCTGTTGCGCCCGACCTGAAGCGACTTTGCACAATTTCCCCTTTCTAGCCCGTTGAATGGTTTGCCACGACTTTGAAGCTTTCATGTGTCTAATGGTTCTGTTCCCTCACCGGCGATGTCAGAGAAACATGAAAATTCCCCTCAATGCGCGCGGCGTGTCTCTTTGTATGCGCCTTTAAAATAACGGGACTTCTGAAAGGGAAGCTTCTCGTAAGCGTTCTGAAGCTCGGAGGATAATCAAAATCGTGACAAGCTGGCGCAGAATGTGCTATATCACATCTTTTCATAAAATCCGCTCAGCGACCGCAACGCATCAAGCCATTCTCCATGCGACCTCCCCAATTATTCGATTACTTCGCCATCCATTTCGCTCCATTGCTCACAATCCGAGGATCTTCCGAACATGGCGTCATCTTCAAATCGATATCAATTTTTTCGCTTAATTTTTAAAAATTACCTGAGTGACTGGTTTCCCCACGGTTTTCTTCGAACTTTCGCCATTTTTTTCTACTTTCGGTTTTTTAATGTTCTCTGGAGCTGAAAAGATATAAATTCTGTTCACATGTGATGTTGCGCAAAAGGTCTCGAAGGGAAAAGACTTAAAAAGAGCACGTTTTATGCTCCTTTAAACAAAACAGCCATGAATCTTTAAACTCAAAAAAAATTTATGTGGGAGGGTAAACATTGAAAAAAACTCTTCTGATCTTTGAAAGCAATAATTTTTCGAAAAACTTCCTAATGGTCAGAGCATTTCAAAGACCTTAAAACTAGAGGTTTTTTTAAAAATTCCAAGAACAAGGAAAGTTTTTTTTTTTTTAATCCCTCGTTCCTTTCTGTCTCTTTTTTGGTACAAAAATGTTCATCGTTGACGAAACTCGGCGGAAGGAAGGTTTTTTTTTTTTGGAAAAACATTTTCTTAGTGAAATAGTTTGAAATTTAAAAGAAAATATTTTTCGGGGGTCAAACACAAGGACTAAACCTTAAAAAATATGATCATCATTGAGAATTATATACAGTACCGTCAGAAAAGAAACGAAAAACGGGTTTCGGTAACAACTTTCTTGGAAGAAATTTAATCTGTCTGAAATTCTGGTGACTGTTATTTTAAACACTCTGATGAAGTTTCAATTCACAGGGAAAAAACGTAGCTTCAGAAACTTTCAGGAAGACAAATTCCTTACAAGAAAGTTGGGACCAAAGTAGCTTTTTTCGTATCTTTCCTGAGGGTACTGTACCTTCAAAAAATGAGATCGATCTGGGATATTGTAACTTTCGACTTTTAAGAGTCCCTCGCTTTTTTCACAGGCTTTGTGGGCAATTTTTGAGACCAGATTTGGAATCAGCGGGAAAAAGTACATATAGAAAACTCGGTCTCATTCAGAAGTCACTCTGTGAGTTGAGAACATTCCATAGTAAGATTTGTGACCATTTCAGGCCCGAATTCCCTCAAAACGAACCAACAGCACAAGAAGGACCATCGTCGGTCTCATCCACCTCAACAATAGCGTACAAATCTGGCGTATCGTGACTTTCCGTCACTCTTTTCGATCCGCCGCTGAAAACAACGTCTCAAATTGGTCGGAACGGTCGTGTTACAACTGAACTAATGAATGGAATCACAACCACTGCGTGTATATCACTTTCTGTGATAATTCTCACAACTTTACACACGAAAAAGTCTCGGTTGGACCCGTTTCGATTCGATTCAGTTTGATCAGGCGGTCTCAAGTCCAAACATCAAACTTTCTAGTGAGATCAAGATAACGGGAGGCTTTATTGAATGAAATTTAAGTTTTTCAATATGCTTTAGAAACTTTCGCTGGAAGTTTAAAAAAAGTATTAAAACTTCAGTAAGATCTTGAAACGAAAATTTCTTTCAAATGTTAAAAGTTACATCAAGACGTTTTCAGAAGAAAATAGGTTTTAAACTTCAGAAATATTATATATCAAACAAATAATCAAAAAACTTCGAATCAATTTGAAATAATTGAAAAAAAAAACCTGAAAAAAATTCCTTTTTAATCGCTGAATAACAACTTGAAAAAAATTAAAAACGTCGAAAACTAAAAAAATATTATTACGAAGCAAAACTTCCGACTGACTTTTTTTGACGAAAATTTCGATGAAAATTCCAAGAAATAAGCTTCAATCATAGAAATCGGTTCAACAAAAGCATTATACAAAACCGTGAGAAAGTTTATGGAAAATACAAAACTGATTCAAAATTTGAATTGAAGCGAAAAAAAATTTCGATTCAATACCCGAAAAAAGTGGCAATTAATGAAAAGGGAAGCGTGGAACTCATAAAAAACAAGAAATATTCACTAAAAAAATCGAAAATGGATTAAAAAAATAGCGATAAATGTAAAAAGAATGAGTTTTTCTTAAGTGGCTTGCAAACGTGAGTTGGAGCGCGCTTTCTGTCATTTCACAATTTTTCCGCGAATCTTTTCTCATTTTTATATTCTTTATATAACGTTTTCATAATTTTAAAAAAAGCTTGAACAGTGCTCTTTCATTATGAAATATTAAAAAATTGCCATTTTCTGTTTAACTTCTATCAATATTAAAAAAATCTATTTTTTCAAAGTTCAAAACACAACAAACCTGTAGGGATTCCTCCGAAAAACGCACCGACCCACCAAATATTTCTCAGGGTGAAGTGGAAATGACATTCCTAAAGAAAACTTCTCAAACTGAAAATTCTTAAAAATCAGTAATTAAATCAGTCATCAACTTTCACTGTTTTTAAAATAAAGAAAACTAAAAACAAGGTTTATTAGGTCACATGAATCGAAAAATAAAACTGAGCAAATCAATTAAGTCACAAATTGTTTCTTGAGATGAATGAGGTTACGAAAGAAAAGCACAAAAAAATCACAGAAAATGACATGAAAAAAATAAAAAAATGCAGTTTTTTTATATAATTAAATAGAATGGGCGGCTTGGCGGAAAGATTCAACGACGTGGTCGATTTCCTCGTCGGTCAGTGCAGTTTGGAACATCAGCCGAGCGCTGGAAATGATAAAATTCCATTTAAAACGGTCGCACTTAAGAATGGCTAAACAAGCGACGCGGTCGCGTTGCGGTAACCAGAATAAAAATAATCGATTCCAGCATGAAATTTTTTAAAGTTTCTCTAGCTTTATGAAGACTACTTCCTCTTACCTTTTTTTAATAGAAATAAATGAAAATAGAAATGAAATATGGCCGCATATACTCTTATAGGCTCTGAAAAGCTTCTATAATTTAACTTCTTTCTTTTGTTTTCCCTTTTTAAAAAACCCAAGCGACCGCTTAAGCAGAGCACACGCCTCAATAATTCACCAAAGTGACCACTACAGTTTAAACAAGCTTAGGAACTCCAGAGTAGTCCCTATAGAGGCCCTTGAAAGTTCCCCTCTAGAGACCTCTTTAGCTCCCCCTATAGGGGCCATTAAAGCTTGCAAAAGTGGTCCCTATAGGGGACACGTTATAAACTTCATGAGAAGAATCATTTCCGAAAAATCAATGAATTAATTTGATTGAAAAACAGAATTGATTTTCAAAACTGAACAAAAGTTGCAAGATCCCTTTAGTGACCACTTGAGCTCTAGGGTCTTGGGGGTCAGACCGTAAATCTCTATAGGGACCACTTGAGCTTCAGGGACTTACAAAAACTGGCCCTTTTATTTCAATTTCCTTGGAATCTCTGTTCAAAGTTTTATCGAATTCCAATATCTCGACCTTTGCATCTTTTGTGACCCTAAATCCCTATAGGGACCACTTAAGTTTTACCCCTATAGGATCATCTCCCCCTACCCCCTATAGGGACTCCTTTGCGGCTCCTAAGACGCTGAAAGTGATGAAATACCTCGGCTTCAAGGGGAACAACTCGTCCTTCTCCAGGTATCTGGCTCGCGTAATCACAATCTTGAACTTTTCGAACAGCTGAAATGAACTCAATTCTTGAAATACTCTCGAAAATGGACGCTTCATTTCCGGACTCACCTCGTCGACTAGCAGGTCGAGTTTGGGCGCCGCCTCCTCGTCGGTCCCGTCGTAGTAGATGTGCTTCATCGGACTCAGCGGCTCACCTTCGACGTAGAACTTCGAGTCCTTCAAGAGGTACATTTTTGAATAGTTCTGCTACAGTTCAAGCTCAAAAAAATTAGAAAATGATATCTAAAAAGGCCTGAAACTGGGACAGCAAGTCTAACAGGCTTCTGGTGATCTCCCCCAAGCTTGAAAATTTTTTTTTTCGATTCCCAAAAATCTTTGAACTCGTCCTTGACTTTCTGAAAACCGCATAGGGTCAAGTTTTCCGTATTCTACGACCCTTGTATTTTACGGTATTTTTCGAGTCTGTATTCAGAAGTGCTTGTAAAATCAATAAGTTCAATCTGAAGGTTCCAAACTTTTTTCTTTTTCCTGAAAATTGGCCAGAACACTTCTTGATGTACCACGAAACTATCCTGAAAGTTTCAGCCTGCAAAACTTTCTCGTTTTTGAGAAGAGTCAAAAAAAATCCAAGAAAATGGGCTTTTTGAGACTTTGAGCCCTTATTTCTCAAAAACTAGGAAGTTGTGAAGGTTGAGACTTTCAGGATCTTCATCTGGTACATCAAGAAGTGTTCTGGCCAACTTTCAGGAAAATCCCAACCGAAAAGGAAAATGACCCCCCCCTCTCGTCACTGTCAGCACTTGACGCTTTCATAAGATCAACCGTACGATTTTGAACCCTTTTTAGACCTCCCCAAGATTTTTCCTCACCTCCAACGCCTCCTGAATCCTCTGATGCGCCTCGACAGCGATCTTCTGGACCCTCTGAACTCTTCCCGGGTCCTCCTCAATAATCTTCAAGCCTTCGCTGGCCGCCGTGGCGAGCAGCGGCGGCAACGAGGCCGAGAAGCAGTATCCAAGGCCGGAAACAACAAATTTCACATTTTTCCTGAAAATCCGCGGTACCGGAAAGCCTCTGATGGCCGACGACGTAGCTTCTGCCGACACAAAAACCGCCGGTCGAGGCGAGGGCGTTCTCGAGCGATCCCATGACCATGTCGACGTCTTCAATCGGCACCCCAAAGTGTTCGGTCACGCCTACAAATCGAATCAAGTCAATTCGAATAAGAAGACGTCGTCTATCGTCATCGGGAGTGCACACCGATCTCATTTTCTCTTTCTTTTTTTATAGTAGGACTAAAAGAGCGATAGAGTGTGGGAATGGCGGAGAAGCCAGTCGGCTAGAGCTCTGCGTCTCCTCGGCTCCCATCCTCTTTGGCTCGAAAAATATCAGGGCTCAGCATTCTGTTAGCTACTGTAACACACTGATTCGTTTCAAGACCATTTTCGAACTTGATTTAAAAATTCAGCTTTGCATTGGTTTTGGCTTTTTCTTAATTCTTCAAAAAAGAGAACAGTAAGAAGTCCATATCAATATGGAACTAGGAAAAAAAAGACCCTGAAACGAAATTTTTTCTCAAGTTGGAATCTATTCGCCATGGAGCGAAGTTGTATACGAAAATTCGACCGCTTTTCTCTCAAGAGTTCAAAAACTGTCGAGGGGCAAATTTTTCGCACCTTCACTATTTTGATGGGTTATATACTTATTAGCAACAACGTTTATTTCCAAAATAAAAACTTTTTTATTCTACTTTTGAAGCAGAAAAGTTATTTTTTCCGAAAATTCTTCAAGTTTAGGCTTCCTTATTCGCCAAAAATTCGAGCTTTTTTTCTTTAAACCTTGACTTTTTGAAGCTCACCCCCCTGTTAAGCTCTCTTAACATCCTGGAGTTCAGTTGGAAAGTGACCTTTCAAACTTTTTGAAGTCCTCACTAGCTTGCGTTTTTCTTTCTTACCATTTTTCAACAATGAGTTTTTTTCAAAGCCCCCCCCTGTTAAGCTTTTTTTAACACCAAGTTCAGTCCAAAAATGGTCTTTCCGATTAAAAAGTGAAGTCGCGAAAAGCCAAAGAATTTCCATATATCATCGGGCGACGTAAACCAGACCATTTTACACAACAAATTTTTCGCATCGCCGTATAAACCCACGTGCGACGTCTCTTATCTCTCCTTTTCTGGTCTTGAAATAAATTTTATCAGAAAATTTTTTTACAACTCTTATTACTAATTTTTTTTTCGGACAGCTTATTTTTGTTATCAAGGCTCCACGGGTATAATACCGTATAATCCAACAAACTTTCGAAAAACAGGTTTTTTACTCTTTTTTTGTTCTCCACAGTTTTTCCCTCCAAAAAGTGGAAATCATTATTTTTTGTAGGGAACAGTACGTCATTCTTATAAATCCAATACCGATACAATTTTGGTGAATTTCAGGGATTTTTTATAGTTTTTCTGTTTAGTTACTTTTTTTGTTGTGGTTTTTTCCAAAGACACCTTGAACTTTTGATCTTTTGATACTTTATAACCAACTTTTTTCCGGGAAAAGGCAAATTTTTCAGTCCAAAAATGAAAAAAAGAGGTTTCTAAAAGTTCTTCAATGGTTTTTGAAAGTTGAGAAATTGAATTTTTCCGGCAAAAAAATTTTTTTCAAAACGCATCTTGAAAAAAATTTTGGAATTAAAAACTTTTTGATACATATTATCCAAGAACAAGTACTTTTTTTACTATAATTTTTTTATTGAAAATATTCGTCTTTAGAGATACATATGAACATTTTTTTCTAAAAAAACGGTCCCTTTTTTTAATTAAAATGAAGTTTTTTTGAACCTTATAAAGGAACTTTTTTTCTTCTCATTGAGATCTTCGTACTGAATATCTACTTAAAATTCATTAAAAACCATCAATTCAACTAAAAAAATAATATCATTTATTTTTCCTGTCAGCCATGTGTTTTTTTCCCTTTGATTAACCTGTTTCGCCTCGTGTTTTTCGTGTTGACCTCATCTATATAGATGATTTTTCAAAGTTCACTTTTTTTGTTCGCTTCCTTTTTTCGTACATGTAGTTGTGTTTTTGTTATGAAATTTCTGGTCGTAGATTTTTTCTTATTTTAACTCGAATTAACCTAGAACTTTCTTTATTATTTCTTTTGAATATCTTATATTGAAAGACCAACTCTTCCAAGTTCAAAGTTGCAAAGTTATCCAATTTCACCTGAATTTTACACCTTTGCAAAGCCATAAAAACCGGCGTCACACCTCGAAAAAAACGGCTGCTTTTCCTTTCATTCCGATCAAAAAAGGAGCAGCTTTTCTCGCCGAGGCGTTCAGACCGTTTCTATAACAGACGGTTGAAAAAAGTTGTAAAATTTGCGGCAACACAAATAACGGAAAAAAAAAGTTTGGCATATAAAAAAGCGTGGGAAAGTTCCGAAGCGACGCATCATATCAGCTAGCGTTCCTGAGGAGATTTTTCTGATTCTTTTTTCGATCATTTTTTTTCATTTTTTTCATCTTCAAATTTTCAATAAACGCTTCTCTATGAACTTTCTTTCGTTTTTTGAGGTCGAAAGGTTTTTTTCACCTCAAAAAAGTTTTTAAGCGATTTTATAACGTTCCAAAATAGAGTTTTCAAAACAGGACTTTTTTTTAAATTTTGAGCTGATTTTTGAGATCTCAAATCCGAGTTCAAGGCTACCTGAACTTGACTAAAACCTATTAGAAATTCATTTTTTTAAGCTGATAATCACAATTTTTTTGAATCTTGGACTTCTAATCACCCTCTTCACTTTTTTTCCGAAGTCCCAAAAAAACGTTCTAAAAATAATAAAAAAACTTCAAATTAAAAATTAAAATTCAAAATAATATATTTAAGATTTACTAGCTTTTTTTCAAAAAAACCTTGCTGAGCTGTTTGAAAGAGCATAAACTGATTTTTTTCAACTTTTTTTCGAAAATCTGAAAGAAAGACCCGTTTTCAGTGTGATTCCAGGTCATGCAACACTTTCCCATCATCTAAATTCAAACCAAAAATATCTAAAATAATCCTCTGATCTTCGAAAACCGACATGTATGACCTCACCGTTCTCGTCATAACCACAAACATCCCTCCTCTTGTAATGGCGTAGCGGGGGATTTATGATGGTTTTTTCGCTCAATTCGAACTGTTTGCAGACATGCTGGCACGCTGTTTCAACGTGTTTCTATTCGTCCTACTACTGGCGTTGATCGTGCCGAAAAGCCATGCCGAAGCAAAGAAAGACGTGCCGACGTCGACACGGCCACCAGACGAGCCGGTTGGTCTTACTCATTTTGAACTGATTTTTGTCAGAAAGTCCACAAAAAGTAGGACCATAAAGGCTGTGGTCGCATGTAGAATTGCTGAACACGTCCACGAGATTCAAATCATACTGTTTAACTGACGTCACCCTAATTCTAATGCTGACGCGCGCAAGTCGCTCTAAAGTCGGGTGCGCTTTCAAAAAACTCGCTACGCAACCGTTAGCCATTCTAAGTGGTATGGTAAATCATGAGCAGAACCACAAAACCAATCTTCATGGAAACTTCCAAGTTCCAGCTCTCATCCGAAGAGATCACGGCGTTCATGAAGCAAGACTTCTTCACCGACGCGATTGCAACGTGCGACAACGAGACGGCGCCCAACCGCCACGCCATCTACTGCAGCGGACGTCTCCTGCAGGCCGTCATGGCCGTCAGGCTCTACAAGGACTCGAAGACGTTCCTCGACCAGCCGATCCGCAATAACTACACCGCCAATCAGATTATTGCCGAGTTTGACCGCCGATTCCCCGACTTTGACTCGATCACACGAGCCGACGTCAAAAAGTTCGTTGACGAACACTTTGAGAAGGAGGGACACGAGTTGGAGATGTGAGTTTGGCCTTTTTTTTTCGAAGCCATGGAAAATAAGAATTATCCTCACTCAAAAAAAATGTTTCATTCTTGTTATTCTGAACCCAAGGAAGAACGTCCATTGAACAAAACAAAAGTTGAAGTTGAATCAACCGAAAACAAGACATTTTGACCCAGAAAACAAAGTTCAAAATTTTTTCGATCAAGTGTTTTCGATTTGGGCCAAAGTACTCCAATCATTACACCTATATCGAAAATTGCCTGTTTTTCACATGAATTTTACAGTTGCCACCTACCGGATTGGGTTCCAAAACCAAAGTCTCTCGATTCGATCGTCGACCCAGAATACCAAGAATTCGCGACACGTCTTCACTACATCTGGATAGAGTTGTGCCGCGAAATGAGCACCGAGGTTCGAGATCAGCCCGAGCGGTTTTCCCTGCTCTACGTCCCTCGGAGCTTCGTCGTTCCTGGCGGCCGATTCCGCGAATTCTACTACTGGGACGCCTACTGGATCGTCAAGGGCCTGCTCGCTTCAGAGCTGCACGAGACTGCCAAGAACATGGTCATCAACTTTGCCTACATGATCCACAAGTACGGATTCGTGCCGAATGGCGGCAGGGTCTATTATCTGCGACGTTCGCAGCCGCCCATGTTCGCCGCCACCGTCTACGAGTACTTCCAAGCGACCGGCGACGTCGACCTTCTAGAAAAGGTCGTGCCGCTGATCGAGAAGGAGTTCGAGTTCTGGGTCCAGCATCGCTCGATTAATGTTCCACTAGGGGATGGGTCTTCCGTCGACATGTTCCAGTACAGAACCGAGGCCAATACACCCAGGTAGCTTATTAATAATGAAGGTCATTATAGTCTGAATAATTGTCTCAAATCCTCTGATGTCGAGGTACATTCTTATAAAGCTTGTCCCAGTAGCGACTATGACGTATCTCGTTCTAAACCTTCAGAGAAGTGTTGAGCAAAATTTCAGAACTTGAAACCAATATGATCTCCCTCGTAAGATCTTTGAGAGAAAATGAACCATTTTCAGGCCAGAATCCTTCCGCGAGGACGTGCTAACGGCCAAGAACATGAGCTTGCCGGAGAAGCGAAAGTTCTTCAGAAACATTGCCAGTGCCGCCGAGTCCGGCTGGGATTTTTCCAGCCGCTGGTTCAAGGATGGAAAATCTTTGGAGAAGATTGTCACCACCGACATCGTTCCGGTTGATTTGAACGCATACATTTGCTACAATATGCGCATCTTGGCACATCTTCACTCTGTGCTAGGTTTAGACTTTCTTTCTGACATAGAGGTCGTTTCTTTGATAAGCTCGACGTTCTCCAATGGGGCTCAAACTTCTAGGAGTCATAACTTTACTTCCAACTGATTTAGAATCCGAATCTTCTGGCTCCTTTCATCCAAATTCCATCAAAAAGCCTAAAGTTGGAAATGTCCCCGACTAAAAGTTTACAAGAACCATTAGTAAGGACTACGACGGATGAGCATCTACACTTCCTAGAAGAACTAAACTTCATACTAGAACGAGTACCCCAATATGATCAAAAATCTTCCAGGAAACCCGGAGAAGCACGAAGAATGGTCGGGACGATTCGTCGCTTTCCGAGAGCAGTTCACCAAACTGTTCTACGTGAGCGAGAAACGCGGCTGGTACGACTACAACCATCAGACGCAGCAGTACAACTTTGAGTTCTACCCGACCATCGCCATCCCATTGTTCGCCCAGTGTTACGACGCCTTCGACCAGAGGCTTGTCGTCGACGTCTACCGACAGATGGAAGCCACCGGGGCTTTTCAATTCGCCTCCGGCGTTCCAACAAGGTAATCTTCTGTCTCTCTATCACAGATCGAATCGATAATCCGAGGTCGCTCTAGTCACATAAATATGTGTCGGTTGGGGATTTAGGAAGTCTTAATTATCCACTTCCCTATTTATGAATTATGTAAAGGGTCCCAGTTCATCAAACTTTATAATCTATTCTCCATTAGAAAGACAAACCACCCGGCTCGCTTGAGGTACAAAAAAGCCGTAGTCATGTCCTCTACTAGTCACACACTGTCCTCCTCATCCCCTCTAGACCTTTTTCTCACCGATTATTGGGATCAAGATCAGTTCCGAAAATCATCTAGACTATTTTCCTTTAGATAATAAACCTCTCAGCTTCCCGATTGGCTTGAGATTAAAAAAAAAGTTAGTTCTATACTTCAATACCAAGAAAGTTCTTCTTAAATAAACTCTTCATTGAATCTTCCAAGATTAGAAAAGCCTCGAATTCTTTGAATAATTGAACTCTTTTCAGTCTCCAACAAAACTCGACGGAACAATGGGACTACCCGAACAGCTGGAGTCCACTCAACCACATGATTATCGAGGGTCTCCGGAAATCGATCAGTCCTTTGTAAGTCTCCAGAAGAAAATCACCCGACTTTTGAACACGAATTGTATGTTATGTTTACTGAACCGTTTCAATTTTAAGAAAAAAAAGTTAACATAACTACAATAATATTTACCCGCTTGTCATGAGAAAACGACTGATTTTTGGTGATTCTTGTAGAATGCAACAAAAGGCGTATCGTTTGGCGGAAGAATGGGTCCGTGTCAATTTCGAGACGTTCAATCAGACTAACGCCATGTGGGAGAAATACAATGTCGTGTCGAATAAAGTCGGCCATGGCGGGGAGTATGAAGTTCAGGTGAGGAGAGAAAAAATCTAAATGTCAAAAAAATCCAGAAAAATTGAGAAAAAAACTAGTCCGATGGAAACTTAAAATGTGCTCCATTGATAATGGCATTTTTACTAAAATTTTGAGCATTTTCCGCAGATAAAAACCATTTCATCGGAGCAGTTCGAATAAAAAACATGTGTAGAAAATGTGTAGAAGAATAAGCTCGGTTAACTTGAAAGTGTGCTCCAGGGATAATCAATTTTTTGGTGTTCCGTCTAAGAGATAAAAACTATTCATGAACTACATCAAAATCACTCATCATTGCTCATGTTAAAGTGGTGACTTTCGAAGTAAAAACACTTCTCTTTCAAATTGACACCCTATCAAAGCTTTTGGCCAAACTTGAAGGTATTTTTCTGATTGATTCTCATCATTGCTCATGTTAAACTCGTCAGGACAAAATATGAGTTTTTGAGGTTCCTGAGGTCAAAACTTGATTTTAATACATAATTTTCAATTTTTTTGTCGTTATTCATCCTCCCTGACCTATTGAGTTCCCACGTATGACTTCGAAGTTCTCATCCTGATTAATCCAATAAATTCTGTTTGTTCCTCCAGCTCGGATTCGGCTGGACGAACGGCGTCGCCCTGGACCTGATGAAGACTTACGGCGACCGTCTGGTCTACTACAAAAATCAGTCGAGCTCCCCAAGTTCGCCCAGCTCCACCGAAGAGCCTCCTCAGCGAGATTTCTTCGTCCGACTTCAGGAATTACGCTCCTCTAGCTCAGTAATCACATTTTCGTGCTCTCTAACCCTATTCGTGTACAATCTATACGTGTAATTATGCTTTAATGATGTTTTTCTGGCCCTTATTATGAGATTTAGCGTTATTTTGAGCCGAAATTTGAAGAAAGGTGGATTTTTTTTTGAGAAAAGGTCCTGAAACGCCAAGTTACAGTAATTTGCAAGATGATTCGAAAATCTGAAACTCTCTCTTTTTTCTACACTATTTCGCCTTTTCTCATATCCTTCAAAACTTCGGCTCAAATCAGCGGTGAATCATCTTTCGTTCACACTCAATACCACGCTTCATCTTAAAGGGGAAGGTGAGAGATTTCAAGATCCCGAAGAGACGCCAGACCACGAGAGCACCCTCGTTTCTCTGCCGTTTCTTCATACCTTTCCAATCTCTCGCTTTCTTCACCAAATTGGGTAAAAATGGGTAACCATTCCATTTCTGTATGTATTTTCTGTATGTATTGTATTATTTCCACCAAAAGAACAGAATCTTTCAGAGAGCTTTAAGAAATTAGAACGCTAATTGTCATTTGTAAATGTTTGGTCTTTTATGTACACTTTCTAGTCTCAATTTCTTATTTTTGAAATAAATCTCACCTCTTCCTGTCTTTCCAAGGACTCCAAAAGACCAGCTTTCGTCGACGAACACACGGACCTCAAAAATAAAATTTCAAAAAAAATATGAATTTCCGATTTTCTTGGTTCTTGAAATTCCTTCTTTCTGAGAAAGAAAAAAAACAATACAAATCGTCTGATGGTACCATTGCGACTATAGTAACCTCAAAAATCGGTCTACAGTATCACTTCGACTACGATAACCTCAATTTTTAGATTTGCATGAAAATTTTCGAATTTTTTTCTAGTCGAGCAACATCACAGCAACGAATCGAGTTTTTTTTTCTTTTTCAAGCTACAGTAGCCTCAAAATCGTTCTACAGTACCCAAACGACAGTAGTAGCTCTTCAAAATGATGTGAAAAACATTTTATAGATACAATAATGGTTCATCCACCTACAGAGTCAATACTTCTACAGTAACCAATATAAAGAATATAAAAAAGGCTCTACAATGCATCCTACAGTAACCCGAAAAAACTCGCTAAACGTGCAAAAAATCCTACTAGTAATTCACTATAAAAAAAATACAGTATATTTAAAACTACAGTAACCCAGCGGTTCTACTAACCTTGTACTACCAATCGAAACAGCACATATTGAGCTACAGTAACCCGCCGTTCTAGCAAGCTTGTACTACCAATCGACACAGTAAATGGTAATCTACAGTAACCTAGCCATTCTAACAACCTTGTACTTCCACTGGACACCGTAAACATTGAGCTACAGTAACCTAGCCATTCTAACAACCTTTTACTTCCACTGGACACCGTAAACATTAAGCTACAGTAATCTAGCCGTTCTACCAACCTTGTTATTTCACTTGACATATTGTTCTACAGTAACCCGCCGTCCTATCAACCTTATACTTCCACTTGACACAGTAACTATTGAGCTACAGTAACCTAACCATTCTGACGACCTTGTACTTCTACTGGACACAGTAAATATTGAGCTACAGTAACACAGCCAATCTACCAACCTTGTACTTCTACTGGACACAGTAAATATTGAGCTACAGTAACCCAGCCAATCTACCAACCTTGTACTTCCATTGAACTCGATAATCTTCGGAAGAGGACAGAGGTCAGCAGTGTTTACGTACAACCCTTCAACGACCAGGAATCTTCGAATTTTCGCCGCTTTTTTGGGGTCCTGAATTTGGGAAAAAATTGACTTTCCGAGTCAAGAAAACCTTGTTGTCCTTCTCTTCCTGGATCTTCAGAATCCGCTCCAAATCCTCCATATCGTTGTGTTTGAAGAACTCGACTCGGCTCCGAGACGCCTGGAGGCCTTTCTGGATGGCGAAGTTCACGCCTAGAACACAAATTCTTCAGAAGAATCCAGATTTCTTCGCACCTTCATCAGCAAAGATGATGTCGCCCTTCTTGGCGTAGGCCGGAATCGCGCTGGACACGGTCGCGAAACCGTAGCTGTACAGGACGGCCTCTTCACAGTGGAGGAACTTGGCCAGCTCGGCCTCGAGGTCCAGATGAACATCGACGGTTCCGTAGAAGCCTCGGGGACCGCAGGAGCCGACGCCGTACTTGAAGATGGTCTGTTTCGTGCGTTCCTGGAACAAGAAACAATTCCTTTATTTTGAAAGAACATGACACATTTTCCTTCGTGATCTTAAGTTACATTATCCCAGACCATCTACCAACCTCGTAGTTGCACTTGAATTTTGAACTTTTATTCGAAAACTAGAAAAATTTGAAACTTTCCCACCTCGATACGACTTTCTCCGATAAAGCTGAGGAAGTTCGAAGAGGCCATGTTCAGGTAGGTTTGTCCCTCGATGCTCACGTTTTTCGTCATCTTTCTGCAGATTTTCTGTCAAGTTCCGTGTGAAACCTTCACTCTTCTGTGGCTGTTATTATTTCAAAAACTCAACCTAGAACACGTCTCCAGGCTCCAGCTACAACACCCCTAATTTCTGAGCTCGTAAAGGTTCTACTAGATGAACTACGTGCAGAATAACAAGGTGAAGAACCGTAAGACCACGCTTTCAACTTGATCAACTACACGTCTGAAGTTCTAGTTCGCCAGAGGCGGTTTTTCATATGACTTAAAGTCCTTTGGTATCACCCTGTCTATGACTAAACAACCCGGAAAGTATTTCCATTAACAAACCCATCAGCGAATCTCGGATTCAAGACATGATGATCTTGAGGCGTTTCGGGGACCAATGGATCGGGCACCCATTCAGCGATCAGTTCGTCTTTTTGCTGAATCAAATCAGTTTTTGTTCAATAATAATCCTATAGACGGTTCACGGCCAGCTTGGGACGCAAAAAGGCGTGGCCTGTCTGCACTCTCCACGAGCCAGGCACTGTCTCGTGCATTATTGTGTCAGGACCCTTTTTTTTTTTAGATGGCTCAAGCCAGCCGTGAAACAGTTATAGCTATAGTCCATTCGCCGCGACTTGAAAGTTTTCGCCTGTCTGCGTCTCTGTGTTCCCTCGCCGGCGAGGTCATAGAAACATGGAAACAGCACGGCAAGATGAGAAGGCGCAGAGAAGTCCCAAGTCGCGAAAAACGGACTATTCTTCCAGAAAAAAACCTTTTCCGTGAGTCGATGTGAGGACCGATCCTTATTAGGCCTATTCATCCGGAAAACCAAATAAACGACCGTCAATAATAAAACACCTTCTATCGTTAAATGCAGCAAAGATGTCTGCAAAAAAAATCTTTTAAGAAAAAAAGTTTTAAATATGTTTCGAAAATAATTTGATTGATTGATATTCCCAGAAATCCCAAAAACTAACTAAAAATCCAAATTTCTTCTTCAAAAAATTCATTTTACATTTTCACTCATAATCACTTACTTAAAGAGTTCAAAATAAATGCAAACTCGAAAAAATAAAATAAAAAACCACCTCAAAGAGACCAGATAGCACCGCTAACACCATTTTTTTCTTCCCCTGGAACTCGCCTAAATAATCTAAAAAAATATATATTACTCGTATGAAAAAAATGAATCTTCGAAATAACTGTACGGCGCGGAACAGCGTCATGATTTCAACACTTCAAATAAGGAAAAAAATTTGAAAAAAAGTTTTTATTTAATTGAGATTTCATGATGAAATTATGTCGAGAATGAAATACAAGTGAAAAGAAAAGGAGATTTTTTTCGAATCGGGAGTGTTATGAAAATGAAAAAAATTAACAGTTCACTCCAGAAAACCTTGGTACAATAAATCAGGGAAAATTAAAATTTCAAGAAACATTCTTCAGAGCAATTTTTAAAGTAGATTTTGAGTTCAAAAAGTTCAGGGAGTGACTGAATGTTTTGATTGAAGCACAAAGTAAATGACACTGAATAAATTTAAAAGAGCTTCCTGAGTCGTTTCAAGGCTGAAAAATCGCCCAAAAATTTGAAAATCGGTGAAAAATATTTTTCTATTCACAGGAGTCTTGTATAACAAGCCTAAGACAAAAGAAAAAGATTTTTTGAGTGAAATCAACTTGAAAATATCACTTTTCTCAAGTTCTCATGAATTTCTTGCAATCGTAGGGATTCTTTGGAACGAAGTAATCTTAAATAATCCAAACAAGGGTCAAAAGAAAATGACGAAAAAAAAAATGAAAAATGGGACTACTCTATTAAATATCCTTAGAAAAAAATTTGATACAAATAATCAGGGACGATAAAAAAATTATTTTTTTCATAGAGCCACCATTGATAACAGTGATTTCATAAAAACCACTTTTTTTGAGGGGGGGTTAACAAAAAAATCGCGAAAAAGTCCATCGAATGGTCAAAAAAATCTCATTCTATTCAAAGCATACTTCAATGACCAAGCTAAAAAATTAACACAAATTCGAATCAATTTTTTCAAGTTCTAATGGATTTCTCACAGTGATAAAGGCATAATTATCTCGACAAATGCTTGAAAAGGGCCGAAAGTCTTTAAAAAACAAAAAATAAGACTAAAAATAGTCTACTCTGATCTCAAGACCAAGAAGAAGGAAAAAAAAATGAAGCGGAACATGGGAATCGCCCCTGGAAACTGACTGGCCAGAGGGACCGTTACCACGCCACCGCCGCTTCTCGCAGGAAAACGGACATTGGTTTGTTTGCTCTTTGTGCCCCTCGCCGGGGTGCAATTGTTCGTGATGTCAAGTGCACACTGACTCACTTTTCTGACGGCTGTTTTCAAAGTTTCTACTCTTTTCTACTCTCTAATCTGGTTCTAATTTCCACTCAAAACCTAAGAAACATCTAATTTCTACTCCAAATCCAGCTTTAAGTAAGCTTGATTGACTTTTACCATGAGTGTCAAGATCAAAACCAGCTCAATTTCTACTTCAAGTCCAATTCTCTGGTAGCAGTGGGACTTCTGAATAAGACTAGGTTTTCCAGATTTAGTTTTTAACGCTGATTACAAGTCTGGTCTCGAAAACTGCCGAGGAAATCTGTGAAAATAGTTAGAGGCTCTAGAAAGTTATGAACTAGTGGAAATTTCGAAAAAGACATCTTTAAACCGTTACAGGTATTTGAAAAGTTTTGGTTTTATTATAGATCAGAAGAATTCCGAAACGTCAATGAACCAATGAAGGTACGTGACAAGTAAACTTTAAAGAAAACATTTTTCGCAAAAAGGAGTTTGGAAAGGACCCAAAAACTGCTAAAAGGACAAAATAAATGAATAAAACTTCTATTGAAACTCGTATGTTAAAATTCAAAAAGTCAGTAATTTTTTTCAAACAATAACTCTTACAAGAAAAAAAATCAATCATTCTACTAAATGAATCTCGATTCTATTCGGATTTACTATGAAAAAAAATTTTCTACTATACTTTCTTCTTATTTACCTTTGAAAATCATCCACTCGTACATAAAATTATCAATATGATGAGAAGGAAAAAAAGTAGGAAGGTCCAAAAACAGGCGATAGGAAAAAGGCGTCTAGCCAAAAAATGACCAAGATAAGATGTCGAGAATGATAAGACAGCCTGCAGAATTTCCGTGAAAAAAAGGTAGGCACAAAGATCAAATTCCAATGTATAAAAAGTGCAGCGAAAGAAGTAGAAAAAAATAGATTTTTTTAGTAATTTTCGAGGTGGCTGTACAGATTTCTTTTTTTTTTGCTAACAAAGTAGAATTTTTTCATAAAACTTGGCAGAAATGCACTTTAGGACCTTCTAATTTGAGAAAAAGAATGAAAATTCTCGCAATGGATTCGATTTTCGAGAAATGAACCTTTAAAATCCGAAAATCACATACATAATTAACGGAAAAAAAGGGTTTTTGAAAGATTTAATCTTCATAATTCGGTAAAAATGACCCATTTTCGAGGACAGTTTTTTCTCTTTCTGAAATCAAGAGGCCCTCAAGAACGTTTTATCCAAGTTTTATCAAAAGTTCAAAAAACGTTCCCTTGTGGGTAAAAATTCGAGTTATGATTTTTGAAACCCATGTAAACTCTTCAACCCAAACATTTTTCAAATCTTTTCAAGCTCATTAAATAATTCTCCCAATAAATTTTCAGTATATTATGAAAAAAACAACAATAACAAATAACAACGTTTCAAAAACAAAAATAAAAAACAATTAATTACAACTTAGCCTTTATTTTCTTGGTTTTCCTTTTCTTCTTCTTTTTGATCTCCACGCTCGAATTCTGGAAATTATTTTTTTGTTTCCTCGGTAAAAATCGATTTTTTTCCAAACCTCTGTTCTTTCAAAACTTTGCACAGAAGTTCCCATTTTGAGTCTGAAAAAAATTAATTTTTTTCAATCAATGAGATTATGTATGATTTTTTTCTGTTGTTGTTTTTAGTCATAGATGTAATCGACTAGGCGGTGAATTCTCTATTTTTTTCTTTCTCATGTTATTTATCAAGATGAAAGGCTATTATTTTCTGGATTTTGGAAGTTTTTCTAATAAAAAAGTCGCCTAAAAGTTCACTGAAACCAAAAAATTCTTCATAATTGATCCGAAAACCCACCATTTCTCTCTTTTCCAATATCTTTCTTTTCTTCTTTTTCGTTATCTTCTCACTTTCTCCGACGATTGAAACTTCTTCTACGACCTTCTGAAGTTACATTCATAAAGAAAAAATCTTCTTGTTTTTTCCCACCATTTTCTTCAGCTTTTTCTTCACTTTCTTCACAGGTTCCACAACAGACAGCTCTTCAACGGGCTTCTAAATTTAAATTTGGAATCATTTCTTGAAAATATCAGTTATTCAGGGGTTCTACAGTTCGTAAAAAAATTCAAACTAAAATTGAGAATCTCTGGTCGCACTGGGAATGGCTCCATGGGACGCTGAGGGGGCGTGGCGTGTCTGCGGTCTCCACCAACCAGGAACTATCTCTTTCTATTATCGTGTCAGGACCCTTTTTTGGATGGCTCAAGCCAGTCGTGAATCAGCTATAACAGCCGACGTGATTATTTTAGAAATGCGCCCGACTTGAAACGAATTGTTAGGGAGTCTACTAGGAAACTCGGCTCTAAGTTTTCGATTTTTAAGGCGCAAAAATTTATCGGAAATAGCTTTTTTTTCAGAACAACTATGTACAGTTAAAATCCAGCCACTACAGGGGTAGAAGCCATTTTCGCAATTTTTCTTGGGAACTAAGAAGAATCAGGCAGATTCTACTGTTTATAACTGTCACCAAGATTTATCTACTGTAAAATTTTGAACCTCAAGGAAGAGCCTTAACTCAAACCGAAGCGCGACCGCAAAGCGCTGAGCCATTCCACATGACCCCTCGAGTCATAGTGGAAATTTTTACCTTTTTCTTGAGCTTCTTCTTCTTTTTGAGAGGCTCGGACTCTTGATTCCCAGCCTTCGAGGAGTCAGGAGAGCTCATTTTCCGTTTGATCTTCCCAAAAAGGTTGGGTGAGAGTAAGTCGAACTTCTTCTCGACTTCAGAATCGTCAGATAAGTTGGGACTTGGTCCTTTTTCGGTTTTCCGCTTCAAACTTCCGAATAGGTTAGGCGACAGTAAATCCAAGCCATCAGAATTTTTTCCGTCCTTCCCCGGATCAGAACTTCCAGGAGAGTCGGTTGATCTCGAACTTTTCTCGACTTTAAGCTCGCTCTTTTTCCCAAAAAGGTTTGAAGACAGCAAATCGGTCTTTTTGTCCGTGTCAGAGCCTTGAGATAGTCCTTTTTCGGTATCATAGCCTTCATTTTTCTTCTTCAAGCTCCCGAAAAAGTTTAAAGATAGCAAGTCAGACTTCCTGTCCATTTCAGGACCTTTTTTGGTAGCTTCATTCTTCTTCTTCAAGCTTCCCAAAAAGGTTGGGTGACAATAGATCCGACTCTTTTGATTCTTCAGAACGGCCAGGAGTCTTGAAATTGAAATCGTCGGAGAGGAAGAAATCCAGGTCGATTTTCTTGCTTTTTGAAAGAGCTTCTTTTCGGGGTTCCTTAGAAGGTTTGGGAGTCTGAGTAGAAGTTCCGGGAGACTGGAAATCCATCGGAAAAGGATGTTCATCCCGTTTGACCGCAACTCCCAGGGCTTGTGAAGGCTTCGATTCGATCAGGAGGTCGTCCAGGATTTCTTTTCTGGAAAAATTGAAGTTGCACGAAATAAATCAGAAAAAGAAGCTGTGATTTAAAAAAATGTTTCATTAGCTTTGATTTGATACCAAATTACCCTCTCAAAAATCCTCACTTGAACTGCTCCATCTCCATCTGATCCTGTGCCTTCTTCATGTGCTCCTCGGAGAACTTGAGCAGCGACGTCGCCACTTCCAAAGACTTTCCCTGGGAGCTCAACTCCTCCGTGAGCTTCTTGAACACCTCCAGCTCCTCTAGACGTTCGGGGAACCTATTTTGGGCTCATTTTGAGATTAATCAGTTTTTCGTATACCTTGAGTCAATTTGAACAAGGTATTTGGAGATTCTTTGGAAAGCCTTGGCCATAAATTCGGCCTCCCTTCTCACATGTGAATGGATTTCCGAACAGAGGGCAACAATGACCAGGGTTAGGTTTTGCTGGAAAGAAAGGTACACAAAATAGATTTCAGAGACTTTCTGAGCGATATTTTCAGTTTTAAAATGTTGATATCAAGTTTTACAAGAGTCTAGGTTACTGTAGCAACACTCTTTCGCTGCAAGACCTTTTTTGAAGCTTTTAACAGAAAAATATAGTTATACTAACTGAAATCGAACGTGTTCTTACTTTTATTTTATCATTTCAAAAATTCATCGAACTTTTTTGAGCGCTGTTTTCTATTTTGAAGAACCTCAAAAAAAGTTTAACCCTTTTCCGCCACAATTTTTCAGTGAAAAGGCTTCTTAGAAATACCAGAGTGGTCCCTATAGAGGTCGCTTGGAGTGTCCCTTTTAATGAACCACTTTACCAACACCCCTCGAGGGGCCACTGAAGCTTGCAAAAAAGATCTCTATATGGGTTTCAGTTAGTGGCCCCTATAGGGGACATGCGAACCGAACTCTAGCCGAAGAAGCATTTCCATGGGAAAAACTGAATAAATAAGCGTTTTTGAATGAAAATGGAAGGCCCTATAGGGGCCACTTGAGGTTTAGGGGCTAAATAGTCAGACCCTGCACCCCTATAGGATCCACCTTAAATTCACCACTAGAGGGACTAGTTTTTCGGCTTCTACGGGGGGTTTTTTTTCCCCTAACCCCTATAGGGGCCATTTCTATTAAGTTTACTGTAGAAAGAATGTTTTTTTATTTTTATTTTTTTCGAAGATTCAATGATTCTTTGAAGCAAGGGAATATAGTAATATTAACTGGATGAATTCTCATTTAATTGAAAAATTTTCGAATTTTTTTAATGTTTATCGAAGCTTTTTGTGATATTTCAATTTTCGAAGAAACATAAAATTTTTCTAACTTTTTCAAAAACTTCCCAGGGTTAGAAAATTTCAAGCAAACCCGCGATTATTCAAGAAAGTTAACTTATACCAACCCAATGGCCGAGTTCCAAATAACCCATCGAACTGTGAGCCGTCTTCAAGCAGTACTCTTTGATCTGGAAACCGAAATTCTTCAGAAATTTTTAACGAATAACCTTGGACAAGCAAAAAAGACGTCGTATGTAAGCACAGCCGACATAACGCAGGAAGTTCTGCGAAACCGTGTAAGTTTCTCCGCCCGTAGGGACGCATTTCTAAAAAAATCCTCAAGTACTTGAAATATTTGGGAAATTCTTAGGACTTTAATATAAAAATGTAAATTGCTTCCAGGAAACAAGTTGAAATTTTTTTAATTTCAAAAAAACAACTATAAATTTAAAGAAGGTCTTCTTTTTAAATTATTTATTTCAGAACATTATTGAATTTGTTCTTGTAAAATACTGAGAACAAATAAGTCCTCGATATTTTTCCTTCTTCCATGATTAAAAAAATCTTAGGTTACGCATTTTTTTCTCATGGATTTTTACATAGGAACATCATACAAGTTTCCAAAGAAGAAAGGCTCGAAAAAAAGGCAGCAGAAATGGCCTTTTTATCTGCCTTTTGTAGCCACACGAGTTGGAAATTAAGTTAAAAAAACTAATTGAAACTAACTTTCAAACTGAAAAAAACAACGAATTAAATGGGAGATGAAAATGACTACGGTTTAAAAAAAGTGCGGTAGAGCGCAGTTTCTCTTCAGCTTGAATAAATTAATGGATTGAAAAAAAAATTTTTTTAGTGCATTGATGGGTGTTTTAGCCGATTCAAGGCTAGCGTGAGACTCTAAGGGGGCATGGGCTGTCTGCGCTCTCCACCAACCAGGCACTGTCTCATATATTATCGTGTCAGGACCCATTTTTGGATGGATCAAGCCAGGTTCCACACTTTTGACTCCAAAAAAACCTTCTGAACAAGGGCCAACTTCTTGAGCAACGTCGAGTTGTTGTACTTCTGCATGGCGCGTCCGAGACTCCGGAAGAAACTCCAATATTTCTGATGTCTTTGCGGAGCGTTTTGCTTGTAAACGAGTGCCGTATGGAGGGCAAAGGCTTGTAGGCACATTGGCTTTCTCATTTGGTCGGCCTGGAAGAGGAAAATCAACTTGGAAACAATTTTTTCATGAGGAAATGAAGGCTCAATCGGATAAAAAAATCAAGTGCGAATCAATGAATTGAAGCAATTTTTCGAAAGAAAGGACTTTTTTTCAAAAAAAGCAACTATTTAAAAAAATATCAAAATTCGACTTTTTCAATAAAAAAAAGGGTGTCAAAGTCTGAAAACCGCCTATTTAATTTCTCTATTTCGAGTTCGTAATTCGCAAAAAACTAGGGGTTTTTGAAGGTCAAGTCTTTGACTATCGGGTAAAAAAAATTCTGGCCAATTTCCAAAAAATTTTCAGCCGCTTTTTCAATTGGACTTCCTGGTTGGGAGCCGGGATCATGGGCAAGGTCGGAAAATTGGAAAAAGGTTACATAGAAACCTAGCCCGAGATAGTTGAGTGTGATTTTTAAACGCGGATTCTGACTTCCGAACAGTCGAAGTTTGAAAAAATATGAGTTAGACCCAATTTTACAAGAGGAATAGAAACGAGTTGTTGGCAAAACTGATTTTCGCTTCTTTTTTCACTACGAGTTCATTTTCTTTGAGTAAAAAAAGTAACTGGTTCTACACACCAAGCACTCGATGGCGAAACAGAAGAAGATTGGCCGCCGAAATGTCCTTGGTCGGCTCGTTGTTCAGCAGCTGAGAGGGCGGAGCCGCGCAGAACTCGTCGATGAACGCGACGAGATCATCGTCGGCTTCACTTTCCATTCCAGAACTTAAAAAAAAAGAAGAGGTTCAACAGTAGCTGAAAAGGAGCTTTTTTTATAAAAATTGCTTTGAAAGAGTTTTCAAGAAAGGGATCGAAAAGATAATGATCATGAAGAGTTCTAGAAAAGGAAGGAATAAAAACCTTTAAAAGGTCATTTTTCTTGCAAAGGTGAGTAAAATGAGCTTGAAAAAAACTGTTTAGAGGTATTTGAAAAAAAAGCTATTTTTTTCTTTATTCCAAAATTTGCTCGAAAAAAAAAAAATATTCACAGATGGTCATGCCAACATACGCCAAACTCAATAAAATTCAAACATTTCATCAAATCCATTTATAGAAAATCTCTGAAAACTCAACGAACGCGGCAATAACAACAAGATCAACAACAAAAAAAATTCTAAAAAGATGAATAATTATCGCCTCCGAAGTTTCTGCTGCTGTTTTGTCTCAGCGCTGGGCGGTCGGAGAAGCCTTGCCGCCCTGAGGGACATGTACCGCATGGCGTCTTCTGTGTTCAGCTTCAGAATGTCACAGCCAAGACCTTCGAGGAGCTGGAAAATAGTCGAATAACTCTTTGGTGTGACATTTTAAAGAAAGATATTGAATTTCAAGGGTGCAATAAAGTAAAATAAATTGAATAAACGGCTTTGGAGTACTTGCGGCCTTTTTCTGCAAAAAAAAAAAATCATTTTCTGACTTTCCCTCCTTGTATTTTTTTTTTTTTCCATGAATTTCCATTTAATTTTCCTGTTTCGTACTTTCATAATGAAAAAAAATGAACCTTTTCGAGTTTTGACGGCGGATAGTTGAGCGCCATTTGCCAGCCTGTGATGGGAATCAGATGACCGGGGGCTGAAAAAGAAAACAAAATCCTCAAATCTAGATAGATATCTGGCTTGTGCGCTCTATCGCACATCATTCTCCACGCTTAAAAGCTGGCTTCATTTCAACATATATATAGAGCCACGGATATTTCACTCGTTTACAGAGCTAATTTTAGACGATTGGCGATACATTGGCTTTTCATTTCTGCCTGAATATGTTTGTCATATTAAAGGCGCATGCAGAAATGCAAGAGACGCGCATCAAAAGGAAGAATTCTACGGTTCGGTCGATGTAGAATGTTGGACAAGCTACCCGCGAGAAGCTCGAAAACAGGCAGTTTAGAGTATCTTTCATTCAGCCTACGCATAAATCCTGGGAATCTTTAGGGGGAAACTCGTTAGAAATTGGGTCCTAGGCAACAAAAATGGTGCTTTCAAAGCCGATGAAATTTGCTTTGTTCATAGAAAGGATATTTCTGAAGTCACTCTTTTTTTCACCCTTCATGAATATCTTCTAAAGTACAGAAACGAACCAAGATGAAGAGCCAAGGCCAACGTATATGAAACAAATCGATCCCGTTCAGCTTTGGCCAAACGAATTCTTTCAGGACCTTTTCCATTGAGACCACGGTTGAACTCCGATTCTGAATAATCGATAATCCATCAAACAAAAATCTAACAATCTATCTAACTGAAATCTAACAAAATAATAATAACAAATATAAAATTGAAGATTTCGTGAAAAAAAAGTCACGACTGTGACGAAATATTCTAGTGAAAAAATCTGCGAAAGTAATTGAAAAAAGTACCCAAGAAGAATTCGGTTTGGATTTTCTGCCTCAGAAGGCTCGACATTTTCAGTTCGTTCAGTTCTTTTCTCGAGATCGTGCCTTGCTTTTCCCATAGCCTAAAAAAATCAACTTATTATTAATTTTTTTAGATTTTTTTAAAAAAATCGAACTAGTTCAACGGAAAAGATCGAAAAAAATTGAACAGTTTGAACTAGCTTTCCTGATGCATTTGCTTATTTTTTTATCGATAAAAACGATTTGAAGTATAGTTTAATGAAAAAGTCAATTCATGAATAGTGTCGAATCTTTCTGAAGGAGAACAATTTCATTCTCCAACTTTCCTTTTCGGTGATTTTACTTATCATATACGATAAGAAAATACCTTTTCATTCAGCCCTCGTTTGACAGAAAACATCGTACCTTGGTCACTTGGAGATGACTATGAGAGAAACCTTTTTTTTTCGAATTTCTCCATAATTATCCCGAATTTGAACGCAAAAAGAGCAACCTTGAGCAATTCAGCCATCGTAGAGAGCAAATAATAGCCAGCGGCTCTTTTGGTGTCTTGTTGATTTGACAAAATCGGGATGATAACTTCCGGAACTCCTAAAAACTTGAAAAAACGTATCAAAAAACTCATCTATTTAGGAATTCGATTGGAATCAACGAAACTTTTGAGCAATTTGGAGGAAAATCTGATATTTCTTTGAATTATTATTTTTTTAAGCGCTCGATTATTAAATCACTAGAAAATCGACAAAAATGCATTTTTCAAAAATTTGAAGCCAAGATTATAATAAACGCTTGAAAAAGTCGCTAGAAAATTCCGCCCAGTTCTTGTAAAATGTGAAAAAAAAACTGTCTCGCTTCCTTAAAGAATGAGGTATTCACAAAGGCAAATTCCAAAAGGTCTCAAAAAGAACCTTTGGAAAAAAGGACTTAAAAAGGTCTCAAAGTCGCCTTCTCTTTCTAGACCTTTTAAGGAGGTTTCAAAAAAAAGGCGGTAAAAAGGTGGGAAAAAGAAGATTCCAAGAAACGTTTTGACACCTTTTTAAGAAACTTAAAAAGGAGCTTTAGGCTCTCCTTCTTAAGGTCTTTTAAAGTCGTTTGGACTTTCTCTGTGCATCAAAAACTTTAAAGTTCGGGATTTCTAAAAATGACCAACCAATCGAAATTCCACAACTCAAAACTATGATATTTTTCAATTTTCTCAGCAAATGTCCCACCTGCGGCGAGCAACTCCTTCTTTTTCTTGTCCTTGAACAATTCCAAAGCGTCGTCAGAAACAATTTCGATTTCCTCATCACTGATAAACGTGGACAAAGGATAGATATCTCTGGCCAGTTCCGCCTGGACGGCCGGCGGAAGGATCGAACTGACGGCCTGAAAAGTCAGATGAGAAAAAAATAATTCATTTTCAAGGAAAGAGGTAGAAAACGCCAACAAAAAATCCATTATGAGAGGATTTTAAAACGAATATTTTTCGTAAAATTGAGAAAAATTTTCTAATCTTCCTGAAGTCTCTAATCTTTCTGAAGGTTACCACAGACAAATGAAATGAAAGCACTTTAAAAAAAAAATAAAAAAGGGAAATGAAGTATCTAAGATTAAATTATTCAACTAACGAATATTTTTCAATAAAATTAAGACCGAAATTCTGAGATCAAGGTCCCAAAAAGGCTCGAGAATGGTCGCAAAACAACTGTTCCGCCTAAAATTTGTCTTTGGAAAGGCTATTTCGCACTTCTTCTAGTTATAACTCAAGGCTATCTTCTGTCAAATGAATAGTTTTTCTATAAATAGCTCATTTTTCGAGGCTATTTTCAAAAACCCCTCGAAAAACCTTATTGATCAAGGAGATCTGGTCGACTTTGATGTCCTCGTCCTTGATGTTGGAATTGGAGGCGAACGCCGTCTTTCGCATCTCATCAAGAGTTTCCTGAAACAGAGAACTTCATTTGATGAATCCCTGAACAATCGAAAACCGTCTTGATGGTTCGGCGGACGACGGCCTCCTGGATTTTAAGTTTTTTCGTCGAACCAAAGTTTTCGGTGAGTTGTCGTCGTTTCTCCGCCCATTTGTCCGATTTTATCGAATAGTCCTTGTCGTAGTTGGTCGGCAACTTCCTCCTGGATTTCAGGATTAGTCTTCTTTTCAACACTCTTCGTGAAGAAGAAAAAAATTCGTACGAAAAATCTTGAAAAAAATTTTTTTTTCTCAGAATTTTATGGTCTGTTCGAAATTTCCTTCCGCAGTTTTTGAAGGTCTGGCCAAAAATATTCCTGTTTTAACTGAACTTATACAAGGCTTGAAAGCTTCATTAATAAAGTTCAAGAGTAGAAATCCATCAGAAAATTTGTGAAAAACTCGATAATCCGAAAATCCCAAAAATCAGGGTCGTCTGAACTTGGAGCTTTTTTTTATTCTGGGTACTAGATTTAGAGTTGAGCAAGAGATGGTACAATGAACTTTAAAGCTTTCGTTGAACCATAAAAATGGGTTCAAAAACTGTTTCCTAGCGTGAATCGACCAATTTTTCAGTTTTGGAGATTTCGTTGATTTCAGGTCTCAGGCTGCAACTTACTAGAAAATTGAGCTACTAATTTTTTTGGGAACTGGACCCATATGAAACAGCTGTAGAAAGTTTGACGGTAATAGGAAAATTCCTGGTATGACGAAAAAAAGTGAAATTGTATATCTTACTGCACGGTACTGTACATAAGAAGATTTACAAAAAAAAGAACCAATTTCCGTGTCAAAAAAAAACCCATTGAAGTAATTTTGAAGTTCCCTTTTTTTTCATTCCCTTCTTTCCGTTACCATTTTTAAAAGGGAAAGGCTTCTAGATTAAAATTTGCCATTTTCTACTCCTAGAAAACTGAACTTCAAGTCTATAGAAGATAACTTATCACTCCTAAAAATGAAAACATGATGAACTGGATCAAACTTTGGCATGGTGAGATCACTGGCGTCCTCGGCACTCCGTCCCTCGAACTGATAAACTCTCGCCGGCTTCATCGTCACCTCTCCGGTCTCTTTATCGACGATCGCGATGGCAAAGTCGAATCCTTCTTCTATACAGTTGACCTCCTGGCCCAGTTCCACGACACGGTCAGAGGCCTAGAAGCGAGGCTGTTTTTAGTCGTTTATGAAGTTTTTCGAAATAAAAGAAACTTTCGAAGCTCAAGTTCGCTTTCCTTCAGTTTATTTCGGTCTATTATCTAGTTTCGTAGAGTAACCGTGCAGAAAAAATCTTTGTGTTACGGTAGCTTTTTTTGGACTGTGTTTTTAAACAATGACTTTCTCGAGCGGAACGCACTAAAGTCTGTCAGGTTTTGAATGTCAAGAACAATGACGTCATTCGAAAAAGCTCTGTGGATGGCTCGCTCTCTGATTGGTTCATTACGAAATCAGGGGCGGAGCTTAGCTACGACTTGACGTTAAAATAACAGGCTTTTTTCAGGCCATTTCCAAGCCACACCTCCTGTTTCACACTGTAGAGTGGGGCTGTGCGGTTGTCGTCGTTGTCGTGACGGATCAAAGTGATCTTCTCCAAGGCCAACGGTTTGTTGTGCGTGAACATGGCGACGACGTCGGCTTCAGGACGCCGTCGCCAGGGATTTCCGTTTCAATTTCTGTCGTTGCGATCGCGCTTTTTCCACTTCTTCCTTTGATTGCCACATTCTGAAAGCGAATAGGGTCTTTTTGATGGAACCTAAAATGAAAATTCTAAACTCAGAAACGCCCTAGTAATAACCTTAGGTGCACTTGAAGGTTCCCCTCTGTACCTCCCCCTATAGGGAGCTCTCAAGCTTGCAAAAGTGGCCACTCTAGGGTTCCTATACGTTTTTTTTACTTTTAAAGCGGAACATCAAAAAAATTGAAGACCCCTAAATGGACCACTTGCACTTAGAGGGAGTTATGGATCAGACCCTGAACCCCTATAGGAGCGACCTGAACTTTACCCCTTTAGGGACCACTTTTTCGGTTGTTTTTCCGCCTATCCCCTATAGGGACCGCTCTGACGTTTCCGAGGAAGTATCCGAAAAAAATTTCAATGCTTGAGTTTACTTTCGAATCTTCTAAGTTAGAGAGTACTGGGAAACAAGAGGGCGTTCAGAGAAAAAAAACCTCTCATTTTTGAACGCTCTCTAACTCTCCAAGTTTCGAGCTTAAACTCAAACAAATTTCTGTTTTTAACTTTCAATTTTCGAAGAATCAACTCAATTTCACTCTGTGATAAAAGATTCATTTCTATTAAAACAAATAATCGAAAATTTCAAAAAATATCAAAACCAATCACAAACATACTTGGCAACGAGCCAATAACCAGACAGATCCACCGGAAAATCCCAAAAAAATTAGTTTATCGTGAGGAAGTGAAGCAAGAACACAATTAAAAAGTACAAATCATTAATTAATCAATTCATTTGATCGGTGGGAGCAACGAAGACACCTTCGTCCGTCACCTGGATCAACTGCATACCTGGAGGAAGTTCGTGTACCTCCGATCCTTCGGCCCCTGGAAAAATATGATCTATAGAATGATCGAAAATCGGTTTCCAAAATGAACTTTCGATTAACTTCAAGAAAATTCATCATAAAATCTTCAATTTCATGCTGAAATTTCGGTTTCCATCGTGGAAAAATATAGTTTTTACAGACTTAGGATTTTTAGAGTGGTCCCTATCGGGGGTAGGAAAAAAGAGCCCCTATATGAACCGAAAAAGTGGTCCCTATAGGGCTAAAACCAAGGTGGTCCCTATAGGAATTTAGGATCTGACCCCTTAGCGCCTAAAGCTCGAGTGGTCCCTATAGGGGTCTTCCAACTTCCTTCAAAACGCTTATTTATGTAATTTTTCGCATGGAAATTCTTCTTCGCTTAGAGTTCATAAGAATTATCGACTAGCAGGCCCCCTCAAGGCGCCACTAAAACCCCTATAGGGATCACTTGTGCAAACTTTAGGGGCCCATACAGGGGTTGGTTAAGTGGTTCCCTAGAGGGGACCCACTTCTCGAACGTGAAATATTGTTTTTTTCAATCGAAGCTTGGTTTTGAAGTAAATTTTGTAATTTTTTTAGAGGGAAAAAAATCCTGAAAACTACGTTTTTCTTGAATGAAAGCTAAGCTTTTGAGCTTTTTCAGAGTATTTTTGACCAAAGTTTTTCAAATCTTCCCTGAAAAAAACATGATTTTTCAAATCGAATCATACATTTTTGCAAGCTTAATTCCGGATTTTTTTAATAAGGTAAATCTTAGAATCTGAGAGTAGTTATTTGTTTTTTTCCAAAGCATTCCAGAGCTTCATCTAAAGCTAAATTATGAATTTTTAACTAGAAAATTTCCAGGGAATCTTCATTTTAAGCTCAATACACGATTTCTAACAAGAAAAATGCTCAAAAGCTACATTTCCAAGCTCAACTTTCAATTTTCATCAACAAACCTAAGGGAATCGGGTTGCCGATGGGGGTCGCTTGAACGTATTGACCATCGTCGAGCTGATAGACATGATTTCCCGTCACGATTGAAGGATCCGCAATCACATATCTACAAAGAAAAGCATGGTTAATCAGGAAAATTTTCAAATATCTTTAGAAAAAGTTGTGGAACCATCAAAAAAGGCCATTTTCCTCTTGAAACCAATAAAAAAAACTTTCCAGTTCGAATTTCCAAAAGCCCCCTATTTGTAGAATCTAAAGCGTTTCAATAAAATTCGCTATATTAGTTTTTAGTGAGTATCTGCGAAAAAAATGTCGTAAAAAAACGTTTGAAACTTGAAGGGAATTTTTGAAAATTATGAAAAAGTGAATTTTTTTAAGGTATTTTTGGATCGCCATTTTTTTCTTTAGAAATAATTATCAAGACTCAAAAAAATCACATAAACGTACGAAAATCAACTTTTCCCCTCAAAAAACGACCAAAAATCACTTTTTTCTCCAAAAAAACACCAAAAAAATTACTGAATTTTTCTTCTTCAATTCTTCATTATTCCGCTCGAACAATGAGCAAAAAAATTACTTTTTACTTCAAAATGGACTTTTTTTCCTTCGAAAAAAATGACCAAAAATCCCTGAATTTTTTTCCCCTCATAGATTGCTGCTTCTTTCCAATTATTGCTTCTCAAAATCAGTATTTTTTCTTCGATAAAACCGCCAAAAAATTACTGAATCTGTTGTCCATCGTCGGTGATTCCGGTTTGCGGCAAATTGGCCACAGTCACGCCATTTGATTGCTGAAAAACCATTCGATAATCGTGATAATATTCAGAAAAAACCAACTTTATTGGCGTCAGCGGGCAGGAGGTCGACCAGGAAATCAAATTGTTCGTTTTTGTGGACGGCCGAGACCAAATCAGCCTGGAATTTTTTTTTTGAAGCAGGAAAATACTTATGTTATTCAAAACAGGGGTAAGGGCATTTTTTTTTTGAAATCGCATTTTAGCATGTTCTTTTTTAGAAATCTGCAGATTTTCAAATCGGCTCTTTTTATTTAAAAGAACTTCAGCCATTCCCCGTGCAACTTTGATCCTTTCTTTGGAATTTTCCGAACAGAAAAAGTAAAAAAAGAACTTTTTGCATAGTTTTGCGACGACCCTCATCCACCACTTGCCAGCCCAACATGGTCATTTCCTGGACGAACATCTCGGAGGCGGCCGACATGAAAACCGGCGCGTCCGAGGCGATCATCTGCAAAAACTCACTTTTCTCAAATCTGAGGCAGGATTGAGTTTTATGTTCTAGCCTAATTGCTTCTACGTTTCTTTTTTGATAAGTCCTTCTAGTCCATTATAGAGATCCTTCTGTACAGTTCAAGAATTCATACGCGACTTCCAGAATATTTCACATTATTCCTTCTAAATCATATTAATATAGAACCTTCTGAGTTCTTATGAGACTTCTCTAACCTTCAAAAAATATCTCCAAGCTTCTGAAATGTTTCTAAATGTGACCAGGAAAACCCGGATCCGCCTGAGTCATGAATATTAAACTGACCAATCCCTTGACTTCGTCGTCGAGCTTCATGATTTTTTTCACGCGCGCCATCGGAAGGTTCATGTGGCGACAATGATGTCGAATCGAGTCCTAAAACGAACTTTCTTTTTTTTCCATACTTAGGAATTCCATAGTGGTCTCCATAGGGTTAGAACGAAAAACAGCCCACAAAGTTGCCGAAAAAATGGTCCCTATAGTGGTCCCTAATTAGCTATTGAAGCTTGAGTGTTCCCTATAGGGTTCTTTCAACTTCATTTAAAAAAAGCATATTATTGTTTAGCATGGAAATGTTTCTTCTCATGGAGTACATAAAATGTATCGTTTTGCATGCTCCATATAGGGAACACTTTCGCAAGCCTTAGTGGCCCCTATAGGGGTTGGTAATCCGTTTCGAAGAGAAAAAAAGCGAATTGATCACCTCATCCATGTTCTCCATCTTGTGTCGCTGCATCTCCCAGAACCACTTGTGGAGTTCCTTGTCATTTTTCTCCTTTACCGGCGAAACGGTCGTCGGCGTTTTTGGATTTTTGATCGGTCCAGGGGACAAGTTCCGGTTCAATCGCGAGACCTTTGCGCGAGTTTTGCGGTATTGCTGCAGGAAAAACAAAAATTGGAGGACACATTTTTTTTTTTTGGTTGAATTTTTGATCTAACTTGTCAGAGTTTATCTGAACAGTGGGACTTCTGAATAAGACTAGGTTTTCTAGGTGTAGTCTTTCACGGTGAATTCAAATCTTGTCTCAGAAGTAGCCCAATACGTTTATGGAAAAAGTTAGGGACTCTCAAAAGTCGGAAATTTTAGTGTTTCAAATAACGCTCATTTTGGGAGGGTATCAAGATCTTGTCCCTCTGGTAACAGAAAAGGAATTATTTTTCTCAAAAAAAAATTTGGGCCTAGTTATGATTTTTGCAAAGCTTCGACTGCTCTTGATCACGAAACAAGAGGAAAAATTTCTCGGGGGCTTTTTTTCGATTTATAAGTCATCAAATCTGCAAATTACACGAATAATGAAGCTTCAAGGTTTGAAGCATGGAAATCATGCCAAAAAGGAATTTTTAAGCTTTTGAAGCATCTCAACACGAAAACAATAAGTATAGGACAAAGTTGTTTTTTTTTCTGGAATCACGAGGATCTTAAACACAATTCACCCAGCTTTCTAGGGTACACTCATTCGGAAATTTTCATTAAAAATGAGGAAAATCACAAAAAAAATATTCACCACCGACTCGGCGCCCGTTTGATATGGATATTTGGGCATTCCCTGCTGTTCGTTAGGAATATTGTTCGGATAATTCTGATATCCATCACCAGGAACGTTGTCGGCGTACTGCTGACTGCTTCCCTGGAAGATTATCTTCAGTTTAATATTTTATTTTCTTCAATTTTAATGAAAAAAATTATCTCTTTTTTTGTAACAAGCAATGAAAAAAAATAAAAAAACTAACCGGTGGCTGGTATGAAGTAGACGGCTGCTGTTGCTCCATTATCAACTGAATATTCAAAAAAATATCAAAACGTTAATTTCCTTTTTCATTAAAATAGGAACGAAAGTTATTTTTCGATAATTCAATAAAAAAATGAAGAAACATGTAATGTTCAAAAAAAAAAACTTTTTACAGTTTCGTTTGCAGGTCAAAAACACCATATTTATATTATCAACAGAAAAAAAAATAGTGAAAATGCTCGGAAAAAGTAGGTTTTTACTATTTTCAAACAACTTTTTTCGGTTTCGATAAATGAAATTGAGCATCTGTTGGAGAAACCATGAAACCACGTAATAAGTAAAAAAAAAACAGTTCGAAAGCGGACGCCAAAACAGGTGCGTTGGAGCGCAAATGGTAACTTTCTTGAGAAAACCCTTTTTTTCTCGATTTTGAAAAAAAAATGGAAAATTTGACGGAATATATTCAAATAGCATTTTTCTGCACTATTTGGGTTCTTCAATTGAGGGGCATTTACAAAGTTCTGCGTAATTTTCTGATCCAAAAATTTGAAATGGACAAAAAGACCTCAACTTATTTTTCATTGTTTGTGACGAGGTATGTTTTTATTTTATTCCAGATGATAGAAATGATTTTTTTTTTTAGCTCGATACTCTTTGAACTGATATACTTGATCGAGGAGCAAAAAAAGTGAGAGAGGTTCGTTAACATGAGAAAAAGCTTTCAGAGACGGAAAAAGGTCTTTAAAAGGGACCTTTCCAAATAATTTTTTTTTTCGGATTTAATACATCAGAAACTTTTTGAAACGCAACGTATATGAATAAAAACAGAAAGAATGCGCTGAAGAAGTTGAAAAAAAATGAAGAAAAATGGGATTTTTTTCTTCAAAAAGGAGTGAGTAAAAAGGCGTAAAACGATAGTTTTCTCGAAAAAGCAAAAGAAAAAAAAATATTGGAGCCCTTTTTTTTTTTTTCAAATTTGCTTCATTTAAAACCGCAAAATAACGAAAAAAAATTACGTTCAGGATGGTTTCCCTTTTCACAAAGAAGTCCACCGAGGCAATGGCTATGGAAATTGTCAATATTTTTCGTCTTATTTCGATTTCTGGGCGACATTTCGATTCTTATATCTTCACAGGTTTGCTAAAAAAAAAATTATTTCTTTGTTGTTTCTAAAAGAATATTATATTTTTTTCAGCTCGGCAAAACGGTCTCCGCCTACGTAACCGGCTTTTTCTCCGAAATGCCGTTTCTCTTGGCCGTTCCATCTTTTCATTTTAACTGCGATTTTTCATAACTATTGGTTTATTTTCCCTACTTGGCTACGAGTTGAATATCGGCTACGGATTTGTTAGAATAACCAGGCAAAAAGATTAAATAATTATTTGAATTTATAAGCTTTTGATGATATTTTTCCATATTTACGAGTGAAAATTCTAACTTTTCGTACAGGTATTCACTGGAAAATTTCTTGCTGATATTCGGAAAAAAGCTTGTGTTATTGAAGAATAAAAAACCTTGTCGAACGGCTTTTTTTTTCCCATTGTCAATTTTCCCAATTTTGAAGTGAAATTATGAGCAAAAGTGGGAAAATGAAAAAATTTCAAAAAACTGTTCGAAATCAATTCCTGATGTTTAAAGGCGCATACGCTGATTTTTATTTTTTTTTTCCAGCAACCTCAGGAACTCCAGAGTGGTCCCTATAGGGGCAACCCCAGGACCAACTCTTACAGGGGCCTAAAGCTTGCAAAAGTGGTTCCTATAGGGCTCATGCTAGTCGATAATTGTTATTAACTCTAATCGAAGAAGCATTCCCATGGGAAAAATTGAATGAATAAGCGTTGGAATGAAATTGAAAGACCCCTATAGGGTACACTGAGCTTTAGGGACTAAGTAGCCAGACCTTGAACCCCTATAGGGCCCACTCTGGAATACCTAAGATTGGAAAAAAAAAACAGACTTTCTCAAGAAATAAATATTTGAAAACGAATCGACTTTTTCTTCAATAACACATGAAAAGCGTACAACAAGAAACTTTATTCGTCAAAAATTGGGTTCTAGAGTCTAAACCATTAGAAATAAGGCAATCGAAGGAATAGATATTTAATGCTTCATTTGGTAAGGGGGGATGAGGCCAGAAGATTCGGCTCGGGCCTTCTTCTCGGCCTCGATTTCGTCGAGGTACGGCTTCAGGTACCAGGTTTCCTGGAACATTATTGATTTTATTTCTTTATATAATTTTTCGATTAAATTACGTTTTCCCATTGAGTCCACTCGGACTTTGGCAGACGCTCGCCGTGCATGGCCAGTGTGTGGGCGCGGGAGAGGCGGACCTTGAAATTTATTCTTTTTCAACGGATCCAATTTCTTTCTCAAGTTTTTCAAAGCGGTAATCACAAAGATTATGTTTCAAAATCACAAAAAAAAAGCTTTTGATCTTCACAGAAAGGTGACGTATTTCAAAATAACCGTCAGAGAGTGAGAAGGATAACTAGAATTTGATGAGATAACTTCGAAAACAATATTAAAGAACTTGCTGGTATCTATTTTTAAGACAAAAAAAGTCGGAGATTCTTTTTTTTTCGTTCAATTATTCAAGAAACAAATTTTTTTTAAATTCACTTCAAACAGATTTCGGAGCGTCACTTAAAAAAGGGAATTAAAAAGAGGGTTTAAAAAAAGCGAAATGAATTTTTCCCATCGGCATTTCAAGGATCTTCGATCGAAAAAATAACTCTTGAAGGATATAATAATGTTGACAACAAGAATGCCAGATTTAAAAGGTCTTAAAACTCCGAACTATATTTAAAAAAAACCCCTTTTTTTGCAATTCTTACGAAAGAGTTTATCTTCTCGAGAACTTTAAAAAAACCTTTTTCAAAAATTTTTTTGCTGAAAAACGCCTCAAAATAAATTAAAATGCTCCAATTTTTTAATAAAAAGACAAGTTTCCTTTCACGATTTCAATCACCATACCTTTCGCTCATCGAAAAGGTGGGGCTCCTTTGAGATTCAACCGTCTCAAAGCCTCCTTGACTTCCGGGGCGGGCTCGAAATACGTGTCGTGGAATTGAAGGCCTCAAATGATATTTTTTGTTAGAAAATACATCTGTGTTGAAGTTTTGTGAAGAGACTTGAACAGAAATACGAAAAATCAAAAAATTATTTTTCGGTGTTAACAAACCATCAACAAGACAAAGAAGAAAAAAAAACTAACCATACTCACGACCTCCCCAGAAGTTTGTCCAAGCGAGCTTGCGCAAGTAGTTGGCAACACCATCTGAAAATTGATCTTAAAATGGAACCACAACTTTAAAACTTACTGTTGTACGCAAATTTGACTGTCTTGGTAGCGGCCGCCATGATCTGAAAGCTTTGAGCTTATTTCAAAAGAAGTGTACGAAAAAAAAAACCAAAAAGAGCAGCAATCTAAAAAAAAGATTTAAAACAAGTGCGAAACAAACTTTTCTGAGTATCTACGATTTTTTATCAACATCAACTTTTCAGAACTGTTTGCAATGCAAGTTGTACAAGAAATGTGATGAAAAACAGCTTCCTTCATATTCCAAAAAATTTTCTTTGTAAAGTAGAGCGAATTTCGAGAAAAACATTTAAGGAAAGGTGAGAACTACGAAAACTTCAAACATGATCCTCGCATGCAAAAAGGTTTTCAAAGGACTTATTTATGGAAGATCGATGACTGAGCAGCCTCTTTACCCTTTCTCAGCTACAAAAAAATTTTTATTATAAAAGAGTAATATACTAAAATACTAGAATTACAAAAAGTAAAAAAAGCAAATTGTTCAGCGAAATCGCGATCGATGCACGGTACAGTGATTGTGCGCGCCAATGAAAAATGTTACCGACAGAGCGGACTTGCCTTGCCTAAAAAATGAGGGTTCTTTTTTTAATTTTTTGTTTTTTTATCGTTTTATTTTTGCCAGTTTGATGCCAAATATGGCTCTATGTTATGTATGAGTCACGTCCGAATAGGGAAAACAAGTCAGACACGGTAGAACGTCTGGAAATGCTGGAAAGTATACCAATCGTTAGGTGAAAAAAAGTATCTTATTCAATTTTCCTACTTTTGTTAATTTTCACATTGCTCTGATCTTTTTATGCGTTTTCACTTTTTCAAATTATTTCGTTAACTTTAAGATTTGAGTGATCATTTTTTTTTCATTTTTTCCGTTTCAGACCTTTGATGGATTCTTTGATTGCTGCCGGTAACTTGGAAGAAATAAAGAAGCTTTGTGAAACAAGCTAAGAAAGACGGGTTTGATGTCTCAGAATTATTGTTTTGAATGGATGGACTGTTTCAGAGAAGACTCAGAACTTGTGAATTCAAGTGTGGATAGCGAACTTCGTAGGCATGGTTTGCGGATAGCTGCGAGCACTTCGGGAATCGTTGACGCCACGAGAAAACACTTTAATTTGGCGTTGGGATTGGCATCCAGTGGTTCGTAGAGGGTTATTTCTGGGGAAAAGTCTGAAAAGTCTTGCAATAAATCTTGTAAATGCCTTTTTTTTGACTTTTACTTGAAAGAGGCGCTTTGGAAGGTCTTCTGAAAGCTGGAATTGATTGTTTTCTAGGCCCATTCGAAGAGTTTTCTTTTTTTGAAGGCTTTTTTGACTTTACCGGCTCTGAAGGGACTTTTTAAATATAATTTTTTTAAAAAAATAGGGCTGTGCATGAAGTCGACCCCGATCACCACGATCCAAGACGTCATGGAAACTTCCACTGTCAGAACTTGCGAGCTTCTTTTTTCCATCCTGGAAGACAATATGAACGTTTTCAAGCAGGTTTTCATCCAGAAACAGTATAAATAACCTATTTTTGCCTTCAGCCGCCCCTGGGCGAAGCCAGCCAAACGAGTATTTTGCGGCTTTGTAATGACCTTTTACGGAGGTTGAGCCGCACGGCCGAAACCTCGTTTTGTGGACGTATTTTGTTCTTTTTGAGCAGGTTTTTCTGAGGCGATTTGAAAAAATAAAGAATTTTTTTCAAGATTCCTGCCCCTCAGCGAGAAGTCCGGCTTGAACTTGATGGGCCACTTCAACAGCCAAAACGTGACCAAATATGAGGAGAATGTAGGTTTATTCCTATATGTTGAAAAATCCTTGACATAATTTATATAAAGGTCTCGAAGCGAAAACCTCTTTTTCTGTATATTTTTTTGAGAGTTTTTTTCTTGTTTTTTTACCGCTTTTTGAAGGGTTTTGAACTTTCTAAATTGAACTTTTAGAACTGATATATTTCATATTTTTGAAGTATAATTTATATTAATATCAGAATTTGATGAAAACTCGATTATTGTAGTTGATTTTTTTGAGTTTTATTGAAGAAAATTGAAGATTTTCTAGAGATTGAATTAGTTAAAAATAATATTTCTAGTATTGGACAGTAAGAAAACGGATCCATAAAACTTTCTTTTCGTTAATCATTTTTTCCTTCTCCTTTTTGTTATGAAGAAAATAAAAAAAATTGTCATTTCGCTCAAAAATTGCTATTTTTCTCCACGAAACTTCGTGTCCTAGATGTAAAGCTTGTGGTGGGATTTTTCGGAATTTTTCAGAGTGGTCCCTATAGGGATTAGGGGCCAATAAAGTGGTCCCTATAGGGGTGAAAACTAAGGTGGTCCCTATACTGACCCGCTAGCCCTTAAAGCTTGAGTGGTCCCTCTAGGGGTCGTTCATTTTTATTCAAAAAGGAATTTTTTAGTTTTTCGCATGGAAATGCTTCCTCGCATAGAGTTCATAAAAGTTATCGACTAGCATCTTCCCTCTAGAGACCACTTTTGCAAGCTTCAGTGGCTTCTGTAGGGGCTGGTAAAATGCTCACCCAAGGTTGCCCTTATATGGGCCACTCAGGAGTTTCTAACTTGTTCCAAAAATTTACGCCGTTATTTTTTTACTTGGATCTGCTTAAAAAAATCATCTTCTTATGTCTTTTTGAAAATTCAGAATTTTTTTCAGCCCTGTAACTGAAAATTTCACGGCTCCCACCACAACAGAAGACGCCGAAACGGGTGAAATTCATGAAATTAAGTATGTTTTTTTAAAAATTTTTTCTCCAAAAAACGTGTATTTTTCAGGGATTCCGCCACATTGATTCCCGTTGATCCCAATATTTACACCTCGTTTTGGTCGCTGCAGAATTTCCTCTCAAATCCTGTCACTTTATACGAAAAGGAGAAGTTCATAGTGTTCAAGAAGGTGGATTTTCGTCAATTTCCGACCAAAAATGACTTTTTCCAGTGCATTTCGAGTATTTTCACCTTGTTCTCCAATCACAAGTTGGACAAGAGCAACGATAATGATAGCGATTCCAAACTCAAGGTTGCTCTTAAGGGAAAATATTCGTTTGAAAGTGGAATATTCAGGCGGCGATGGACGATATGATCAGTTCGGAGGCGTTTTTTGCCAAATATTTGACGAGTCCCAAGGTTGGTTTTTCGAAAATTGATGAATAAATTGTAGAATAATGAGTTAAGGTGTGAATGAATGCGAAAGCAACGCTAAAATTTGCACAAAAACTGGAAAAAAAACCTTCACGTATGAATATTTTGAGCCCATCCTATTTTTTTTAACTCCTCATTTTCTTGAATTTCAGTATCTTTATGAAATTTGAATTTTTAAAAATAAAAAAAAAGTAGAATTTCAGCTAAAAAGAGGATAATAACTTTTTTTTAAACGAAGATTCGGTTCTCATCTCTTGAAATCAACGCTTTTTTTGACTATTTAGACCTCATAAATTGATTTTTGGAAGCTTTCAAAGTTATGAGAAGCTTGAAATACATAAATTTTCAGTTAGATTTTTCGATTTTTTTAATGATTCAAAATTTTAATCTTCATCAAAATTTCTCATTTCTGAACGTGTTTTTTTGATAGTACTTGGATTTTTAGATTTTTTTGCATTTTTTTAAGCTTCAAAAAAAAATTTTTTTCTATCGCTTACCACCACTGAAAACTGACTTCAGAACATGTTTTTTTCGGCCATTTTTTTCTATTTCAAGTCCTTCAAAAACTTTTTTTCAGTTTTAAGATTAAAAAAATATAGAAATCGTCGCACCTTACTGCTAAAAAAATCACTTCAGGACTTTTTTTCCGAATCTTTACGGAGTGTAGTTTTTTTAAAAAAATCTTTTTTTCAAATTTTTGAGCTGAGAAATTATTGAATAATCAGTTTTCATTACTATAATTTGCTTCGAAACTTGTTTTTCGATCATTTTTCGATTCCAATTCCTCCAAAATTTCCTGTTTTCTTTTCAGTTTTAAGCTTCACAAATGATTGAACTATCACCGTTCATCATTATAGTTTCACTTCACAAAATGTGTTTTTGAAACTATTTTTTAATTTCAGATTTTTCAAACGTGATTTTTTTGACGGTTTCAAGCAAGATCTGTCAGAGTTTTTGATTTTTTTTTTTAAACTTTGATGCGTTTTTGAGCTTACGGTTCAATGAACCCCTGTAATTTATCACTGAAAATTTTCTCAAAGCAATTTTCGATCCCAGATTCCTCGAAATTCTCTTTTTTTCAGCTTCTTCCCCTTCAACTCAACGATTCTCAATTCCGACGTCATTTTCTCGTCCAATGCCTAATTATCTTCCAATATTTGACCGCTGATGTCAAGTTCAAGAAAACGGCTCGATTGTAATGGAAATCAGTTCAAAAATATATATGAATAATCAATTTTTCAGTAACCATTCCCTGAGTGAGGAGCAAAATCGGGTGATTTCCGATTTCGGCGAGAAATGCTACAAACTCTTGTGTGAGACGCATCCCGCGTGGCCAGAACTTTGCCGATAGCGTTAGGGTAATTTTTTTATTTATTTTTATCCGTTTCAAAAAAATATTTAAAAAAATCCATGTTTTTAATAGCATTATTCACTTCTTTAGAAGTTTTTCAACTTAAGCAATTTAACCCAAGAAACCGTTAATTATTGATTTTTGGCTTTGGGAAATGGTCTTTCAATGGTTTTATTCGATATAATAATTTATTTTTGGGGAAATGGCCTTCCAACATATTTTTTTCCCAAATATAATTTTTTTCGGAACAAATTTTTTTAGAAAAAAATTATCGATAAGCTCTTCTTTTTGACAACATTTTTTTCAATACAATAAAAAAATGTCAACCTAATAAATGTAGCCAAAAAACGAATAACTGGGAAAATTTTCACTATAGAGGCTCGCCAAGGACTACTGGGAGAGGACACTAAAGTGGCCACTATTTTCCGTTTTAGTGGCCACTTCAGTAGTTTTTCATCCAGTATTCCTTTCAGTAACTCTGATAGTTTTAAAACAAACAGATTGGACCAGTTATGTTGATCCATTGACCCCTAAAGTAGCCACTAAAATTTTTGGTGGTCTAGTAGTAGCGCTTAAACCTCTATAAGGACCACTAATTTTAAACCTCTTTAGTGGCCACTAACTTGACTACTAGAGTGGTCATTAAAAGTTTTAGCTGTTGATTTTTCGGCGGTTTGAAACTTTCGCCACGTTTTTAAACCTTGGAAACTTGAAAAATATAGAAAAGAAAAACTCGTGAAGAAAAGTTTACAAAAAATTTCACCAAACGCTACGCGTAGAAAAATTCATTTCTAACAAAGTTTTCACGGTTTCCATTTTAACTCACGAAAAGTACGTTTCATAACATTTATAAACTTTTCGCCAATCTTTTCAAAACCATTGTTGCGATATCCTGTTGATTTTAACTTAGAAAGAAGACTCTAGAATTTACCAGCTAATTAAAGTTATTATTTTTTCAAAGGTTTTGTAGAAAATGGATTTGAAAAAGTGTTAGAAAGTCAGGTTTTAAAGATTTTCCAGCGAAAATAAATTTGCTGTTTTAGGCGATTTTGCGCCGCGAAACGGAATGGTCGAACTGGAAGAATCACGCCTGCCCGGATATTACCGAGTCGGCGGACAAAGGCGTCATGCAAATGTATAGAAAGTGAGTTATTGGAGGAGATATAGACTGAAAATTTTGAAAAAAAAGAGGTTAGGTGATAAGGTTTTACTTCAATAATTAAATTTTGATCCACGTCGATACTTAGAAGATGAGTTAAAAATGAAGGGACATAGCTTACTGGGGAACGTTTTTTTACTCTTCAAAACCTCGAAATAGCGCTTTAAAAAGTTCTCTGGTTAGGTGAAATGAGCAGCGGTTTCAAAACAATTTTTGGGAGCTTTTTTTAAATTTTTTTCGGTCAGAAAATGTCTGAAAGTATATCTCTTAGTATATAGTATATCTCTTACCAGAAGTATTGAAATCTCAACCTAAAAGACTCTGTTTTTTTGACCAAGGAGGTCATTTTACTTTTCTCTAAATTCGGCCAGAAAACGTCTTGATGTTGCCAGAATAAGATTCTAAAAGTCTCGACCTGCACAATTTCTTCGTTTTTGAAGATTGAGCGGAGAATGTTCTCAGCTCACAGTGGGACTTCTGAATGAGACTAGGTTCACTTGATAGAGTTTTTCACGCTGATTCCGAATCTCTGCTCAAAAGTTGCCCCTGGAGGCCTGTGATAAAAGATAAAAGTCTCTCAGAAATCGAAAATTCGCTGTCTCGGATTGAGTTCCTTTTTGGAGGGTATATAAATTCTATCAGAAGCAAAAGTTTTTTTCTATGGTAGTTACTAACAAGGATCTTCTGTTTATTTTTCGGTTAGGAATTCTCTGAAAGATAGCCAGAACATTCCTTGATATACCAACTTGAGGTCCCAGAAGTTTCAACCTGCTAAATCTCTAGTTTTTTTAAGAAATGCGGGCTCAAAGCTGAAAGTTGTCAATTTTAATGAATTTTTGGGGGTTTTTCTTTATCGTTAGGTGTGATTCCTCGAAAAAAATGGGAAGTTGTGCAGGTTAACATTTCCAGGATCTTTTTAGTATTTCAAGGAGTGATATGGCCAATTTATTTGTAATTTGCAATTCTAACGGGGAACGACCTTCCTTGTAAGTCTGTAACTTTTCAGAAGACCCCGTCAAACCTTCGACCCAATGGCCAACGACTTGGGAAACCCCGAATTGACCCGTTTGTGGAGCATCGAACCGAACCTTCTCAGTGCTTGTCGCAATCCTAAAAGGTCAATTTTTGTTTGACGAAAAAAGTTGGCCTCAAAGTGGCCACTTCAGGGTCTTTTCTTTTCCTTATTTTACGTTTTTTTAATCCGTGAAAGTCAAAAAAAACGCTTCAAAAAAATTTGAAGAAATGATATAAATTTTAATCATGTATACCTTGTGTATGAGCTGGATATTTTGAAAAGATTTTATTTTTTTTTATTGAATTTTTCCTTATTTGGTCTTCTTTGTGTTTTTTGTATTTATGAGTAAAGCCTAAAAAGGTAAAAAAACCACTAGAGAAAAAAAAATTTTTTTATCAAATTTTGCATTTTTTGCAACGAGTAGCCTGTCTATGAGTTATATAGAAAATTTGTCTTTTTATTCTTCCAATTTCATTTTTAAACCTTTTTTTCCACGTTCTTTGTACGTTTTTTGTTTGTTTATAAGAAATTGAAAGCCCTCTAAAAAGACTGAAAAAGTGAAAAGCCATTTTTAAAAATTCAGAGAAAAACTTATAATTTTTTTCTTGAAATCCTGCCGATTTTTCTCGTTTTTAAGCCACGAATTGCTTTTTCTACGAGCAGAATCAATCAAAATATTTTTTTAGAAGATTTGTGCCGGCGTTAAACGAATTTATACGTGACCCTCTGGACGAAATGGACCCCCGAACAGCAGGTTGAGGACGAATATAAGTGAGTTTTTGAGTTTCTGTGAAAGTTTAAGTTCAAGAAAAATTTTATTTTTTTGATTATTCAGATGAATAGCAATTTATATTATTATATTTATTCTCATTATTATATTATACGAATTTTTTTGGGCACTTTTTTTCTAATAAATTAATTCGAAGCTATCACTAAGATATAAAGATTCGGAGAAATGAAAAAAAAACTTTTTTTCTCAAATTTGAAACGGATATTTTCTGGTTGAAGTAAGATTTTCATGATTTTTGAGCGTTTTTTTAATCAAATTATCTGTTAAAAATCTTCACTTCGACTATTTTTATTATCCATATTTGTTGTACTTTTTTCAAAATTATGGTTAAAGCTACAAAAGTTTTTCATTCTTAGGGACCCCAGAGTGGTCACTAGAGGGTAAATCACAAAAAAAGGCATTTGAAGGCTCTACTCACCCGTCTTCTTACTATAGGGGGACACTAAAGCTCGAAAAAAAAGTGGCCACTCAAGGAATTCCTTCTATTTTTTTAACTTTCAAAAAAATTAAAAGACCACTATAGGGACCATTCAAGTTTTTGGGGCTTATGGGGCCATACTTTAAACCCCTATAGGTACAACCTAAACTTTATCATCATTTGGAGCACTTTTTGCCCTCTTAAGGGATTTTTCCCTAACCCCTCTAGGGATCACTCTGGCGTTTCTAAGGTTGGTTTTGATGAAGTTCTAAATAAAACTGAGGACAAATATTTCTTGGCACTGAAATAAAAACTTTCAAAAGGAAGTTCCATTTTATTGGAGTTTTGAACGAAAGTCTCCTTTCTTCCAAGAAAACCGAGACTTTTTTCCAGATCGGTGAACGATTCTGGATTCCAATGGAGGGCTTCAAGAATTTTATTGGCTTCTTCAAGCTATTTCATGCCCAAAAACGACAAATCCATGGTGACCAGTATGAAGGATTTCCTCGAAGGCGTCATTTATAACACGGCCAAGGCGATGGATGTTGGGATATTTTTAGAAAATTTATAATAAGATCCATTTTTGAAGGAGTTCAAGCCGGAGATCGCCGCAAGGGAAGAACGGGAAGCGGAGGCGAGGAAAAAGTTGGAAAATGCTCTGAAAAAGAAGCTCGACCCGGGGTCCAGCGCTCAGGCCGGGTTGGTCTTGGAACAGAAGGGAAAAATATATGTTATGTAGGGAAAAGGACAGAAGAGAGGATTTTTATAGGGATTTGACGTTTTAGTGGCCACTACGGTAGTCAAATTAGTGGCCACTTAAGGGATTAAAAATTAGTGGCCCCTATAGAGGTCTAAGTGCTACTACTAGACCAATAAAAATTTTAGTGGCCACTTTAGGGGTCAATGGATCAACATTCCTGGCACAATCTGTTTGTTTTAAAATTATCAGAGTTACTGGAAAGAATACTGGATGAAAAACTACTGAAGTGGCCACTTGAACGGAAAATAGTGGCCACTTTAGTCTCCTCTCTAGTCCTTGTCTCTATAGTGGCCACTAAAAATTTTCTCAGTTATTCGTTTTTTTTCGAACTTTTCTCCGATTTTTTGGGCACCGAATTTTTCTACCTTTTCCTCTGATTTTTAGTTTTTCCATGATTTTCCACTTCATTTTTTAATTTATCTGTTTTATATGATTTATATGAAGGACATTCAAAATTTGGAAATTATGATTCAGAGCGCCTTTTTAGCGGGTATTTTTTTAAATAGTCAAAAATGCATGATCCCTTTTTTTCCAGCACCTCGTCGCCCAACCCCTACGAAGATTCGCTGAACGCCGAAAAATTGGAAATCATCGCCGAAGGCCTGGCGCCAAAAGCCAAGCAACTGGCGGCGGCTTTGGCGCGGGAGAAAGAGTTCGATTCGACTCAATCTGATGTTCGTTTTGGAATGAAATGATGATGAAGAGCATTTTTTTTGTATTTTTTCTGGTTTGAATCGAGAGAAAAATATAGTTTCAGCTTTTATTTCTCATTAAGAAAAAAAGCAAAAACTCGAAAAAAAGTTAAGCTGATTTTTTTCAGAAAATTGAAAAATAAGATTCAAGAAAATAATTTGATATAAATTTTAACGAAAAAAAGCTTTCACGCTCAAATATTTTTTTATTCCATTTTTTTACATTTGTTGAATTTTTGTTTGAATGAGTGAACTTTAAAACATAGGATTTTTTAATTTTTTTGAAAAAAAGTTTCAGATCCCCTCCCCCCTCTAATGAGCTCTCAATTCAGCTTTTCCTCCTACTTGTATAAAATTTTTCCAGAAATCGAATTGTCTCAACGTTTTGAGCCGTTGGGCGGAAAGTAACGCCTTTTCGCTGCGGGACCTTCGAAATCAGTTGCTCAACTCGGACCCGGAACTTTTGATGGATCTCACGGCGGCTCTTAAGGTGTGCAAAAAAGACTGAAAAGTACCTAGAAATGGCAAAATTTGCACATTTTCAATACATAAGCAAAGAAAGGGTGGAAAAAGGCTCCAGAAATGTTCCTTTTTGCTGCCTTTTTGCGCCATTTCATCGGCTCTTATGCACCATTTTTGCTGCCTTACCCATTTGTTGAGCCTTTAAAATTCTATAGAAAATGGAAGACTTGATGAAGGGACCCTTTTTGCTGTCTTTCTGTTACCTTTTTTGAGCCTTTTTGCTGCCTTTTTCGAGCCATTTTGCGGCTTTTTTGGTACCTTTTTTAGCCTACCAAGTGGCCATAATTCACCATTCTGACTTCTCTTCCGAGTAGTTTTTACGCTTCAAATGGAATTTTTTAAAGCATTTTTCCTTGAAAAAAAATGAATGTCTATTCAATATTTCCAGAAAAATCCAACACACCGAGTCGGCGATGGACGAGAGCTGATCTTCGAATTTAATTTTATTGTTTTTTTATCAGTTGTTCGGTTGTTTCTTAATAAATTATTGAAAATTTTTATAATTTCTTGTGATTTTTTTCAGCGTTTCCCAACGCTTTTATATCTGGTTTTGTGTGATTTTTTTCAGTTAATGCGAAAAGTTTCGAGATGCCGCCGTTTTTTTCAAACCAAAAAAAGGCCAAAGGCGACGGCGCGAAGAAAAAAAGAACACAAGGAAAAGGGTTTAGTTTTTTTAATTTCAGAGATTTTTGATAGAGTCTTTTTCGAAATCAAATCAATGTTTGTTGTAGTTTTTTTCAAAAAAACATGTTTTTTTACTGTTTCATTAACTTTTTAATTTAGAATTTTTTTAAATTTTTTTAAAAAAAGTTCTGGTTGGTTAGCGGTGAACAATATGCACACTGAAAAAAAGTCGGTCGCTTTTTTTATGACGTCTATTTTTTTAATTTTTGAAAAGATTTTTTGGGCTTTATAAAGGTTTTAACGGTTTCAAAGTGCGTATTTATTCATATTATAAACATTTTTCGAAATCAGTTTACAAATTTTTCTGGTCGTTAAAATTTCCAAAAAAATTCCTTTTTTGTTTTTTTCTATTTTTTTGCCAAAAAAATGCTCTCAAATCTTGATGAAAAAAACTATTCCGCACACAAAATATTTTTTTTATTTCAGGTCTACCCGAACAAACTGATTCAAAATTTATTGAAAAATGCAAAATCTCCTAAGTTGGGCTGCCAATATTTGGTTCCTCGAAAACTTACAAATTAGCCAAAATCGAGAATTCTACGCGCTTCGGACACTTTTTTAACTGAAAAAAACTTCAAAAATTTTTCAAAAGATGGTCCAAAAAAAGAATCAATATGTCATATTTCTAAAGATTAAAAAAAGAAAAAAATGCGTTTTTCCTGATTTTTTTAAAAGACTTCAATTAGTCCTTTATTATCGACGAGGCTTCGAAAAAAATATTTTTTTAATTTAATTATATTACAAAAAGCTCTAAAAAGCTCAATGGACATTTTTTTAAAAAGAGAATCATAAAAAAATTGGGTTTTCAGGCAGCCCCGAAAGGCCAACGATGACGTCGAGAAACGCCTTTCACGCCGGCAAAAAAATGATGGAAAAATACAGTCATTGAGTCAGATGAAGAGGTTGGATAATAATAGATTTATTCAGAGATCAGTTTGAACCCTGAAGTGTTCACTTGTTTAAATAAAAAAAGACCAAAATTAAATTTTTACATCAATTGATTATTGGAGGTATAGATGTGAAAAAATCGATTTGAAAGGGATTTACTAATTTTTTTTTTTTGATTTCGCTCCAAGTAATATTTGTTCTGATGAATAATATCAAAAACTGGCCTTCTCAGCAGCGCCAGAGTGGTCCCTGAAGGGGTCCCAGACGCCAAACCCCTGTAGGGTCCTCTTGAAGCTACCGCTATAGGACATTTTTGTCTCCCTATTTCGGCTGTTTCTTCGACTAATTTCTCCGAGACCACTCATCTAATTGTAAAAATACTTGAATTGATGGGAATCATGTAAACCGAAAATAACTAGAATTAAGTTGTGAACAGTCCTCAAAACGACTTTTTCTAAGTTTTGAGCCAATTTTCCGGTTCAGGAATCGCTTTTGGGTAGTGTCGACGGTTCTGAAGGCGAAAGCGACGTCGAGTATGACGACGCCCAGGAAAGGAACTTCCGCGAGGCGAAGAAGCTCCTCGACAAGCTTCAGGTTAGCCACTTCTTCATCTGAAAAAAAATTTTCGATAGAACGGTCGTAAGTGTAAGGAAAGCTTAGTTTTAGATGGAATCCAGCTTTCAAAGCAATTTTTCAAGAAAAGTTATGATGAATCCTTTTTTTTACTTTTACCGGCTTTTTTTTCGGTAACGGTCGAAAGGTCTGTGGAAAAAGAAAGATCCAGAGTCTCGAAGAAGAATTTTAAGTACAGAAAATTGTTCATTTTTGTTCTTTTAAGGCGGCATAAAAGACAAAGTTGATTGGGCAAATGGCTTGTAAAAAATCCACCCAAAAATTTTCACAATGAAACTTGGGTATCTTGAGAAAAAAAAAGCTAGAAAAATCCAATATTCTTCATTTTTTTCGCACCTTTGGGCCTCCAAAAAATAGCCGCGAAAGTCGTCTGTTGTGCGCTCCACGGCTAATTCTTAACATTTTGCGAATAATTCTTGCTTTTTCAGTTTTTCTAGAAAAGCCAGAAACTGAGCCTTCGAAAAAACAAAAACTTTATTTTTCCAATAAAAAACGCGCTCCATGGTTAATTTATAGATTTATGAAGGGGTCATTTTATCTTCTTTTTTTTTCTTTGTCATGTTCAAAGTTCATTTTGCATTCTCCTTGAGGAACAATCAAAAAATTGAATAATACTTGAAAAAAATAATTGAGCTCATGCAATGAATGTGCTCCATGGTTAAATTTTAGTTCTTGGATGATTTTTTGGTTTAATCATTCTTTCTTTGACATATCAAAAGTTCAGTCTTCATTATTCTTAAGGAGGAATCAAAAGATGACGAAGACGTCGCAAAAAAGTTGCGCGACGACGCGGCGACACGGTCGGGCACCCAGCTGCGACTCGTCGCCGACTCCTTCGAACTCGCCGAAGACGAGGAGATCAGCTACCGCGGCCACAGGTTCTTCGCGTGTCCAGAATTCCAATGTCAATTCAAAGCTCCGCCCCTAATGCCGCAATAAGCCAATCAGAGAACGAGCATTCTAGGAGATTCGCATGACGTCATTGGGCTTGATATTTTAAATATGACCAGAATATAACTTTCCAAATAAATTATTTTGCGCTTTTTGATTCAATGGGATAGCGAATTTTGATTTTGAATTTTTTTTTTTTGGTTAGGTTTCTATAGTCCTTAATGCCCAGATAGGTGAAAAGCGAGTTTTGAAAGGTCCAAATTTGAAGAAAAACATCCAAAAAGGGAGGTTTTTCAAGCTTCGAAACTTTTTTGAAGCGTACTCAATGTCCTCCTGAGTTTCCAAACAAGAGAAAATTTCTTACTTTTTTTGGTTTTTTTGTCGATTTTTTTGAACTAATCAAAGGCTTCAAAATTTCTTCATAATTCGTGAATTAATGAGTTTTGAAGCGTCAGGAATCGACAAAAAGATAGATTTCAAGAAATTTTTTTTTGTAGAATCAGGACCCTTCAGCAAACTTTTATGGAAGTGGGAATTAGAAAAAAAAACTGGCCTTGAAAATTCTTAAGATGTCTGAAAAGTTTATTCACAAGCAAAGGCCAAACGACCTCAAAAAGGCCTTGAAAAGAAGAGTCTGAAGCTCCTTATTGAGTTTTTCTAAAAAGGTGTCGAATGTTTCTTGGAGTTTCCTATTTTTAATCTTTTTTTTCCTTCTTAAAGGTCCTTTTTTGGAAAAGGTCCAGAAAAAAGGCGCCTCCGAAACCTTTCAGATGCCTTTTTGAGACTTTTTGGATTTTAAAAGTGTTAATCCAACTGGCAGAAATATTGAAAACTGAGCCATATGGCAAAAAATTTTTTAGTTGAATTTCACAAAAAGTCTTTTCCCGAGTTTGAATCAACTGAATGAACATTTTGGCTCGATTCCAATCTCGCGGAAGCCTATTGAATATTGCGAATAGTTCAATCATCACACCCGCTATTTTGAGCAGACTGACGCCCCTCTGTGTCGCCTTCTCTCCCGACTCGAAATACCTCGTCAGCACCGGCAAGGAGTCCAGCATTGTCAAATGTTCGTCCTTCTTTTTGATTTCTTCGAGATTCTTAGCCCTAGAATCAAAAAAATTTAGTTTTCCTGATCCATTTTAAAAATTGATCTCTGTTCTTACTCGCATGCTGAGCAGGGTAACCCCGCCGTGCTAACACGGGGGTCTCCGCAGGGTGCCCCCTGTATTAAACCCGTATAAGCCCAGCTGATAGAACTTTTGGCACTTTTTAGCCCAACTGAGACCCCGCTTTAGCACAGCTGGGTTACATATTTTTCTTACACCCGTTGTTCCCCCGTTTTAGCCCAACTGAGACTGAAATAACCTCAGAAACACGGGTTTAATACGGGTACACCCGTTGAGACACCTGCTCAGCATGCGAGTATCACATAGGCAAAGTCGGAAGGAGCCTTTGAGCGTCTTTTATGGATTAAAAGGTTTCCATTAACAGTTCCAAACGGGTTCCTTTTTACTGCCTTTTTGCGTCCTTTCATCGGCCTTTATCCACCCTTTTTCGACCCTTCTCAGAAACAAAAAGTTTTTTAAATTGAGAATAATCTTTATAAATGACTGTGTAAGAACTAACATGTGCTACAATGATAAAATCGGAAATCATCAATGGCCGATACTTTCACCACTCTTTTTGCACCCTTTTTAAGGCTTTTTACCCTGGCCAAGAAAGAAAGGCTCAATAAAGGCCTCAAAATGGAACCCTTTTAGCGGCCTTTTCGCACTCGTTTTCCGCACTTCCGACCTTGGCAGTGTTATATTTTTGTCATTATAAATAACAGAATTCATGACAAAGTTTCAGACTATTGAGAACGCTTTTTAAAGACAGTTATTCCGTACAACAAGAAAAAGGTGTTTTGAAAGTTTATTCTTTTTTTGCCTTTAAAACTTCCTCACATCGAATTAAACCAAATCGCCTGATTTTGAACGTTTCAAAGAAAAAAACGCCTTTTTCCGGTTCCATGATGGGAGTTTTCCAGCATGCCCTTTGCAAAGAATTTGAACAGTTTTCTAAATAGCAAGTGATAAAAAAGCGTATTTTGAACTCAGAAAATACAATTGAGTTTCATAATTTTCTAACAGATCACAGTGATAATAACATTCCTTGTAGACAGTATAGAAGAAAAGAAAGTCGTCGGCGTCATAAAACGGACAAAAAACGCGGCGGCGACATCGCAAAACGCACATTCCGGCGTGATCTTCTCGGTCGCGATATCGCCCGACGGCAATTTCCTAGCCTCCGCCGGCTTCGATACGGCCGTCAAGGTGATACTTTCAGATTTTGAAGAAGAAAAAAGGTCAAATTGAAGGTGTGGAACTTCAAAACGCTCGCCCATATCAAGGACCTCGAAGGACATCGCGGCGCCGTTCTGTCGCTATGTTTTCAGTTGAAAACGAACAATCTGTTCTCGGCCAGTGAAGATCGGACAGTCAAGGTAAAGTTTTGGAAGTGTGAATGTATTAGGGATGGAAAAATACATCGGCTGGATCCCAATCCAGCCTTTTGCGCGAAAAAAATTTGGAAAATGTACTGAAAATAGGCCTCACTTTTTTGGGGGGGTGGGGGGCGTTTGGGTGGTAGGCCTCAGTTTGAGGGGGTAAGCCGAACCTCAGGGCGGGATCCAGCCGACGTATGGATGGAAATAAGTCAAATTCTACTGAATTAAGAGTAAAAAAATACTTTGAGATCCCCTTAGATTTTTTGTGGAAATGGGTGTTCTCGAAGACAAAAAAAGTGCTTTGAACTTTTTTCCTTACAATTTTTTTCCTAGAAGTAATTATTTTTTTGAAAACAAAAAAATTATGATTAGAAAAATCGACTTGACAGCTTCAATTTGCTATTTTTTTAGAGGCGTCTTTTTGAAAAATGATATCCTTAATAAGTTTATTTAAAAGATATAGATTTTTTTGAGAATATACTCAACTTTTTTTACAGATAAAAAATCTGCTTGAGGATTTTTTTCTTTAACTTCAAAGCTATGACTTCATAACTTATAATAAAAAAATATTAATTTATTAAAATTGAGTGTTTAAAGTTCTTAAAAACAAATCAATAGGTTCCTCTCCAAGTTTAAGAAAAAAAAACTTTCAAATAACTTGGTCTTCTCTTTTTTTATGTGAAAACGTCGTTTTTCGAAAGGATGATCCCAAAATGACCGATTTGTGTGTCGAAACGAGAATCGGAATCGTTGTGTTTTTCACGGATCAACTGGTTTTTGAAGTTTTGTGTTCTTTTTTTTTGTTTGAAACGTCAGAATAGAATTTCCTTTTTTTCCTCTTCATCATCATTTTTCCTTCCGTCTTTCAGTGTTTTTTTTTTCGATGTTTTGAACTTTTTTTTTTTAATTAATGACGTTCTGATTGTTTTCAACCCATTACCTTTTAAAGCCAATTTTTTGACTTTATAATGAAATGTTTTTAATAAAAGCCATCTACAATATGACCAAGTATTAGGCCATTTGATCAAGTTGGAACTCATAAAGTCTCAATAAAATGATCAGAAAAACTCGTGAATTCTCGTTATCGTGCTGTGAGTACCTTTGGACCTATGTAACACGAACCCACCGTTTCTTTTTTTTTTTCTAGTGACCATTTTAGCGGCTTCGGCCCTCTCAAGTGATCTCTAGAATTGCTCAGAAAAGTCCAGAGCGCGTCCGGTTTCCGTCCGAAGAAATATCGATCAAGTTTCAACGTTCTTAACTTTGTTAAACTTCCAGCTATGGGACCTGGACCAACTGGGTCTGGTCGACACGATGTACGGCCACCAAGACGCCGTCCGCTCCGTCGCTTGCCTTCAGAAGCAACGGGTCGCCACTGCCGGGGGCAGAGATCGCACCTGTCGTGTCTGGAAAGTCGAGGCCGAGAGTCAGCTCGTGGGTTTTCGAATCAAGTTTCGGCGCCAAAACTTTATAAACTAACAGAAAAGAATAACTTTTTCGATTAATATTTCTTAGGAACGCCAGAATGGTCCCTAGAGGGACATTTTAGGGGCCCTCGAAATTTAATCTCTAGGAGCCACCTAACTGCCCCTAAAGGGGCCACTAAACTTTCCAAGAGTGGCCGCTCTAGAGGAGCCTAACTTTTCAATGCATCAACTTACACATCCAAACATAAAGGCAAAAGATCGCTTTAGGGACCACTTGAGCTTTAGAGGCTAAGAGATCAGACCTTAAACCCATATAGGGACCACTCTGGCGCTTTCAACAAGATACATTGTCAATTTCAAAGCGCGAATTCTGGTTCAAAAAAATCTTTCAAAAAGTCAACATTTTTTTTTGCAGTTAGGAACTCTAGAGTGGTCCCTATAGGGGGATCTAACCTTTTTTAAATAAACTTAGATGTGGCCTACCACTTGAGCTCTAGGAACTAAGAGATCAAACCTTAAACCCCTATAGGGACCTCTTTTTCGCTCCATATAGGGGCTTTTTTTCCATAACCTCTATAGGGACCACTCTAAAATTCCGAAGCTTCAAAATGTTTCACATACTAGGTAGGATTTTTGAACAGACTCTAGTTTACCGTAAATATTGACTTTGAAATAAAATTAGAACACTTTTTGATATGATCTATTTCCGAACATTTGTTTTCTTTTTCTTCTTCACGGAAATAAGTTAGAAGGTCGATTTATTCTCGGTGCAACACAACAGATTGCCATCGAAACGTCACTTTTCCACAATATTTTGTTGTGTTTTTTGATGGGCCAGTATTTATTCGCCGATTTGTTTGCTTGGCGGGCGGCCAGGGGTTTTTTTTCGTCCCCAGGGAAGGGGAATTTTGAATGTTTTATTTGAAAAATTAGATTTTTATTCGTGCCCTGTTCAAAAGTCCCTCCGCGAAATACAAAGCAACCGTCAGAGAGTGAAAAAGAGACCCGAATTTTGGCGAGTCAGAGATAATTTGGACTTCCGCGGAGTTACTTCGAACACGGCATCAAGTTCTGTTTGAAAATCCGATTTATCATTGAAAAAAATGTCTAGAAATAAATCAATTTAATGAAAAAAAAATTTTTGGGCCTGAAAATTCGAAATTTTCACCTATAACTTTTGAATTCTGGCGTTTTTATTGCGAGTTTCTGAGAAAATTTACTTCTTGAACTATTTTTTTATTTCCTTAATTACTTCTAGGCGATAATTTTTCCTTCCAGTAAATTATTTTTTTCACAGAAATGGGGATATTTTTTGAGGGTTTTTTTCTGGTTTTTTTATTCATTTTTTTCACATCATAATTTCTCTTCCAATAAGTTATTTTTCAAGTAAAATACAGATGTTATTGATTTTTTTCTGATTTGTAGGCATTTTCATTAACTAGAAAATTTCTTTCAATGTTTTTTTAAATTCCGTGTAAAATCTTCACTCGAAGTGGTAGCTCTCATTCTGAGGCTTCCACCTAGAGCACGGTCTCCGGGCTCCAGCTACACCATCCACTACATTCTGAGCTCGTCAAGGCGCAACTGGATGGACTACGCGCAGAAGGACGAGGCGAAGGACCGTAAGACGATGCTTTCAACTCTTTCGACTACACGTTTGGACTTCTAGTTCGCCAAAGGCGGTTGTTCGATATAGCTTTTAAAGTTCTTGTTCACCGCCTAGTCGATTACATCAGACTAAAACAACAAAATAAATGATTTGATTTGATTGATTGAAATAGGTTCTTTGAGAATTTTTCTGATTTTTTTAGTGATGTTAAGTACCAAAAATTTTGCCTTGTGATGGGCTTTTTCAAGGAAAATACAGATTTTATTAATATTTTACTGGTTTTCAGGCATCTTATGAACTACAAAATTTTGTTTCAATGATTTTTTTCAAAGTAAATCAGGGATGTTTTTTTGAAGATTTTTCTGATTTTTAATGATTTTAAGCTCCAAAATTTTTCTTTGCAATCGAAATTTTTTTCAAAGAATATAGGGATTTTTTTTGGGTTTTTTCTGATGTTTAGTCATTTCAAGCTCCAAAATTTTCTTTGCCATAGAATTTTTATAATGAAAATGAGGATTTTTTTGAGGTTTTCAACGGTTTGTCGCAATGTGTGAGCCTCGACTGCGTGGCCATGGTCAATGAGGAACATTTTGCGTCTGGATCTGCCGATGGGTTCGTTTCTTTTGTCAAAAAAAATATGAGGGAGCCTGAAAAGTTCAATAGAATTCAAGATTCGACGAAACGAATCTGTTATAGGAAAAAAAATAACTTTTGTGAACTTTTTTGGTTGCAGAAGATAGAAGGCAAAATCAGGGGGTTTGAGCCTAATAAAAACATTTTCGCTTGATTTTTTATCATATGATGGCTTGAGTGAATGATGGTTGTTTTGGCAGGGTCAAAATTTGTTCTCTGTTTCACCATGACGATATTTTGTTTCGAGTTGATAGGGCAATCTGATAAAATGATTGTGAACTTTGACGGTTTTTATTAAAGTTTCATGATTTTTTTAAAGTTAGTCTCTAGCCTGACGATATTATAGAAAGAGGAATCATTTCAAGCTGTTTTTGGAAGATTTTCGCATAGATTAAAAAAATCAACCACTTTTACCTGATCCATTCCGTTTTTTGGAAAAAAAATGAAAATTTTCAAGTGCTGTAGAGAAATTTGAAGGAAATGGGATAAAGAGACGATTTTTTGAAGGAAATTCAACCTTTTTCAAATAAATAATCGACAAATGGTTATCTTTTTTGCCTTGGCTTGAAAATTGGAGAAACGAATTTTCCTCGGAAGAAAGGGGAAAAAATGAAATTTTTCGAGCAGAATAATCGAAAAATCACTTTTTCTACCCAAAAGAGTGAAGGTTCAGCCCCATTTGGCCTCAAAAATCCGAAAAAAAATAATATTCATAAAATCCTACTTGAAAAATTGAGAAATTGTCTCTTTTATGACCAGAAATGGAATAATGATCCTTTTTCGCCCCCATTTTGACCTACAAACCCGAGAAGAATCCATTCGTTTTTTGATATATCGAACTTTCTTGTATTCTTCAGCATAAGGCGAAAGTCGCTGCGGGTCGGGGGCAGCTATAGGAAGAGTTGCCAGAATTTCAACCTTACTTTTGGTATCTGTTCATGCAACGCCGCCCTGAGCGAATTCGAATATACTTAGCATTTCCAGTGGTCCCTATAGGGGCAACCTGAGGGGTCCTTGGAGGGGCCACTTTAACACCCCATAGGAAACACTAAAACATGCAAAAGGTGCCCCTTTAGGCGACATGCTTGTTGATAATTGTCATCGATAATTGTTGAGATCCCTATAGGGTCTACTTGAGCTTAGGGGCGAAGGGGTCAGACCCTAAACCACTATAGGGACCCATATTTTACTCCCTAATCCTTATAGGGACCACTCTAAAATTCCTAAGTTTGACAAAATGTCAAACTACACCCTTGGTTTCCTTCTTGAAGTTATTACTCCGGATCCTTTGAGATTTTTCGAGGCATAAAAATTCTTCATTGTTCTGACTACCTTGCCAAATTACTCAACTCTGAGCAATTATATAGCACCCGACTTGAAACTACTTACGCGCCATTCTGTTGCAGAAAAAGTCGTTTAAGGACCATCACTTTAATCTTTTTTTTTGTGAATAATCTTTAATAAAATCAGTCTTTTTGTATCCTTTTGGAGTGTTCGATCCGCATCTTTTGAGGTTTTTGATTCAAAAATTGGCTTTTTTCGAGTCGTATCAGATTTTCCATGTAACTCTACCGAAAATGACCTAACGCTGAGCGATTTCCTTGAAAAAGGCGCGATTATTAGCACCCGACTTGAAACTACTTGCGCGCTTTCGCATTCTGTAGCAGAGAAAGTCGCCTTATAAGACGAATTTTGACTTTTTTTTTTGACAAGTTTCCGAGAAAATAAAATAAAAATCTTTGTTCCCTTATCAAGTGATCAATGCGCATCTCTCGAGATTATTTGATCCACCTTTTTTCTTGGTTTTTGACCCAGCGGCGACGATTTCAACTGTTTCTGGACGCCTTTTTTGCTGCTCTTTTTCGGTTCCGTTCTCTTCCTCTTTGTGTGTGGAAAAGGACTGTTTGATGTGGAACTATCCTCCTTTTCGGAGGTTTTCCCCGTTTTTTTTTCTGTACCTCTTTGTTTGCTCTCCGCTCCAATTCTTGTTTTGGCTGCCTCACTTCGAAGGAAATACCATTTTTGGAGTGATTTTTCGTCTTTTTTTAATAGTTTTGTCGGTTTCTTGGTTTTGGTAAATTTTTTAGTGAGAAGAATATTTTTTCTATTGTTTTTTGAGGAGGGAAACTTGAATTTTTGAATCATTTTGTTCCATTCTTCTTGAAATCTTTTGGAAGTTGAGTTTCCTGGTTTGGAATATCTTAAGAAGTGCTTGAAAAAAATCTAGAGGTTCTCAATAATTTTTAGAATAATTAGATTTTTTTCTGAACTTTTTGAAAAAAATAGAAAAAAATATAGTTATTTTTTTGGCTCTTTTTCTGAAGTTTATTCCATCTTTTGTTCAAACTTTCATCGATTTCTGATTTCAAAGGTCTCGGTTTTTCTATGTTTTTTTCTATCACTGAAATCGGTCAAAATTTCAAAAAAATAATCAACTACTTCCATCATACATATTCATGTCAAAAGTTGCTTTTGTTGGCGCTTTTTCTTTCAGTTTTGAACTGGTTTCCTCAGTTTTGTTATTGCATTTTAAATCGCTTCCCCTCTTCATTTGACAGCCGAGTGTTGATTTTTCTTCTTTGTCGAGTTGAGTGACTGGTTTTTTGAAGAGTTTCTTCTTGACATTTTTGAGATTTTTTCGAACTTTTTCGAACCAAGTTCTCTTAAAATTTTCGCTTTTTTTTGTGAATTTATCCATTATTTCAACGAAATAATACGTCTCTTTTGATGGCTAAAGCCTGAAAAAAATGAATAAAATTAATAATTGATGCACTTTTTTTTCTTGTATAATGTGGTCATTTTGAATGTGAACATTTTTTTCCCATTAGAAATTTAGAAAAAAAGGAATGTGCGTGTAAAAATGGAATACAGGTGCTTTTTTTGGTCCGTTCAATTATTAAATAGTCGAAGTTTTGTTTTTTTGACTCATTTTTTTGAATTGATAATCAAATTTTTAGTTACAGAAAGTAAAAGGAATTTTTTTGTGTTTTTTTCCCAGTAATTTCAGGTCAATTTTTTTAATTACTTGAAATTAAAGTCTGCTTTTTTGGAAAAATAGTGTTTGAGTGCCTTTTTTTCAAAGAAAAAAATAGAGCAATAAAGAGAAAAAAAGGATACTTTTGGACTTTTTAATCATCGGTGTTTGGAAATTTAGGATCTCATTAGTTATTTCACAAAGAATAGGTATTCTTCAAAAAAACCACTTACAAATTTTTAAAAAAATTTGGTAAATTTACCATGCAAACCGACCGGACTTTTTCTAGCGTTTTTTTCTTCAGATAGTATGTAAAATTTTTTTGTATAAAATACTCAGATTGTTCCAATCTTTTCGTATATAATCTTCAATCTTTTATGTCAATGGCAACGCCTGAAGTATTACCATAGTATACTTTGTTCTCTTACAGAACCCTGTCGCTATGGTCGTTCTGGAAGAAGAAGCCGCTGTTTTCGCGGAGAGCCGCCCACGGGCAAAAGAACGGCGAGAACCGTTGGATCGTTTCCCTCGCCGCTTTGCCTTATTCCGGTTCGGGCCCCACGGAAAGAATCTCGAGTGTCTTTTCCATTTCCTTTTGCAGATTTGCTCGCTTCCGGCTCAAATGAGGGCGAATTGAAACTGTGGAAGGTGGATGAGAGCTTCAGGAAACTCTCCCTTGTCTACACCTATGCGATGGTTCGTTTTGGGATTTTTCGGAATCCGGAGAAGGATATGGAAAGAAAAATCTTGATGTAACTAAAAGTGTGAAAGGTCAATGATAGAAGATCATTTTTTGGAAACATGTCATTTTTTTTTTTAAGTTCTGGTTTTATTCATAACTTTTTAAAATCATGTCAAGATCTTGTTCCGGAATGGGTCACAAAAAGGGAATTTTTAAAAAGGTTAATGATAACAAGTCCTTTTTTTATTCCAGTTATAACTTTGTACACATTTTTTTCAAGATTTTTGTACCGAAAAATAGGTGAGAATATGACTTTAGATCGAGCTTTTTTTCGATTAGTAGGCCTTTCTATCAAAAAAACTTGACAAATAAAAAAACGAAAAAGACTGGGAGAATGTTGAGTCGAGCTTATTCATATTTTACCAGAAGAAAAAAAAAATGTAAAGTTTAACTTCTCTTCTCAAAACTTTTAAATTCAGTTTCTGTTAACAGATACATTTGAATGATTTTCTTACAGAGGTGTATCGAGTAAAATTTTCCTTCTTTCTTTTGATTTTCGGTTTTTTTCATTAGTTCTATTTTTCTTGAAGGACGGTTTCATCAATGGTTTATCATTCTCAAACGACGGCAAATGGCTGTCCCTGGCTGTTGGTCAAGAACACAAGGACGGCAGGTGGTGGGTGAGTCAATTCCTCCTCTTTTTCTTCTAATTTGTTCTTCGTTTCCCAAAAAATGTCGTTTTTTTTCTGTTCCGAGCAATACGAAATGTGTAATATCGTGTGATTCCAGATGCTCGGTGTTCATTTTTTTCTTCTTCTTTTTGTTTTCGGTTTTCAACAACTATCGAATTTTTCAAAACGTCATCTAAAAGCTAGAAAAAAATGCTTTTGAGGGGGTTTATATGAATATTTTAATTTCTTCGTTCAGGGTTTTTCGCAAAAAGTTTTTTTCTATATTTATAAGAAAGAAATTTTTGAATCCTTGGGTTTAAAAATAAGGAGATTCCTCTCTCTTTTTTACTCATTTTTCTTGTTTTTTTCCTTTCTTTTTTTCCCAACAGATTTGGAAGTTTTTCCAAAGTTATCGAAAATCTGAAGTTTAAGAAGGTTTTTTTCTACGAAAACTTCAAAATTTGTCCATGAGATTTTAATAATTTCGACTTTTTAAGTTTTTTTAAGTTTTAGGATTTTTCGAAACTTTTTCAGAGATAAGCTTCTGAAATCTTCAATTTTTTTAAACAAAAACCGATTTTTAGGTATCACACTGTTTTTTTGTAGGTTTCTAATTGAAAAAAAGAACAATTGAAAATTTTTCTGGAAATTTCTGAAGTTGAATGGAATGAAAGCTTCCGTTTTCACGGTTTTTTTTTGAATTTTAGTCGTTTTTCGAATTTTTTTGCACCTTTGAAGATTTTCCGGTGTTCAGGTAGACAAGGAGGCGAGAAATCGTGTGGTGGTTATCCCGGTGAGGAACGCAAATGAGGCCGAAAGTGAGGAACAACGGAAGAATGGGGACGTGGCGACGTTCGACGACGACGAGGATAGCGATGAGGATTGAGAATTTCGCGATTTTCTCTTGTTTTGATCGTTTTCCATTTCACTCCTTCTTTAATTTTCCTTCTGATTTGGACCTTTTCATGTTCTTTTTTTGTGTAGCAAGCGACTTTTTTTCACTTTTTCAAAAATTTGCCTATTTTACCAGTATGTCCTGTCTGCGCTCTCTTTTCTCTCACCGACAAAAAAGGCCAAAATGAGAGTGAAGAGAGCGCAGAGAATCTAGATGAATATGAAAAAAATGGGAATCATTACTTTTTTGCAGCTCTATTTTTCGAAGCTTACGGTAGCCTTGAATCTTACAGTAGCCTTACGCTAGTTTACGGAAGCTTATTGGTTTTTTTCTTTGTGAAGATTGATTTTTTGAAGCTTAAGATAGCCTTAAAGCTTTACGGTAGCCTTGAAGCTTACGGTAGCCTTACGAAAGCTTACGGTAGGCATACGGAAGCTTACGGAAACTTATTGGTTGTTTTTTTTGACTTTTACCTTCGCTTTTTAAAAAAATTAAAAGAAAATTTTTTAAGTACTATAGAGAAGATTGAAGAAATGGTATGAAGAGACAATTTTTGGAAGGACATTCAACTTTTTTTCGATAGAATATTGAGAAATGGTTATCTTTTTGGCACGAAAATCGAAAAATAAAGTTTTTTTCCAAGTATATTCCATTTTTCTTGAAAGAAAAAAAGAAAGAAATGAGAAAATAAAATCCTACTCCAAAAATTGAGAAATTGTCTCTTTTATGACCAGAAATGGAATAATGATCCTTTTTCGCCCCCAATTTGACCTACAAAACCGAGAAGAACCCATTCGTTTTTTGATATATCGATCACATTTCTCAAACCTTTTTTTTCCTTCCCCTCGCGCCACAACCTGACTTTCTCACCTGTAGGTCTTCTATTTGCGTCCGTTCCTGCGCCCACGCCATTTTTGTGATAAAAAAGGTCGTTATCATCATATTTCTTCTCGATTTCCCCAACCTTTCTCCCTTTTTCTACACCTCATTGCGTTGTTGAATTGTTCTGTTGTTGATTTTACTTGTTGTTTCTTGAGAAAAATGAAAAAAATGTTTTTTTTAACCTTCATATTGATTCTTTTCGTTTGGTTTTTAACCACTTCTTACTTTTTCTCGTAATTTTTGCATCAGAGCAACATTTCTTTCAGGAATTTCCAGATTATTTTTTCTATGGAGCCAAATACGCTACTAGTTACAGGTTCGTTTTAAAGTTTAAAAAAAGTGAAAAATGTTTTTTTGAGCAAAAAAATATCTATGACGAGGAGTCATAGTATTTTAATAGCTGAATTTCAGGCTCGAAAAAAATTCTGAGCAAAAAAATAGGTGCAAAAGTAGAGTTATAGTATATTATAGTTGATTTTTGAATCCAAAAATGAAAAAAAAATTTTTTTGTGCAGAATTTTTAAGAATAAGTACCAAATCTAGCTTTTTTTATTATTCGATTTTTTTCGGTTTTTAAAAAAAGATTTTTTTGAGCAAAAAAATAAAAATTGATTAAAATCCTACAGTAGCTATTACTGTCCTGGAGTTCTCAAATTTTTTTCTGAATTTTTTTCAGTCGGATCCGCTAGAGGGCTCTATTTGAAGAATAAAACTGAAACAGAAGCTTATGCCACGATTACTTTACAGGTTTGTTTTTAATTTTGATTTTTTTCAAAGATTTTTTTCATTTCGAACGATGCTCCAATGAAAGAACTACTGAAGTTTTTGCGTTTTTTTCTGATTTTTTTCTTGCAAACCTAAATAGAAAAAAATCGAGAAAAAAACTGTAATTTGTAGTGTCGTTGGAGTTTTTTTGTAACGAGGCTCCAGATGACAGCCATTTTTAATTGAAAATTTCTTCTTTTTTGAGATAGGGAAAGTAACAAGATATTTGGAAAAGATGCTCCAATTGAAATTTTTTTACTGGCTTTTAATAAAGAAAAGCAGGTAATCAATCCAAAAAGGTAGCAGATTGGAGTTGAAGATGACCGTCCTTTGGAGCATCGTTTCAAAAAGAAATTATCGATTTTTAAACCTTTTCTGCGTATCTTGGGAGCGCCTCAGTGTCCACTAGAGGGGTTAGGGCAGATCTTGAGTGGTCCCTATAGTGGTCTTTTAGTTTTCCTTTTCCTTATTGAAAGTCAAAAATACGTTTAGGGACCCCTAGCATGCTCCACTAGAGCGGCCACTAACTAAAACCCCTTTAGGGACCACTTTTGCAAGCTTTAGTGATCCCTATAGAAACACTCTATCTTGCTTGAGATAGTTTTCAATCCTTGTTTGTGCAGGCTCTTTTTTAGATTTCCTCTCTCCCATTTTTTTTTGTCCGAATATTTGCCTTTTTCCAGGGAAAAGGCTCTTTGCGAAGTCGTGCCGCCACAGAGTTTGTACATACACAGGGCGACTGTTTATGGGACGAAACTTGTGAATTGTGAGCTTTTCACAACAATTTCTGTGGAAAATGTGGAATTTCCAGCAAATTGAATGAGAAATGGACGACGGTTTGCGTCTCTGTGCAACACAAGGGCAAAATCGGCTCCGGAGGTAGGTTTTTAGGCCAAAAAATTGGAGTCTTAGGAGACAATTGTGTGATTTTTTTCATTAAAAAAACCTTCAAGAAGGTCAAAAAAACGCAAAATTTGAATTAATAATTTTTTTAAATGAAGCCGGAAATTTTTGAATAATTTATGGCTTTGCAGTGCAACTAAAATCCTACAAAAACGGAGTTTTTTTCAAAAAAATTTATGTATTTTTTTGAGAAGAAAATGGTCCAAAATAAAGTTAATTATTGTCAATTTTTTTGTTAAGAATTCATTTCTATAATTTTTTTACAATAATATTGATGGGAAAAGTATAAATTTTTCGCTCCAAAAATTTTTGAGAAATTGGTCAGATTTTTTTGAAGTTTTACGGGTTTTTAAGAAAAAAATCGTGTAGAAGTGAAGCTCTTTGTACTATTTATTTGAAAAAGAGTGAAATTTGAAGTTTCTGTAATGGAAAAAAATGGAGCAAAAAAAGGCAGTGAAAAAAACGAGTTTTTTCTTATTGCTCAGAAAATCACAAAGAAAGGAATTTTTAGTACATTTTTTTGAATAAAATTTCGATTTTTTTATTCATTAACTTCTAAAAAAACTGAAGAAAACAAAAATTTATTCCATTTGGTTAAATCGGATCAGTTTTTGAAAAACAATCAAAAATTTATTTTTTTCAATGAAACAGCAAAGGAAAGGTGAATCGAGATCAGCTTATTCATTTCGCTCAAGCTACACTGCATCTACTACTTTTTTGCTCCCCCTGATTTCTTTTTTTAATTTTTTTTTTTTTGAGGACGAATTTCCAATTTCTCGAATTTCTCATGGTTTGAAGAGCGTTCTGTATGAAAAAAACAACATTGTACTAAATCAAAAAAATTGCATTGGAATTTTTTTATGATTCTCGCAAGAAGTTGTAAGATCATTTCTGCTTCAATTTCATATCTGTTAATATGAGAGATAAGAAGATCCAGATTGGTACAAAATTGTGAGAAAAAAATGAGATTTTTTTGGGCTTTTTAATATTCAGATTTGATCGGCAAATGTGAGCTGAGCCTCCATGATGCTCGGCAATACGGTAGCACCACCTGGTTTCCGTTGAAGAAGAAGAGCGGAGACGAGAAATATAGGTTATTTATTTTATATCATCCAAAAAATAGAAAATACAGACTTGTGTGCTCCATGGGTAATTGTGGGAGTTTTTAGCTAAAATTTTTCTCCAATCCTATGAAATTTTGATCTTCAATTCTCTTGACTTGAGCAATTTTTCATCAAATGAGCCAAAAGGAGAGTCTCAAAATGATTCGAAGTGCTCCAAATCGGGAAAATCAACTACTTTACTACATTTTGCAAGTATTTCTACTCGAAGAAACCCAAAAAAAAAAGAGACAAAATAGCCATCTAGCGCGGAACTTGTGCGCTCCATGGATAATCTTCGAAAAGCTTCAAAAGTTGCTCCTTTTTTCAAATTTCTACTTGGCATGAGCAATTTTTAATCAAATGAGCCAAAAGGTGAGTCTCAAAAAGATTAGGAAGTGCTCCAAATCGGAAAAAGCAGCTATTTTACCACATTTTGCAAATATTTCTTCTATAGAACAGTAAAAAAAGGAAGAAGAGACAAAATAGCCGTGTAGGGCGGAACTTGTGCGCTCCATGGATAATCTTCAAAAAAAGCTTCAAAAGTTGCTCCTTTTTTGAATTACTTGACTTGAGCAATTTTTAATCAAATGGGCCAAGAAGAACGTCCTGAAATGAATCGAAAATGCTGCGGATTTAAAAAATCAACTGGTTTGAAAAATCTTTGATGTATTTCTCCCCAAAGAATAGCAAAAAAAGAAGAGAAAAAATAGCCGTCTAGGGCGGAACTTGAAACGGATCGAAAATGCTGCGGATTCGAAAAATTAACTATCTTGAAACAATTTTCCCGCCTTTCAGAAGTTTTTAAGACTTCTCTGCGCTCTCTTCTGCTTTTCAAATGTTCCTATGACCTTTGAGTTGAGAAAAAAGAGGGAACAGACAGGTCAGAAAATTCCTAGCTCTGATAGATGCTCCTAATAACAGACTTTTCACGATTTTAAATGTCATGAGGATCAGTTGCACTTTTTAAAAAAATAGAGTTCAATTTTTACCTTGTACCTGCGCCCGAATTTGTACGGCTTCTTCTCATGATGTAGGAAGCTTTCCTGAGTCGAAAAGTTTCTGTTGGCCAGACATTTACGACTCTATTTGTCATTGAATTCAAAATCGTTTCATAGTCTTTGAAAGAATGGCAAAGTTCTCAGAAATTTCCAGTATGAACGGTATTTTTTTTTTTCAAAACCAGTAGAAACGGTCAAGTTACTCTCTACCGAAACTCTCTGAAATATAAGATCAAAAGAAAATTTTTTCAGAGGCGAGGTGCAGCTGTGCTTCAAGTTCAGCTTCGAGAAGCCGACCCTCTCCGTCTCCAGCATGTCGCTGAACAAGGTGGAGAAGGAGGGCGGCGTCCTGAGCAACCTCAAGAAGAAGATCAAAATGGCGAAACACAAGCACGCCGAGGACACCATGTCGATGGCCAGTGGCATCAGCGCCATGAGCATCAAGAGCAACAAGAGCAACCGGTTTTTCGACAAGATCAACCGCACGTTCGGATCCAATAAGTGCGGGTTTTTTGCGATATCGCGTGAAGTTTATGTTCTGTAAAGAGTGGTGCAAAGGGTAAGAACCATAGATTAGTAGGAGATTAGACTAGAAAAAATGTGTTACTTGAGAGATTTTTGCGACATCGTGTAAAGTTTAAGCTCTAAAAGTAGTCGTACGAAGGGTAAAAAAACCATTAAATAATAGGAGATTAAACTAAAAGTTTTCGCGATATCGCCTTTTGACTTTTGCGATATCGCGAAGGTTGAAAAGTGAAAAAATTAGGAGATTTGGCTAGGTAACTCTAATAAGTAAAGAAAAAAGACTTTCAGGTCAAATATGGGAGTTTTTCAGATATAGTTTGACTTTCAAGCTTCAAAAATCAATTTCACATTTGTATTGCCTTTAAATTGACTTATTCTACTCTAAGTTATTGCCAGATCCACAACCCTGCCACCGGGGACGTTCCTCGCCGCCCCAGGACTTTCTTCGCCCCATCTTGACCGGACCGGCAGCTCCAATGCCATGTACGAGTCTTGTCTCAACGGCTCATCTAGAATCGCCAATCCGGAGAACTCGATCGATAATCATAGGTTAGAACTTTATTTTTCGGCTCTTATACAAGATAGCTGCTTTTTCGGTGCGAGAGAAAAGCGATATCGCTAGCGGTATCACAGATTTCCTGTTGCGACATCGCGTTTATCTCGCACTCCAAAACTTCAAAACTCGAGATCGCGCCAAAAAAATAAGCCTGTCACTTTCGCGATGCCGCCAGCGACATCGCTTTTATCTCGGCAGTTATACAAGTATTTTCACAGCGGGTACAATCCGTTCGACGAGTCTCCGGCCAGGTCGCCAGTCATTGGCTACGCTCCCCAGGAAAGGAAGTCCAGTGTCATTCCGCCTGCCCCTTCGGCCCGCTCTAGCCTGGCCGCTGGGATCATTTCTCCATCGGTAATTATTAGCCGCTGAGAATAATATTTATTTTTCCGACTTTGGGCTTCCCTAGCCGGATCTTTACAACGGGGCGGAAGCATCAGAAGCATCGCCTCTTCCGGATTCGAATCCTCCAAACATCAGGTTCCTTTGGAATCCTCTTCGACTACTCCCGAATTCAGTTCCAGCAGAAGCAGCTCGACGCCTCGAACGGTCAGGACCTTCTGGCGGTCATCGACAGCCTCAAGCTGGAGCTGCAGGTCAAGGATTCCCGGATGAAGGACATGCAGGAGTATATGGACAATTTGGTGAGTTTCGGCTTGGAATAAGTCGATTTTCTCAAAGATCTGAAGGAACCTTTACGAGCTTACTAGACCCAAGGAGAAAATACACTTTTTCCTGGATTCTTGGAGAAATATGGGTTTTTTTTTGAAGAAACTCTGTGGAAATGGTCTAGGGGGGTACAGTTCGGAATTTACGACCTTGGAACTATTTTTTAAGGAAAAAATTTTTTTTAAGCTTAGAAGCTTAGAAAGCTTATTAAAGGAGCAGGAGAGTGAATCATCTTTTTTTTTGAATGGAATTTTTTAAATGAGCCGAGAAAAAAAGGACTGAGGAAATACAGTTTAGAGTTGTGAGCCTTGGCTTCATTGGGCATGATTTTTTTTTTTCCATCTATAGAAGCTTAGAACGCTTATTAAAGGCGCATAAGAAAAAATGATCGTGTTGAGATTTTTTTGGCTTTTTTTGTTTTGAGCTTCTAGTTTTATAGCGCAATTCATTCATGATTTTGTTATTTTTTAATCGATAACCAATGCTTCCAATTTTGGCGCTTATTAAAGGCGCAGAGGATACTTTTTCGTTTCGAGACTATTTGAAAAGTTTTTAGCTGGGTTTTGTATGATTTTTTGATGGAATAGCGCTTATAAATTGAAATTTTCAGACTCTGCTCGCCTTGAAATTTTATTATTAAAGGCGCATAAGTTCTATATCTCGTCTCGAGACCATTAAAAATGTTTTTTTGATGCAGTTTGAGCTTGTGTTTTGAAAAAAAAAAATTCAAAAATAGGTCATTAAAAATTGAAAAAATGGAAATTTGATAACCTTTTTCGAGAACATTTCTCAATGCAGCTATGTCCCTTTAATAACATTTTTTTCAGATCTCACGGGTCATGGTGAAGAATCCGGAGCTGTTAGCGGCTCCAGTTGGCGAGAAGCCAAAACGACGATTCTTCTGATAATTTCACCTTATTTCTATGGTTTAACCAATTTTCTTGTACAAATCCGCTCTATATATTAGTTCTCACTGTTAGTTTCGATTGAGAAATTCCTTCTTACCATTGTAAATATCTTTTTTCGAACAGTTGTCGTTCATTTTCTCCCAAAGAAACATCTCACTGTGCCTGATGTCCCCCCTGTGCCCTAACAAATCCTTCACATCTCCTATTTCTCTTTCTGAACGTCTCTGTATATTTCCTGTACCCAGTTTTTGCTCATTTTTGCAGCCCTGTGGTTTTTACTCATATGACAATACTAACCGGTGTCCGATTCGATAAAGAATTCGAGAATCTTTCAAAGTTTGTTTGAAGGAATGATGATCTCGCGATTCTCGTTGTACTTTTTCATGTAGAAATGTGAAGAAATCCGCGAAAAACGAAGCTTTCGGGAATTTAAAGCTTTCTGAAATAATTTGCATAAAGAAGGTCATGATTTAAAGTTTGAATAGTCGTTTTTCAAAAGGCTGAAGAATCTGATCAGTTTCGCTCTACGGAGAAATTTTTCTCTGAAAACGTTTTGTTTTATGTTTTTGAAAACGGTTTCATGGTGATTCACAGTGTTCCCAAACAGGCGGCAGACGTGGGCATTGGGCGTGGCCGTTTGCAATGGGGGCGCGGGTTATTGCAATAGTGGCGCGACATTGAGAGCCGATTTTTTTGTGCATTTACGGGATGAAAACATAGCGTTAAATAGTGTTTTTTTCAAGGCCTCCTTCTATTTTTTTATAGTAATTTTAATATAGTCCAGCGCACAATGAACCTATTGAGAATGGAATATGAACGGAATCGCTTTTTCCAAAAGATTTATCACACGAAATGCCTTTTTTCAGGACAATTCGTCGCGTAAAGTCCTAAAAAATTTTTTAAAGGAGAAAACCTATGACGGTCAAAAAACGCATTCTGAATATTCTAAAACGAAAAAAAGAATCAATTGGTTTCGGCAAAAAAATTTATAACTCAAAAAGTCATTTTAGACAACATATGTTTTGTAAAACGTCGAAAAAAAAATTTTGAAAAAAAATGTCTGGGCGTTTATCTTAAGAAACTCATACTGAGCATTTCAAAACAAAAAAATGAACCAAGTAGCTTCTGCAAAAAAAAGTTACTCTTCAAAATGTCCTTTTTGTCGAAATTTCGGGACCATCTAGATCAAAAATTAACTCAAGTACCTCTCAAACGCATCCAACACGGTTATATTACACAACAGGAAGTAAAACTATTCAAAAATCTAAAAAAATACGCAAGAAAAAGAGAAAAAACTTTATTTAAATTGAATAAAATTTTGAGAGGTTGACACGCGCCGCACCGCGTTGCGTTAGAAGGAACTCGCGTTTTCGCCCCATTGCGACGACCATTTTTTTCGCCTGCGCTCGCCCGTTTTGAAGTACTGTGACACCGCGAAGGGCCCGAATTCTCTAAAAAAAAAGTTGCGGTGCACCGAAAACGTCAACGCGAGGTGCACCCAGGCAGGCTTGTGCGTCAGGCCGGGCGGCCCGGGCTATGGGTAGGGTCCGCAAGCCATTTCTTCAGAACGATTCAAAAAATATGTTTTTCACACTGTTCGATAGAGGAGACTGTCCATTTTCATAATCCGTTTAGTTTTCGAAAAAAGGTCCACTAAGAAAAAAGTTATGGCCAAAAAACGAGCGCGCGCGGCGTACAACTGGAGGCAAAATCTCACGGTTTACCCGCTGCCGCACGCTTTCTTTTAATTGTTTTTTGCGCGTTTCTGAACCGTTTTTCGAATCGGTTTTTCTGTTTTGAGAGGTTGTCAGAACTGAGCTTAACGTTTTTGGTATAAATCTTTTGTATAACTCTCATAAGAATTTTTTTGATAAAATATCAAAAAAACTACTTAGAAAAAAAGGTCAGAAGGAATTTTTCAACTTATTTTTTTCTTTTTTTCTAATCAGAAAAAAATTATTATCATTTGATTTGGAAGAAAGAAAAAAAATGAAAAAAATGATGTTATTTCGAAATAAAACAGGGAAAAAGTGCAATTTGACTCCGAAAAAAACGGCTCCTGCAACATTTAAAATGACGCATCGGTGTGTTTGACGCAAACACAGCTACGAATGCTTGCACGAATTCTTCCAAAATTTCAAAAAAAGTTGCCATTTTTTTCGAGGTTCTCAAAGCCGTTATTTTTTTCGCGTCGTTAGATTTTTTTCATAATTTTTTTCATTGATAGAGTTTTTGAACGCTTAATAACATAATCAAGAGTATAGACGCGATCCTATTCTCTCATGCGTCAACGAGGCAGGCGAAAAAAAGGAGGTTTTGGTAAAAACTCAAATATAATTTGATTCGCTGTCCCAATAATTATTTTTCATTCTGAATTTTTTTATTTTTGAACACATTGTGAGTTTTTTTAATCAAATAGAAAGTATACCTTGTCGCTGAAATTTTTTTCGCATTTCAGCTTCAAAGTTTGGTGTCACTTTACAAGCTTCGATTTTTCGCGTCGTTAGATTTTTTTAAAAATTTTTTTACTCGAAAAAAATAAAGAAAGTGTTAATATATAACATACTCAAAATTTAGAAGCGTTCCTCATTTGGTTTTCTGAAACGCGACGATTTTATGAAAGTTGTCAGTTTTTTTCGTGTGAAATCTTACTTTTTTTCGCTTATTTTTTTGAAAAATTACATAGTTCTAAAAATATTCAGTCTTGTAGAGCGTTGTCGATTACATAGATTAAGAGAAACAGTTAATTTTCAAAGTGGGACTCTAGCTAGTATAAACGCCTCAAAACCGTTTTTTTGCAACAAAAAAATCGTCATTTTGGTGGAGTGAAGGGGCGGGGCTTTGCGCCCCTAGCTATGGGCCGAGAATTTGAAAAAAATTTAAAGGAAAAAAATTATTTTTTTACTTATTGAATCATAGTTTCTAATAACGCTATGAGAAAAAAATAAGCAAAAAAATACCACTTTTTCTCGTTTAAAAAAAGCGAAAAAAATTCGACTTGAAGAGAACTTGAGTTTTTTTGGGCCGGGCCGGCCATTTTTTGCTTAAGGCCTCCCTAGGGCCGGGCTTGGGAAGTGGCCGGGGGGCCGAGAGGTTGACGGGCCGGCCCTCGCACAAGCCTGCACCCAGGTGCGCTGAGTTCAACGAAGGGGTTCACCCCGATGACCGGTTCGACACGGGGTGCACCGCAACTTTTGTTAGAGAAATTTTTCGAAAGCGTGAAAATTTTTTTCTTAAAAATTTTTTTTGTATTTCATTCAAGTTTTCAATGAGTTATGATTACTTCATTGTCGTTGTAGGCAAAAAATTTACTCCTTTTACAATTAGAAATTCTTTCCAACGTAATTATATCCATTATAGCAGCATGAAAAAAAGGTCTTACAAATATTCATGTACACGCCCTGTAGACGCACATCGTTCAAAGAAAAATCAAAGATGTGAAAAATCAAGAGTAAAAACGCTTTCGCGCGTCTTTTTTTTCAAATCGTTTCTGAACAATGACTTAGTGATTATTCATATATACATATTCTTAAGTAAATTTTCATGTAAAATTTCGCATTTTTTCTTTTAAATTCGGTTTTTTGCTGTTCCTTCTCCGCAATGGTCTTATTTCGTCGGTCGTTCTCTTATTTACGAAATGCATTAGAAATATTCTTCAAAACTCGCTTTTCAGCAGTCTGAGTTCTCGAAGAGCAGGCCCATATTGAATAGGAAAAGTATTCAATATGAAAACTCCAATATTTCATTTAAAAACTCAAATTAATACATTTTCGAAACTTCTCCGGCGTGAATTTACGCGCAGCAAGAAGCACCCGGTATCTATAAACACGCCCCTTCTCCTGCGACTCTGACGAAAGTTTCTACACAAAAATGGTTCCCCCGATTTCGCCACTCTTTTGCTCTTAACTTTTTTTTCATTTTTCATATTTTCTTTTCTGTTTTCGCAGCTAGCTTTCGATAGCGATCAGCTTTCTTTTCATATATGTTTTAACTTCAGGGCGAGCAAATTTTTGTGATTTTCCAACTATAAAGATCTGACTACGGAACTTCTCGGGCTCGAGTACGCATATCAAGTTGAAACTATGGTGGCTTATAGGCTTGAGTAAGAACTATCAAAAACTAGAGAGATTATCTGCTAAACCACATAGGCTTCTGAGAAAAAGCTCTCAAAAAAATCGAGGAAGAGTCCTGTATGTGCCCGGGCACAGGATATCCTTTCTCAGTTTGCCAGTTAGGGACTCCATTGAATAGAGTACGTGCGGCCTGAATTACAATTTCAAACTTTTTGAAAAATTTTTACTTTCAAATCCGCTGACATGATAATCCAATTTATTTTTCATTATCCACTTCTTATTGTTTTGGTAGAACGGAAATCCAGCTTGCAGAGTGTTCGATTCGTTTATCAATCTGTATGCTATTTTTAAGCAATACATGCTTGT